ATTAAAAATTTGTTCTGTTTCAGAAAAACCATGAAACAAATATGAATTAATATTGGCAGTCCTGTTAATAGTGTCCCGTAGTTTAACAAGAAGTGGATGATTACTGACAGAGAGCAACCTTGCAAAAAATTTGGATTGTAAGTATTTAAACCTAAGTGCTAATGGAGGTATATTACATTCCACCTGCATTGACACTATGGGAGTAGTTCCCATGGCACCCATTATAATACACAAACATTTGTTTTGTATCTTTTCTAATTTATCTACTATAGTTCTTACCCCTGCAAAACAAAAAAAAGCATATTCAAAATGACTCCTTAATAATGATTTATACAATGTTAATAGAATCCTTGGATCAGCACCCCAGTATGTGCCTGTTAAAGATTTTAAAACATTACAAGCATTTAAAGCTCAAGATTCTAGAGTTTCAGCGTACTTATTCCATCTAAAATTGTTTGTAAAAATAACACCTAACAACTTTACAAAGCTCTCTACAGACATTACATTATTATTGAACAAAATATTTACATTCTTATTTCTAATTCCATTTTTTGAAAAGACAACAACTTTACTTTTTTCATTGCTGACCTCCAGCCCAAGGCTATCAAAATAGTTCTTTAGTCTTTGGAGAGCAACATTGAGGACTGACTGTACATGTAAAAAATTAGTATCAGAGCAATAAACAACTAAATCATCTGCAAACTGCAGATTAGAAACTTCACACCCCAGAGTTAAATTTAGCTGATAATAGGATAACAAGCAATGGTCTCAATACACCACCCTGTGATACACCCCTACAAGAATATCTTGGACCAAATAACTGATTGTTAACCTTAACAAACACCTTTCTGTAGTTCAACAAATTAAAAATCCAATTCACAACTTTTCCAGGTACCTGTAGTAATATTGAGGATAATTTGTTCAGATCTACGTTATTGAAAGCCCCTACAATGTCAAAAAAAACACCAACTAGTACTTTATTCTCGGAACGAGCATTGTGGATATCAAGACAGAAATGACGTAGACTCTCACAAGCAGAACGGCCACAACAAAAGATAAACTGATTGTAAGGTAAAAGATTATTACTTTCTATGTGAAAAATTAATCTCTGTTTGATTAATTGTTCGAAAATTTTTCCAACACATCAACTCAGTGTAATAGGATGATAAGAATCAGCAAAATTAAAGTCTTTGCCAGGTTTTAATATTGGTACCCAACAGTCAGTTTTCCAATCCTCTGGGATAATAGAAGACGACCATAAACTATTAAATAAACTTAAAAAAATAGATAGAGTTAGAACATTTAAAAGTTTAAAGATTTTGTAGGAAAGTCTATCCAGGCCACATGAAGAATCTTTACTTGAGACTAAAGCAGATTTAAACTCTTGCATAGTAAAACAACCAATCATGTATGAATTAACACTATTTACTCCAAGAACATTATTATCTATAATTATCTGTTGTGAAACAGTATCCGGTGTGTATTTATATAAAAATGTTTGAACCCAATTGAGGTCAGAAAATAAGTAACAACTTGGAAAGCTTTTTTTGAATTTACTTATTTTAGTCCAAATACGATTTATAGATGTCAAACGATTTATTGATGAGCAGAATTCAGACCAACTTTTACAACGTTCTTCTTTTAAAGTCCGTTTTTTAAAGGCTTGTGCGCGTTTGAAATGAATGTTATTTTTACTATTAAGACTAGTTTTGAAATTAATGTAGGCGTTCTTGCAATCTTCTACTACTTTTTAACATTTATCATTCCACCAAGGCACTTGACACCTTTTTCTAGGACGGTCATTATTACTATCAGTTGTGTTATGGTTTAAGCGGGGCCCGGAGAATTTGATTGCCAATAGAATAATTGCCTAAAACTTTATGTATGAGTCAAGGAGATCACTATTGTCAACTTTAAAGTTTATTAACAATTTGTTCATAACTATCCCAATTTACTAATTTCAGATTGCTGTGAAAAGGAATATTGTTCAAGGAAATAGAGGGTTCATGTTGATCTCTTACGAGAGTAAATTTTGTGATAGTTGGCAGATGATAACTGCCTAAAGGTTCCTGATGAACTTGCCAGTCACAAGAAAGAAATAAAGAAGAAGACACCATAGTTAAATCTAGACTGTTTGGTTTCCAAATATGAGAGCCTATAGTTGTTGGTTGACCATTATTTAAAAGTATTAAGTCATGGTCATCCATGGAATCCATAATAGCTCTGCCCCGAGAATCTATGCGACTGCAACCCCAAAAAGTATGATGGGTGTTGAAATCGCCTGCAATTATCAACGGTTTTGGAATACTGTACAATAAACGATTGAACTTCGCCTTTTCAAAAGCAGGAAAATTTATTACCAGGACTGTAAAAACTAACCAAAGAAATGCATTTATGTTTCAGTTTAATAACAATTACTACATTTTGTTACGAATCATCATAAAAAGTATCTAGTTTAGAGAAATGTATACCATTTTTAATTAATATTGCTACGCCATTATGATCATTACCGCAGTAACTCCTAATAATGGTATAACCACGTAAATTACATTGAATATTAGGTTTGAGCCAAGTTTCTGAAATAAGAGCCACATGTATATTATTTTGGTATAGAAAATTTTGAAACTCAAGTCTGTTACTTAACAGCCTTTGAGCGTTCCACTGTACAATATTTAAGATTTGGTGGAAGAATGTGACGGTTTGCTATTTTTATCCTGGATGGTTTCTTTAATAGCTGAGCTAATAAATTGTGAACTAATACTTATATTTTGAGTTTTATTTAGAGTAATAACTTTTACCATAGATTCTGTTAATAGGGTCATTGCTTCAGAATTTGATAGTATTGCTTGGATTACTTCTTGGGTATTTAATTTTTTATTAAGGGAGGGAAAATTTAATGAATTTTTTACGTGTCAGCATATGACTTGGGTTTACTGTTTGCGATTTTCTTTTGCCTTATAGGGCACTGGCTAGAGATGGCAATGTGATTGCCATTACAATTAATGCACTTAGCTTTTTCAATGTTAACCTTGCATTCTTTGAAAGAATGCCCCTCTGTGCATATGGAGCATCGCGGTGAATTTTTACAAAATTTAGCCAGATGATCATAGCGTAAACATTTAAAACACTGTTTTATAGGTGGGACATATGTGGAGACAGGCAGGCGCCACATCTTAATGTGAACATAGTCCGGTAGTGACGTAGCAGACGCAATAGTTATTACTACGCTCTGAGTAGGTTGCAGTGTGAAGGTGTTATTTTCTCCTTTTACTTTACGCACTATGCGTCGGACAGAAATGACTTTTTTTGTTGTTGATATTGCTTTATATATTTTGTGATTGGATAGATGAGTGGGAACCCAATAGATATCTCCCGATAGTTCGGTGGCCCCTGCTGGTATTGAAGCTTTAAGTCGTTGTTCCTTTAGATATGTAGCTAGTATTTTCTAAAAAGGCATTTGATAAATTCGCACGTTGGAAAACGATACCGACCTTATATTTATTTATTTTTTAAATATTGTATACCTTTCACAGAGCGTATAAAACTAGTACTAAGCGACATCATGTCCCTATTACCGAGTGGGACATCATTAGTACTTTCGACAAATACATACTATGAATTCAGACTTGGCTTCCGCATCTTCAGGGTATCGCCGGCAATAATCAGCGACCCTAAAGGGAGCGAAGGCATTTGCATCCTGCAATACTGGCGAATCCTCGCAATCGGAATTACTGCTTGTGCTGAAAGGCAAGGACTCACTAGAATCCTTCTTTTTAGGTTTTTTTACCATCTCTCCATATAAACACTTACATAATATATACATATTAAGTTTTACTTCTTTACAATAAACTAAACAAAAATTTGCAAATTATAGTAGGTATAAAACTATTTAATACTAGAAGACCTGGCGAACTTCGTATCGCCTAATAAATATCTATTACGTTTTTTATTTATATTTTTGGAGTTTATCTGTGAGCCACAAATCTCCGTGTTTTGAAGTGCGACAGAATGATTGACATATTAGTTAGTTGTCAAATCTAATGTCAAAAAAAACGTTTGTATGGGAAATAGAAAAGGGCTGTTTTTATGGTTTTCCCAGTAATGATTAATTTTTTTTCAGGTTTTATACCTTCCCTGAACCTCTACGAACATTTCAAGACTAAGATAAGATAAATCCGTTCAGCTGTTCTCGAGTTTTAGCGAGACTAAGGAACAGCAATCCATTTTTATATATATAGAAGATAATTAAAATTTTCAAAAAGCCCGCGTTAACGTTTCAATTCCCGCGCTCTTTTCCGCGAGCATATACAATAGACACGAGTATAGACTAAACTAAATATAGATAACAAAATTATTTCTTATAAATGGTCACCTCAGACGGATTAACATATTCATCTCACTTCTATATGCTTAATAAAATTATATATTCAACAAAACATGTAGTCATAATTTCAGTATGTTCAGTATTTTAACAATTAAACAATGTTTTCATATTTGAACAATACGACTTTCAACAAAAGTTACTGCTGTCAAAATCAATTAACTGACGTTTGACATTTTATCAGTTGTGTTGTAAATTCATATAATATTTATAAAAATTGTTAAAAATAATTCTAATAAATACATTAAGTGTATAATAAGTATGTTGGAATAAATAATTAACATGAGTAACATATATATTCAAGAACCGCCGGCATTAGGCAAGGTAAAGCATAAAAAAGATTTTTTGAAACAAAAGTGTAATCTAATAATACATTCAATAAGTTATAGCTATCAAAAACAGTAAAGCATGCTAATATTATTATAATAAAGGTGTTAGATTGTTGTTGGTCGAATTTGAGATGCATAGTAATTGATAAAATTTAATTTCAATGTATGTTTCCTTCTTTGCACTGTTGATACTAAATATTTACAAATGTATTATTAATAATTGATTTATCGTAACTTATTGGTATAAATATCATAGTTGTACAGTAGTATAAATCAATTTTTAATAATATATGACTCTATTGGGTCTCAATTATATCATTTTAACGATAAACCATACAATTTTCAAGGTGCTGTTAAAAACTTCAGCTGGTGACATAGACATTGAACTATGGACCAAGGAGACTCCTAAAGCTTGTCGTAACTTCATACAGTTATGTATGGAAGGATACTATAATGGTAAGTTGAACAAAGTTAAAAAACCTTACAAGTATTGCTTTCATTTTAAGTAAAAAACAAGTGTATTGAAATGAACTTGGTAATATAATTGCAAAGACATGATAAAATAGGTTATCAAAGTTTTTAAGTAATTTTAAGTTATTAACAATATATACATATTTCACATATGCCTACTAATATTATAAATGCGAAAGTAACTCTGTCTGTCTGTCTGTCTGTTACATACACGCCTAAACCACTGAACTGATTTTAAATGAAATTCGATACAGAAATAGAGTTGACCTTGAGAAAGAACATAGTATAGTTTTTATCCCAGACTTTTGAAAGGTTCTCTTGGAAAAGCGATATAACCGAGCTCCACCACAAGCGGAAAGCTAATATTTATATATAATACTCCAAGACATTATAGTTTCATTAATACTATTTGAGTTCTTATGTGATAATAATGCTATGTTTGTTGTCCCCTGTACCAGGCACAATATTCCACCGAGTGGTCCCCGGTTTCATAGTACAGGGTGGTGATCCCAATGGGGATGGAACAGGAGGTGAATCAATATATGGAGAACCATTTAAGGTAATATTCAATACAAATAACTTAAAGCTTCATAAAAACTTACTCACTTATTGGGGCTTTACTGAGATTAATTTAGCATCTAATTTGGTAATTTTTTTTCATAATTTAATTGATTTTTTTATCTAGAGTTGTCATAAGGGTTATAAATTTTTATTTATCTGTTTATCCCATATTTTTTATTCTGATTGAAATCTTTCTGATACATCCAAATTATATATCAGAGAAGACTGTCTGTTATAGTAATTTTTTTATATTGATTTTCAATATAGCCTTTCTTCCCCAAAACGTTTTTAAGATGTAGTTTAACAATTGCAAGTCCAAGATATTTCACACTGACACCTATGAGGCTGGGTTTGTTCATTGTTTATATTATTTATTAACATTATATGTTCTAAAATTCTAAATCTTTGTTGAGACATTTTTAAAACCAAAATAATATATGTACGTCCTACACATATTTATTTATTTATTTATTTTATTCTTTATTGCACAAGTACTAAAACTAAAAAAAATTAACATTTTCGTTATATGTTACTTGCATGAGGTGCAACACATAACTGTTTACATAAAGATTGATATACTTGTTTCTGGCCACGAGTTATGTTGCAAATATTCATGAGTGACAGTTACCTTCCATCAAGTAGACCGTCTGCTCATTTATCACCTATAAATCATCTTTTTATCAGCAATTATTTAAGTCATTTAAATGTTTTCCTTCCAGGATGAGTTTCATTCTCGTCTGCGGTTCAATCGTCGTGGTCTGGTAGCGATGGCCAACGCCGGTAAGGATGACAACGGCTCCCAGTTCTTTATAACCCTGGGTTCAACTCCCGAGCTGCAAAACAAACACACAATCTTTGGAAAGGTTACCGGTAAGCTCGTTATATCTGATGTATATGTGTTATTCTGGACTAGTTGCACCCCGCGGTGTTACCCGCGGATTTCCGGGATTTCCGAGATTTCCGGAATGTAAAGTAGCCTATGTGTTAATCTTGGACGTCAGCTTCCTGTATACAAAATTTTATCAAAATCGGTTCAGCCGTTTGAGCGTGAAGAAGTAACTTACATATGTACAGACACACTCACAAACTTTCGCAATTATAATATTAGTACGATGACAGAATTTTAATGAGTGACTAATTTCAAGTTGAATAAGTAACTTAAGTGTTAAAAAGTGTTAAAATTCACAAAATTGGAAAATTTACTATATTGTAAGATGGATTGTATTTTTTAATCTGTAACAAACCTTCGCTATGATCTTAAATGAGATAAACAAGGTATATTCCAAAATTTGTTTTTTGTTTTCAATTTTAAGTGTAAATTCCCAAAAATTTTCCACGATACAGGCTTAGCCTAGTGTGGACGTCAATGTTTACTGTAAATTGCATTACAAAGTGTTTTTACAAATACAGAAATAAATAATAAATAATAAATAAATAATTTAACTAGATAACACTTGAAAAATTTTTTTTATACAATTTAATGAATATTTGTTGTTGAGAAGAAACCCGTAGCATACTGTTATATCATATGTTGACTTTATCGTGCACTGTTTATAGTTACTAAATATTATGTACACTTCTCACATACATATCTGATTTTATAATATAGTCACTTTCTGTAAATATTCAATATGTATTGTAAGTATGCTTGTTGTAAATAAATAAATAAATAATGTTATAGGTGATACGATATACAACGTGCTCAAACTGACCGAGGGTTTGATCACCGATGACAGACCTGATCATCCACACAAAATCATCACTACTACAATCATCATCAATCCCTTCACCGATATCACGCCCAGGGTGAAGGAAATCGCGCCAGAACAGAAAAAGACGAAGAAGAAAGAAATACAGGGTGTTAAGTGAGTGGACTTATACAGGGTGTTTAGTATACAGTGTGAATAATAAGCTCTCATTTAATTATGTATGGTTACTAATTCAAACATTATATATTTTGTATAGATCCATATTTCGATAGTATCTTCTTTAATATGGATTTTGAGAAATAATTAAATAAAATATTTAGTTCTATACTACTGACATTATCTTAAATTTGTAAATATTTATGTATATTATATAAACAGTGAAAGTTGTTGAAACAATGAATTATATTTCCTATCTGAATAAAGAGGGATTAGTATCAATGGTAGGAACAGAATGTCTTTAGTACTAGTGATTTGGTTTCAATCTACTATTATAAAGTCAGTGGTGGCCTAGTGGTTAAAAGGCCCGCTTCTCATGCACGAGGGCGTGGATTCGATCCTGGCCCTGGCAAGTACCAATGTGATTTTTCCGAGTCATATGTACTTTATAAGAGTATTTAGACATCACTGATTAATTCATTCCCAAAGAGGGTTGATGTCAGGCAGGCGGCCGGCTGTAAAAACAATTAGCCAAAACTATTCACAACATGTAAGGCAGACCCTGGCTATAGCTGGGAAATTGCCAGGTAGAAGAAGATAATTTGTATGGATCCACAGTTGTTCTATAGTATTTTCTTATATATTGCTTTTGAGAAACAATATAATAAAACATTGAGTCCTCAACTATTGAGATCAATTTAAACATGTATATTTATATATATGTATTATCTAAAGGCTGAAAGTTTTTGAAATAATGAACCATATTTTCTGTCTAAAATTCTTATATAAAAGATCCTTTTTGAAGATATATCTTTCACAGTGAATAAATACATAATGTATTATGAAATAATAAACAAATTTATGTACAAATGTTTAAGGAACTTGGGTCTTCTGTCTTTCGGTGAGGATGCTGAGGAAGATGAAGATGAAGCCCAGGAGTACAGAGGTAAACCCAAGTCAACACACGACCTACTACAAGATCCTACACTCATTAACAAAACCGCTGCTGGTGGGTACACTGTACAATAAGCTTATTATTTATGTACCAAAATTAGAAATCGTTGCTTTATTATAAAATAAATGGATAAATAAATATAATAAAATAAATGGAGTCATATGTACTTTCTGAGAGTATTTAGACATCACTGACAGACGGTGAAGGAAAACATCGTGAGGAAACCTGGACTTATAGTTTCACAATTATAAGTTTGAAATCACCAACCCGTCTTGAGCAAGCGTGGTGATTAATGCTCAAACCTTCTCCATGTGAGAAAGAGGCCTTGCTCAGCAGTGGGCGCTGATAGGCTGATGACGAAATGGATAAATTGTCTCTTAAAAGAGATCTCTAACAGAATTTTTTTTGATAACGGAGATGAGAAAAAAATGTGGTGTAGGTACAATAAAAAGAAATATATATACGTATGCAAACAAGATTAAAAATTAAAAATTTAGATATTATAAATACATAGATTAGACATACCTCTTTGCTACGAAATAGTTTTAATAAATTTATAACAAAAAAAAAACTTATATTCCAGAACTGGAATTAGAAAATGACGTGAAAGATGATCAGAAGATGCAACAGAAGAAAGAAGAAACATTAACAACAGTTAGCAACATACGGGACAAGTTAAAGAAGAGGGAAAGAGACGGAAATACGAATGAGGGTGAGAACAAGAAGGACGGAAGTCCGGAGGAGAAGAAGATGAGAGAAGAGAGTGAGTCAGAAGAAGAAGAAGAATACTACCTGGGGAAGGAGAGAGATATGGAGAGAAGGAAAGAGACGTATGTATAACTTATTGTGATATACAGGGTGACTGGTGAATTACTATCGATATTTGAGGACGTGATATTTGACGATCATATATGACAAAATAAAAATTAATATAACATAAATATTAATAAACTTCTAAGTAAAGTTAACCAAAAGTTATGTAATTAATTACGCATCGTGTGAACACCCTACAGATTAGGTATACACTGACACTCACACATACGCGTGTCGTGACGTAGTGTTGTATCAGCACGCCGCCGCACGCGTCTACACTTGAACATTTGGAACGTGTCAACACTTTACTTATTTATACGGAAATTTTGTCAAAAATTAAGTGCCTATTTTTTTTACATAATTCGAATGAGAATCATGTACCGAGTATTCTCCTTAAATATTGATAGTAATTCACCAGTCACCCTGTATATCTTTATATAATATGTATATAATTCTTCTGTGAGTGTGTATGAACTGAACTTCTCTCAAACGACGGGACCGATTTTGATGAAATTTTGTGTGTGTGTTCAAGGGGATCTGGGAATTGTTTAGATTCACAATTTTGTCCGCTGGACAATGTTTTTTTAATTAATTTTTAATTTATTAGTATGTGTTGATACAATATTTTTTTTTTGATATTAGATTTGACAAATAACTAATATGTCAATCATTCTGTCGCACTTCAAAACACGGAGATTTATGGCTTTAATAGGTAAACTCCAAAAATATAAATAAAAAAACGTAACAGATATTTCTTGATTATAGCGCGATACGAAGTTCACTAGGTCTTCTAGTAGTGTTATAAAAATTAACTGATATTGATTTATACTTATAACTGTTAAAAATTTATTGAATATTGGCTTTTTGTTTTTAATTATAAATTTTACATATACTCATGTTTGTAAGACTTAAGATAATTATATCGTTTATAAACGAAGTAAATTCTTAAAGAACTTAGTATAAAAACAACTAAATTGTTTTAGTCTTAATTTTTTATAATTCTTCTTTCAGAGATCGCATACGTAACGAAATCAGACAGCTGAAGAAGGAAATGAGAGGACCTAAAGAAGTTAAAGAAGAAGTAAAAGAAACAGAAACTAAGAAGAGTGTTGAGGATAATGAAATGTATAAAGAATTTGTAGAAGAACAAGAAAAATATAAGAAAATGAAAGAAAAGATTCCTAAGAAAGGAGCTGCCAGGTTGATATATATATTTATTATTAAAATTTTATACTGGGTTCGATTCCCAGGTAGATATAAATATAAAATCATTCATACATATAATAAATGTTTAGAAGATAAGTGATAGAAGAATTGTGTGGGTTTTAAAACAGATCAGGTTTGTATGAGCTTTGTATAAGAGGAAATATTTTCAGAGGAAGAAGAACAAAATTCACGAGAAATACAACAAGAAGGAAAGTTTGGGTCAAGAACTTGTATGAGAACCGCGACTTCCCAGACAATTACACGGATTCGAAGTTCCTAGAAGAATTAAAGAAGAATCTTTTCATTGAAAAAGTAACTCTATCGCAAGCTGTACAAGGTTCATTTCGGGTCGTCTTACGAATGTGTCTGTGTGTGCTATTCGGTGTTCTATTCGTGTATATGTACAACAATCTAGTCCACACGCACACAGTCATATATATCTCTATATTCGTGACGTCACTGTGTTATGTTATGTATGTGTGGGTGGAAGGTTGTAAGATGTTGAGGCATTTGAAAATAGTCCTTATTTATATAGTATTAGGGTACATCCTCTCTCCTATACTACATACTCTCACTGATACAGTCAGTACAGATACTATTCACGCGTGGTCCGTGTGTATGTTGCTGGTACATCTAATCTTCTTTGATTACGGCGTTTCTTCTGCCTTTGTCTCAAACTCTCTCTCTATAAATGCTGCCATTTTCTCTTCTGTTTGTCTCGTCTCAAGACTATCTACAGCATTCGACGCGTTCGTTCTTCTGACTATATCAGTAATCTTCTTCGTGTTAAGTCCTCAGTTGTTCTCCGTGTTTCTCCACACTAGATTCTTCTTATTTCTCTTCTTTATCACTCTGTTGTTGACTGTTGTTTCATTGTATACAGTGTCGTCTATTCTGTTGTTTTATTTCGTGTTGCTAGTCGCTGTTGTTAGCGGCTGGTGTCCCTTAATGTTCGTGAGGTGGCAAAAATATAAAGACAACATACACGGGCCATGGGACGAAGCGATAATTCATAATTCTGATGAATTCGATGAGTTTGGATGAATTTGATGAGTTTTTTATTGTATTCTATCACTGCCAAAAAATTAAATATTAAGGCATTTTCTTCTAGTTTTTCTCGATTTTCTGCTACTTCATGACCGTACTAGTATTTTTTGGTTATCTATAGAGATTTTTATAGCTAATTTGATCGTCACAATCAGTAATTGAACCTGGGACAGCCAATATATCTTCCGAGCCACTACACCACACACAAAGACGTTACAAGATGTTTTTAACTCCGGAACTCATCGGACCGTACATATAATAGCTGTAATTAATTCACTGTGAATATTAATTAATGTTAAATGTATTGTATTTTAATAAAATTATTCTCAACTAACGCATTTTTTTTTATTATGAATCACCGATGAACTCATCACCATTCATCATAAACGTCGCCCATGACTTAAATAAATTTTTAACTAAAATAATCTTAATTCTATATAAATGTAGATTTCTTTTGATATAATATTAATAGATTTTAAATATAATTAGATAAACGTTGATTTGTTTTAGAGAGGACTTCACACTGCAGCTGTTAGCCAAGTTTAAGACCAAGTTACACGAGATTAAGGAGAAACGGACTGATGGTGACGTAACAGATGATGATGACGTCACCGATGATAAGTGGTGAGTCATCCATACTAATATTATAAATGACAAAGTAACTCTGTCTGTCTGTTTGTTACGCTTTCACGACTAAACCACTGAACTGATTTAAAGGAAATTAGGTACAGACATAGAGTTGACCTTGAGAAAGAACATAGGATAGTTTTTATCAGAGACTTTTGAAAGGTTCTCTTGGAAACGCGATATAACCGAAATCCACGCGAGCGAAGCTGCGGGCGGAAAGCTAGTCATATATTGTATATACATATGTACGTTTAGTTGTCGTACTCTCTACGAATATTTAGTTGTATATGTATGCTTCAAAAAATACTTTTGTTTTTCTTTCTATTTGGTATATGTACTATTGTATGGGACTTGTAAGTAATTATATGCTTATATCTGTCTGTTTGCTTGTAAGTAATCCATATATTTATTCTATAACTTATATAAATAATAATAATTTTGTTAAGGCTCGGTCACAAGTTACATTTTGAGGACAAAGGCGCGGTGCTGGCGAAGGACGCGTCTAGTAAAGGAGACGACTGGTTTGATATATACGACCCGAGGAATCCGATCAACAAGAGGAAGAGGGAGAAGGACAGGAAGAAGAATAAATAGACATAGAAAGAGATAGATATATGTGACAATAAATAGGTACATACTTACGTCTTGTGATGTTATTTATGACTAGTTTTTGACCGTGACTTTTTTCGCGTTCAGGCGAACTGTTTCAATTTAGAGATTAAATAAACAGATTTTGGATCTAATTAGTTTTTCTTTTGTCGAAAGAATTCAAAAGTATCCTTTATCCATCTCCTGATTCAAATCTACGTCTCCATTAATTTCTAGCGAAATCAGTACATCCGTTCTTGTTTTATAAACAGTGTAACTAACACGACTTTCTTTTATATATAATGATGCACTTATATACAGTGTCAACCAGAGGTTCCACGAAAACTATGAAACATACTTATATGAATATTATAATAAGAACTACATATTAAAACTTATAACCTACACCTAAGACTACATGATTGTCCCGATGTTAGGATAGCAATACCATTCCATAGCTTGTGTGGTATCAGGAATCTTCTGGTTCGACGGCTTGGTGTTCGTTCCGCGGAGTCAGCGGCGTCACTCGTTATATATTTTATACATACAACGTTATCGCCCCGGCGATGTTCATTTAGGTCTTAATATGTAGCGCGTACGTAACAATGCCTGTCTTGTTAATACTGATACTATCATAATTTATGGATGAAGAACTACAGACTGTGTGTATTGCGTTTTAGTGCTAGAAGTTCGTACTAATGGTTTAATTCACAGATTATTCGTTATAAGAAGTTAGTGAGTAAGTCAGTGAACAGATGTTTGTTGCTTTGTTAACTATGTAGTTAAATTAACTGCGACTCAGTAAGAAACTATGAATCACGACCAGTTTCATCTGGAGGTCAAGATATACGGGTCATAGAACACAGATGTATTGTGATAACCAGTTATTAAGATCCTTATCATTGTAAAAGATGTTCTTGTAATTACAACAAACTAATTCATAAAACAGTTAAAACTAATCTGTATCATTGTTTAACTGCTGTATTTAACTTTAACCAAATTATTTCTGTTCTCAACAGATTATCAATTGAGTGTATTTTATTTGAGTGTATTATATTGAATATTTGTAATTGAGTGTATTATATTGAATTATCGCAAATTTTTGAGCATTTATATTTTTTTTTGTCCAAATTACTTTGATATAGAATTACTTTATTTTTTATATTCTACTACAGTTTTCTTTAATGATCTTCATTTATGATGTTATGGTGAGTTTTTGATAGAAATATAAGGAAGGTTTTCATTTCTTTAATGAAATGCTTTCAAATACTTTGGTTTTTGTTATTTTCATTACGTCACAAGTGGCGCTATCTGTGTCGTACTAAGCATAAAATACTATAATACTTATAGGCCAGTGCAGAGGCCCTTAAATTAATAAAAAGTGAAAATAAATTATAGTAGAATGAAACTCATTCGAATAGGAGGAGAATATATAAAAATTAAAGAAACAATAATTTACGGGCGATCTGAGGTCGGGAAGGGTATGGGGGTCGGTTTTTTAAGGTAAAAAATGGGTTTTTTCGATTTCCGGCAAAATAAAAGTCCTACGGAAAAATGTTATATTGCAAAGTTGTAGGTAATAAAAAGATCTAAAACTTTTGTACGAACATTTTTTTTCACATAACTTCAAAATTTATGTGAAAAATTCGAATAACCAAGTTTTTGGTTTTTTATTTTTATCTCTTACAAAAAACAATATTTTGTCACGAAATTTGGTGAAAACTTTCCCTTTGATGTTACAAATGACTGTAATTTATTTGATTAGAAATATTTATATTTTCAGCTTATTTTGAATAAATACCGAAAAATCAGCCTCATTTTCAATCGAAAAATCATCTGTACAAATATCAGCTATTTTCAAAAATTTGGTATGTTTTCAATTTGTTGAAATCTCTATTTTCAGATGGTGAAAAAAAATATAAGTTTCTTACTTACAGTAGTACCATTTTTGGATAAAATAATCATGTCTCTTTTGAAAATGCTCTTTCTAACTTATTTTTAATAGATGTGTACCTACTCTGGAAGTTCTCCAGATAGTCCCTCTTTTAAGTAATTTACATTAAGCTGCTAAAAAAAGGAGGGGACTCTTTTCTAATGAGTTTCATTGTACTATAATTTAATTATGTTTTAAAAGCTATCGGCACTGGTGTATTACTATTATCCTTACGACTGATTATTATAATTAATTTTAATACTGAACCATTGTAATTTCGTAATGGCGACATTTAAGTATCCTTATATTTGAAAACTATAAATACTGGCTTCGTCCTTTTTGTGAGACATTACTGGAAGTAACGATGAACATTGAAACAAATCTGAAACTATGCCTCGAAATGTACCTGCAAACAAAATCTCTAATTCCTTTTTTGACATCGGCCTCCTTACATAAGATAAAAGACAGTTACAATGACATTGAAAGTTTAAATTATTCTATAGGTACATCCACTTACTAATATCTACATAACACTTATTACTCTTATTAGTATAAATTTCAAACTTTCAATTTATAGTAAAAACTTATAGTAAAAACGTTTCAACTTTTTTGTTCATACACAAGTACTGTGAATTAAGAAGTTTCATCCTAAAGTGGACAACAAAAGTGAAACCTTTATTAAGTTTTCTAAAACGTTAAACAGCATTCTTGTTCTTCCTGGCAATTTTCCAGCTTTAGCCGGGGTCTGCCTAAAACACTAAATAGCATTATAGCTATCTAATTAAAACTACCAGATATATGTATTGGAACAGTTTATCCACTGTTAAAATTATCGTTAAATTGTTTAAAACCATAAATCCTTTGTCTTAATTTGGTGTTTTACATATTTTGTTACAAACAAATTTAGATAAAATAATGAAATTCTTGTGATTATGTTTCTTTCACCGTTAGTCGTTTTCATCATTTCAGGAGATTTTTAATCTCGTGGGAAGTATTCCATTTCTCAGGAAACCGGAACTCTATTTTAAGACTTCGTTTTTATATATTTATTACACTTTGTATTATATTATTATTTTTCATTTTAAATGTATAGATATATATTGTAAGAACAGACAATTAATCTTAATTAATTAATAATTAATTAATCTTGAAGTCATCCTTTCTTTGTTCTTCACCTCTCATAAGAACACAAAATTAATAATAATTAAGTTAAAAAACAAAATGTGACTTCTAGTAGTTCTAGAATTCCTACCATTTTAATTTCACTGTTATTAGTAAGTAATTACTTAGTAAAGATGGCCATTTACCTTTGGAATTCGTTAAGTAGAAAAACGTTTGACAGTTAATTACAACTCGCAAGTTTGAGTCCTGTTTGTGACAATAATTAATAATTCTGTATAATTAAATTAATTATTTAAATTATACTTCAAATATAATTACTTTACTTTATTGTTAAAACTTAATATTTATTTAGGTATATATCTTTGCTTTGAATACATATGTACTGAAATATCATCTTGATTTAAAAAATACAATATTATCATTTTTAATGAGAAGAACACTGACTTTTTTTATTTTAATTAAGATTTAATAATAACATACGACGTAGCTACTTAACTAACTTTATATTTAAGATGTACAACTTAATATTTAAGATGTACCTATAGACAAATTTATAAGGCCAATTTCGTTATTTGTACACAAATTTCATTGTTTTTTTTCCACTAGTAAGTATTGTAAGTGGAAGTAATTCTATAAGCTTGCCATCACGCAGAATAATTTCGATGAAGTACATTTATATTAAGATGATTCATAGAGGAATAAATAAAATGTATTACGACCAATTAATTTCTAATATTGATAAAAATGCTGTAATATTATAAACGAAGTCACTCGAAATTGGTTCGTCGTAGATTTGTACGCGATAGAAGTGGGAGCGAGAGGTATAACAGCTAAATCTTTCTAGAACCTACTAAAAGACTTGGGCTTGTCCAGAACTCATATTAATTCATTCTTGGAACATACTTTGAATAAAGCCCTAGTAGGTTCTTTTCAAATTTGGTTAGGTAGAGAGAGGAGCTTGTACGATGGAGGTGAACGTTTAACGAGCCTTAGATAGGGGCCCCTTAAACCTACACCTGGGTCACAAGTTCTAGGCACTGTTGAAACTCCTCTCCCTGTAAAGATAGACCCGACACCCGAACGGTGAATACATTGAATGCTAAGAGGTTTCGTTTCATAAATAATAAGATCAATAGTATTATATGTATGTACAGTTACTCAATCAATTACTTTCTATGTATTTATTACACTTCAAATCTCAATACGTTTTTTATTACTAATTATTACACTTCTTACAATATTTAATTAGGGTTGTAGGTCATCGAACTCTTCATAAACAAAGAGCAATAAACGTGTGTAAAAATCAGTTTTATTTTATACATGTTTTTTTTTGTTTTCAAAGCATTTTAATTCAGTCTCAGTTACAAAGAATATTAAAAATAATACAAGACACTGGAATGGATAAAAAAACTTTGATAATTATGTGATAACGAAACATGTTGGATATCTTCATTAAATTAGTTTTTAAGTTTATTTAACGTTTTCACTTAGTTTAATAAAAGTCATAAGCCACTTCAAATGACATCTAGTTATAAAAAAAAAATGCGAAAGGAGAGCTGTTAACTTTTTATTTAAACATATTATTTTGTATTAAAAACAAGTATTAACATAAAATTAAGTGAAAATTTAAATTGACTACGATTAAATGACCATTTGGGTGTGATCTTTTATAAATATACAAGTTTAAATACTTTTTCTGTTTTTTTTTTAACCGCTTTCGTGACATGAAATACTAAATCAATATCTTTTATACGTAGCTTGCTAATAATTTTTCATTTCTTTTAAATCTTCCAGAAAATTTATCTTTTAACATGTATTAAACGGTATCGAGAGATGTAATCTTGAGAGCGGTAACCAGAATAAGATAAAAAATATAAAAAGAAACATAAGTGAATAAGGCGAGATGTTTGAAACAGTAATCATTTGATCTTAATCTCGCACTAAAAAATATTCTCAATGGATACAGAGGTCTACAAACTTAGCGGGTTTTTGAAAACACATTTACTTTAAGAATTTCCTTGCAGAATTTTAATTTTTATAGAGGTTTTAGTTTTTATTATTTTAGAAAACAAATGGGATCTTAAATTAACATTATTGGTATAGTTTATTAATCATTTCCTCGTCATTTAGATCTGGTCTTTTTTGATAACTTTTGGTTATTTTTAGAAATTTCCAACGATTTAAGTTGATAGTTTTTGAGACACTTATAATTTTGGGCTTGAGCTAAGGACGAGAGAAAAATAAAATAATTATTTGCCATTATTTTCGGTTTTATTAAGTAGAAGGCAAGATATTTCGTGGTTGATACAAACTTTATCAAACATCGTGAACTATGAATGGAATGACGATACTCTCTGTAATGGTACTATCTGTACACAAAAAGCATGTCCACACTGAAGGCACATACCTACGATTTACCAACACAAGATGATCAAGCCAAGGAAGTGTCTGGTCATAGCCACCGGACCGAATCGCTCGGTCACACCCAACCAAGACTGACGCCACACTATTTGCGAGACCAAAGCTGTTTGGACGTGTTCATCCACCACACTCCACACTGTCTCCCGTCTGCTCTGTCCCGTCTACTGTCTACTGCCTCCCGTCTACTGCGACCTTTGATAACACTCGTTTTATCTGATCAGTTTGTCATAATGATAATCTTGGTTCTTTAATCAATCACAATGATCTCGGGACTGTATGTCAGGATGTTGTACATACTAGTTCTGTGCCCGGCGTTGCTTGCGTCGTCTGTTCTAACACTGTCCATTGATTCGCAGCTTGGAACGTCTATCGAAGGTGAGATATTTTTCGTTATACTCAAAATATGATCTGTATAATTAATTTATTTAATTTATGAACATTTGACAGATGCTTATAAATTATTTAATATAATTAGTTTACATATAAATATATTTTTTCTTCATACATGACATACTCCATAAATATTTGGTTATTTTCGTCCAAATTAGTCCAAAGTGTGGCGGCAATTTGACCTTCACTTGGCCGCAATGAACGTTACACTAAGTTACTTCATAAAGTTACGTCCCATATAAAATATAATTAATGTTTATTATGTGTAAAAAACATACAGAAATAATATAGAAATTAATTATTTTTGTCAGTGAAAATATTATTACCTTATTTTTACCCATAAAATAATATAATTTAACTGTTATAGAAGTCTTTTCAGTTACAATAACTCACGCTGAATTTTAATTCCAAAGTATTGGCTTATATTGACCGAATCTCCAAAATTTCATAATAAAAAGTATTTCAACAATAAACAATCAATAATTATACAAGTTGAGTTCTAATGCTTTGCTTTTTTTGCAAGAACTTTCAACATGTATCTTTAAACATCTCTTCACATATACTTATATAAATTAAAATTTCACAAATTTTTTACCCTTTTTCGGCTGAAATTTATATGTTTATGAAGTATAACGACTATTTTTTATTTTAACTCTTTATTAATTTTAAGTTTAGTGCCTCAAATTTAATCCATTGAAGCTAAGTCTAAGAGAAGGCGTTTTTATTGTATGTGGTATAATATTGTAGAACGATGTATAAGTGTATTGTAATATGATTTCTTTGTAAGAAAATTTAATACAAATATCCAAAATATTGGAATCAGAACTACGAATGTCAGGAATGATTTCTTATACATTGAAAAACGGTGAAGGCTCTTAAGATTAATACAAAATTAGGAAATTCCTAGAATCGAAATTATAAAGTTTTAATATATGTAAAAATGCAGCTTTAGAGAATATAAGATACTACGTTGTCTTCACAATTTATTTATTTCGAAATCGTTTAAAAAGTGGAAAACCGCGAGACATGTATTAATTATATAAAGTACACAAAATATGGTAAATAAAGTACACGTAGTGATGTCTAAGATTTACATGTATATATTTAAAAGGAACTAATTTTTTATTATTGTATATGTACATACTCCCGACGTTTCGGTTACTTTACAGCAATCGTGATCATGAAGTCGAGATGAAAGTTAATAGGTCTGGATTATGTAGTTAGAAAATAATAAGAACTAATAGTATCCGAAACTTAGTTTCATTTAAATACACATTGGTTAGAAAAACTGAGTTACCTTTAATATACAATAATACAAAGATCATGTCGGATACAAAGGGAAAACATGAAGAAAAAACTCAAAAATTTGAATCAAAATCTCATATAAGATGTACGTAGATGTTGATATTACACCGCATAATGTTATATTTAAACATTTATATATAAAACCTCCCAAATATTAACAACAGTGTCATTTAACCAATATATAGTATAACTACAACTTGTTCTTCTTCTTCTACCTGGCAATTTCCCAGCTTTAGCCAGGGTCTGCCTTTCATGTTGTACATAGTTTTGGCTAATTGTTTTTACGACCGGCCGAATGCCTGACATCAACCCTCTTTGGGAATAACTACATAAGTACTTGTTTTAAAAGTATTTTTTGTTATGTATTATATATGAATAAATCAAAATCAATACATATTGAAACTAATATCTGTTTTAATATTTAATCAAAAGTTTTATTTACTAAAAGAATTCAAAATGTTGGTTTTAATGAAATTTTATTTTTCGACCCAAAATCAAAAGATCCTTTAGTAGATGTGGTTGCCGCAAGACAAGGCTTTATAACATTAGTCGAAAAAGCGAGTGAAATTGATTAAATGTACTAAAATATCTGAATATATTATAAACTATATAAATATTTATTTAAGCTTTAATATACAAACTCGTGGGAAATATGCGTGGAATCGTTTTGGACAGAATAAGTAACAAGCCAGAAACCAGCACGTAAAGAACTAAATGGATTAAAATCCAAAAATGTTCTAAATTCAGCACGAAATTCTAGAATCCTTAAACACTTTTAGACATGTTTATGCAGTCACAAAACATTCTAGAAACTATCTCTTGACCTGTCATTCGTTTTACTCGAGATTAAGGCAGCGATTGATTGTACATTAAAATATTTATTTCGAAAGTTTTGTGTTTAAAGTAAATACTGAATAATATTTTCTGTAATATAAGCCAAGTTCAAAGTTGTACTCTACTCTTTTTGTTACCTGTGCCGGCGTCCTATAAATATTATTTTATTATTTTATATGGATTTATTCTTTTCTTTAATCATTAAGTATGCTAGAAATTTAAAGTAAATCTTTCTATCACATGTATTAATCTCTTTTCTATCTTAATTCAATATAATTCATTATTATTTCAGATTGCTTCGAAAGGATATCTATAGGAGATCAGTTGCCACACGACTCCATCTATCGGAATGTTTCAGAACTCATGATTAAGGAGTGTGAACAGATATGTAAGCAGGACAAGCAGTGTCAAGCTTTTGACTACGGGTAAACATATTCCTACTAATATTATAAATGCGAAAGTAACTCTGTCTGTCTGTCTGTTACGCTTTCACGCCTAAACCACTGAACTGATTTTAATGAGATTTGGTACAGACATAGAGTTGACCTTGAAAAAGAACATAGGATAGTTTATATCCTAGCTTTTTGAAAGGTTCTCTTGGAAACGCGATATAAGGAAAGCTAGTAACTTCATATATATCTTAGAGTTCGTATAAAGACAGACATTTATAATGAAAAATATAGCTGTACCCTAAGTACAAGTTTGAATTATCAAACGGTGTATCGATAGTTTCCAAACTTCTCAATTTAATCTTATTACTATCATGTACAATGATTTATTGTTGAAAAAACTCTAAAGTATTCGTATCTAGTTTGATAAATTTAACTTGAGTAAAAATTTTATCCAAATATAAATTACTTTATACTGATTGAAAAACACATAAATACATAAATAGTACTGTTAAGTGAAATGTAGTTAACATTTTATTAATGTATTAAAATACGTTCCAGTGTTGGGGCTAAAGGTAACGCTACATGCGACCTCAGCAATATAAACGAAAAAGAAATTAAAGAGAAGAATCTTTTACAAAGGAATTCAGATTATGATGTTTATATTCGAAGGATTCTGTGCGACCCGGCGCCACCGACGCCTATCGAGGAACATCTGAATGAGAATGATAAGCCACCCTTACATCGACCAGTGATCAGGCCTCAGGAAGACGACAGAAAACCTTTTGATAATCCTTTTGAATCGAGTAGACCGTTACCCTCATACTCGAACAGACCTAACGCCAATTACAACCAAATAAATGACAGACCCGATGGATACAGCCCCGAAAAACCAGATTATGATAGGCCACCGAGCTACGGTGGCCATAAACCACCAGAACTTCCATATAGGCCTAGCAGACCTAATAATTCAAGGCCTGACGCATACGACGAGTTATACTTTCAAGATAATAGACGACCCCGTCCAGACTATTGGAGACCAGATCCTTACCATCCCGTTCAACCTGATGATGACATCGAGGACATGTATAGACCAAAACCGTCCAGACCACAGAGACCACAGTACACTACAGAGAAACCTCACTATCAATATATTATCAGACCAAGTAAAAATCCTCATACCCCCATCGGTCATGGATATCGACCAGATCCAGATTACCCAACACGGCCAGGGCCTTATGGACCCATTCCAGAACCTTCCCGGCCTATCGGACCCCCAAATGAATATCGGCCCACACGTCCTTACGATAAACCGGTACATACTTATACTGACCAATATGCCAGTAATTACGGTAATCAGGATAATTCCGTTTTCGTCGAGATCTATGATCCACCAAGACCCAGCAGGCCTCATGTAAATGAGAGACCATATTACGGCACCAATTATGGCACGTCCAGTCAAAGTTACGGACAGAATAGTTACTCAAGTCAGCATTCATATTCTCAGAATCAGGCTCATTATGGAACAAGTGCGTGGAATGAAAATTACCATTACGGTCAGCGACCAGCAAAACCTAGTTCACAAGATTACGGTTACAAACCTGAAAAACCTGATCCCAGTGGATATAATGAACCTAATGAAGATACTGGCTACGGGTCCAGACCGACAAAAAAGCCTACACCAACAGAAAATAATAATCAATATGGTCAATCTTTTAACCAAAACTATGGAGAAGCACAGTCAAATAACGCATATTCCAACCAAGGATCTTCCAGTAATCAAGGATATGGGTCTTCCAGTAATCAAGGATATGGGTCTTCCAGTAATCAGGGATATGGGTCTTCCAGTAATCAAGGATATGGTTCTTCCAGTAATCAGGGATATGGGTCTTCTAGTAATCAAGGATATGGGTCTTCCAGTAATCAGGGATATGGGTCTTCCAGTAATCAGGGATATGGGTCTTCCAGTAATCAAGGATATGGTTCTTCCAGTAATCAGGGATATGGGTCTTCCAGTAATCAAGGATATGGGTCTTCCAGTAATCAGGGATATGGGTCTTCCAGTAATCAGGGATATGGGTCTTCCAGTAATCAAGGATATGGGTCTTCCAGTAATCAGGGATATGGGTCTTCCAGTAATCAGGGATATGGATCTTCTACTAATCAAGATAATTATAACCAGGTATCCAATGGTTATGAGAATCGTCCAACAAAAGACCGACCACAAAGCGGCCTTCAAAATGGTTTTGTATACCAAATATCTGCTGGACATAACCAAGTAGATGCTGCCCAATCAAGTTCATATGGGCAGAGTTCTCAAGAACATGCTACTAACCAATATGGTAATCAAGTTGGAAGCGTGAATCAGGTCAGTAATAAACCACAACCAAATGGGAACGGTTACGGAGAGCAACCTATAACTAACAAACCAATTTTGAATAATAATTACGGACAGGGAGACCAAAATCATGGTGATTACGGCCAATCCGTAACCCAAGCCGCACAATCCATGCAATATGGATCTAGCCAAACTTCGACTAGTCAGCAATATGCCAATTCTCAAAGTGGCTATAACAGTCAAAGTATTGCTTCATACGGTCAAGCGTACGGTCAGACTGGATATTACGGCAGCCATTTGGGATATGGGATCCATCATTTGTATGGAATCAAACCAGGAAGTTATGGAAATACAGATGCGAGACCATCATCAGACGGGTCTAGTAATGTTGGTTACGGTAAAAAAGAAGACAGACCGTCAAACAAACCAGCAATTAGACCAGTATATGATGATCCCGATGATAAACATAGCAGGAGACCTGGTTCTGATCGACCGCTTCTCAAGCCTCAAGGCTCAGAGAGGGAGAGGCCAGGGTTCATGTTGAGACCAAACGATGAAATCATCACATCCAGGCCGGTAGCCGTCTCCGATATTGGAAGACGGCCTGAGAACGACTTCAATTACGAAGGTAGGTGACATTTTATTCTACATAACTAACGATACATTATATTTAATAAAATAACTAATTACAGTCTTTTTGAAGAATTATTTTTAATATGAGTATATAAAATATTATTAATACAATGAAAGACATGTCTACGGTGTAGTTATATTTGTTATTAGTTTAGTCTATCATGTAGGAATGATAGTGATATGATTAGAATAAATTAGAGAGTATACTTCGGTACTTCACAATAACTGCGACGTGGCAATCCAAAAGCTCCTTTAAAGATTTTATTGATTCAAGTCCAAATTATTTTCTTACTAAAGGGATCAATAAACTACCTAAGAGATGGCAAAAATATATGAATGGTAATGATAAATTCTTTGATTAAATAAATATATTCAGTTTTGAAAAAATCTAGCATATATTACTCCCTTACAAAAGGTCAGTTTCATGTGTAAAGACTTAATATATAATCCAATTATAAAGGGTCTGTTTCGTCCAAACTATACATATTTTTTATGCCTATCTTCTAGGATTCACTGTTTTTTATAGGGCTTAAGCAGTAAGCAGGCCTACTTCTTTAAATAAAAGAATGTTACTCAATTTGAACGTGTATATTCTGCTATAGGTATACCTACAAAGCTCTGACCTCTAAGATACGATTTGAAAATCTTTGTTTTGAATACGTATGTGTCATGATTAGTAAATCAGAACCTCATGAACTTAATCTTGAAGAAATCCCTATTGACTCAATGGCTTTCTAACAATGTTTATACTAAGTTTCACGTAGATTGGTTCCGTAGTTTGAATTTATTCGTCTCGAGTATTTAGAGTTTTCTTATTCAGAATGCATCTTCGCTGGATTTTTCTATCTCAATCTCATTATATAAATCAACTTTTTTTATATAAATTTAAAGTCTGTGTCGAGTATACTGTATTAATTCTGAGAGATTACTTTTTGCTTGTTTAAAATACTAAGAAGATTCGTTTCAACCAAGTTTTGATCGTTGATTCGTTTTAACCAAGTTTTTGTCCCATAGACTACAAAGTAATAAAGTAACATTTAGCAGCGCCTGCCCAAATGTGACTGCAATAATCCAAATACGACCGGATCTATACATTGCATATACAACGAGGCTTCCGGCTTACCATATTCTGGCAATTTAATAAGGTCACTGAGTTTCCTTGCTTTAGACTCAATGAAGCACCCAAAGTTAAATTCGAGGATACCTTAATAGTCAATACCAAATAACCCGAAATGGTCGGAATACTAAAAAGATATGACCTGAAAAGTTAGGGTCAAGTTGAATAAATTCTCTTGGCGGTAAAAAGCTTTTAATTTAATTAACTAAATGCCTATATAGCCTGATTTACAAGACGTTTACATACAAAACAACCTTCAGACAATCATAACTCAAGTATTACTCAGCGTTAACAGTTTTTCATTCATAATTTTTTGCACATAAATAGTATTAATGTAAACTATTGAATGGGAAACGGGAAATGAAAACATTCGTTAGCGTTGGAACACAAACTTGTAGTAAAAGTTCAGATGAGAAGTATTTAATATTGTACATATTTATTATTTACGTTAAGTATGTAAGAATTTGATAAACAGTAAGAATTAATAAGACTAAATATGACTAAGCGTTAAGTCTCTTTATATTATGTAGAACTTCAGAAAGAAACATTATCTCCCTAAGTCTTCCGCCAAACCTTACTTATGCCAATTATGTTAATTTTTACATAATAATAACAATAATTATTGAACTGTGAACAACATTTTGCGGTGTACAGAACAATAGTATTTTTTACTTCATGTTTTTTTGTTACTTTTAATAAAATGTAGATATCAAATATAAATTTGGTAGACCTTGATTGTTTATCAAGAAAGTTAAACTAAACTTAAAAGTTATCCATTTAAGTAGAATCACATAGTTTTAACGATTATCTAATAATTATTTTTGTCAGTTACACAGTTACTTTACCTATTTACGGTTCTTATATAGTAATATTTTCCATCTGACTGTTCTATGTTATATTTCCCACAAATTTATGAAGATTTTCACGATCTAAAGTCGTTAATCGTTGACAAAATTCAACAGATTCAGGATAAGGTTTTAATATTGTTTCATAATGAAATACTTTTTTTCCATATTATTTATAATATATTTTATAATAAAACAGAAAACAGTCTTTACCTAGTCGTAATAGATTTCATTTAAAAAGATTATTTAGAATGGAATACAGTTAAAACGCAGATTTATTAGATTCTTCCGAATTAAGTTTTAATTTCTTAAATTCACGTATTGATACAATCAAAAACGATTACTTTAAAAATCAGTTTTTACTTTAAAACGTTTATATTTCATACAAATAAATGAAATTTAATATAAAAAATAACCAATTACAAAACTGTTGGGTCTTTTAGATTTATTTGAAATATCTAAAATTAATAACTTCTTCTTCTACCTGGCAATTTCCCGGCTATAGCCATAGTCTGCCTGGCATGTTGTGAATAGTTTTGGCTAATTGGTTTTTACGACCTGCCTGACATCAACCCTCTTTTGGGAATACATTCATCAGTGATGTCTAAATATTGTTAGAAAGTACATATGACTCGGAAAAATCACATTGGTACTTGCCCGGGCACGGCCATCTAGAATTAATAACTGCCTGGGTCAAATTCAGATACCGCAATGTACTATTTATATACTTTATATATATACATATATTTTTATTATAATATGTGATGTTCAACTCTTCATAATAACTATATAATTGCGACGTGTTGATGTCGGTGCTTCAACAACCTCGGTATTGTTTCACCGCACGTACAGATCGTTATTTATATTTAAAATCATCTGACCGGTAAGGGCATGACCTTATCATTATTTTGGGAAAATGTGTGAGAAACGAAACTCTCCATCATGAAAAGGTACCACCGGAATATTATAGTAGGAATATTGCCAGAATAAATAGTTTCAGATTCTTTATTTGACTGAAAGCTTAAAATAAGAGTGACAATATAATATTTTTCATTTAATCCTTTTTAAATTATGACCCAACTAGTAATGTAGACGAACAATCTTTGAGTATATTTTATGATATCTATAGTACCTAATACTTGAAGATTACGTTTTTTTCGTTATGACATCAAGCGATACTAAATAATTTTTTTTTGGATAGGCTCAATCTTTTTTTTTGCTAAGGCATAACCGGAAATTCATTAAAAGCACATAAACAGTAAGAAATCTTTAATACTAGTTTTATATATGTATATGAAATAATAATTTTGTTATTCAAAAAATATTTTATTGTAAAAGTATCCAGGAATTCTAGTTTTATGAATCATTCTTATTTATCAAACTTATAATCGATTACAAATATAAAATTGACAACAAAGACACATTTAATAACTCCAATTTAAGTCCCAATACTTTAATTGTTATTTAACTATTATATCGACACGCGTGAGGCAATATATGAATAACTAGTTTTTACGCGCGACTTCGTCCTCGTTAATTTCAGCATTAGTAATACATATGTACATCTGACCGGGCGAACTCTATTTCGCTCTAGAGGCCATAAATAAGCAGATATTTATGTCGTTATTTTTCTTTTTCAAACGAACATAATTAAATTTCCTATGTCCGTCTCCTGGTTCTAATCTATCTTTTCACCAATTTTCAACCGTTCTTGAGTTATAAATAGTGTGACTAACACGGATTTTTTTTATTTGTGTACACGTCAACACTGCCTTATATCATTGAGGAAAAATCCTAACATTCTTACAGGCTGGCTACATCCAATATTAATGAAACGTAGCCAATACCTAAAAATACGGCAATCAAAACGGTAGATCCATGATCTACTATGTCAAAGACTTGTACACTTCCTTGTCGGACCTCAAAACAAAAAAAAAACGTTTTGCAGAAATCATATAAGTCATAAATTCCACCAAAATCTTCATGGTAATCGACAAAGGCCCGTAATCAGCGGCTCAAGTCCCATGATTTTATACATAATGCTATATAATGGGAGGTCTAAGCAATTTGACCAGAGCCTACCTATGAACACGCGCGTGGGACAAGCCATTGGAGACTGCTCCTCATGAGAACGAAGACTTGTGTTGTTAAAACTTACAGAATTATATTGATACAGAAAAATAAATAGGCGAAAAAGAAACTCATACAAACAAGTTATTACGATCACCTAAAATAATGGGAAAAGAAAGAGGAAAAATGTATTAATATATTGTTTTGTACATTAATATCGGATTTCCATAGAAAAACCATTCACTCGAATGGTGGGAGCTTCAAAGGAGACATAGGAAACAGCCTCAGCGGCCAAAGACCCACCACTTGGACCACAGCGAGATGCCAATCTGATATCGGAGAATCTTTTTGTGTTCAAAACTTATTGTTAACGTAATGTTATAAAGAGGTTCTTGTGCCTGTGTGTGTGTGTGTCTGTGAGTGTGTGTGTGTGTGTGTCCTTCACTATTGTCTCGACGAGATTTATGTTTTGTTCATAATTTTTTACTTTAAAACGACTTAATACAAGTTTCCTGTATTGGGTACAGGAATTAATGAAACATATTCCGATTTCTATATTAATAACAGGTGCCAGTTACATGCAGTAAACTACCAGATATTATCCAGAATATAAGTTACTATTACACCTGGATTAAATTCAAAAGAAAACGTTATTCTCTGATCTGGAAACACCTGGAATTACATGCTTCAGAAATAACCAGTAGCTAGGAATATTCGTCTGCCAAAAAACACGTAAAATGGGAGAAAAACTAACAAATTATTATGACCTTAAAGGTTGACGGAACAGAGAGAAGATGTAATATATAGCTGACGAATTAGTTCTCCAATTTTAAGCCAAGAGGTGACCCTAATAACTTAGATCACGAGGAAATATATAAATGCCTTAAATTCTTTTGTTTCAACTGTCAAGGTCGATAGACAATACATCTGGAAGATTTATTTGACTGCTGACTTCACTTGGCAAAAAATATATAAATTATTATACTGATATTAATTACAATTAACACACAACTATGTCGACTGTCAGATAGTATGTAAAGATAATTTAAATTCATCTTCTTCCTGGTAATTTCCCAGCTTTAGCCAGGGTCTGCCTTACATGTTGTGAATAGTTTTGGCTAATTGTTTTTACGAGCACCGCCTGCCTGACATCGACCCTCTTTGGGAATGCATTAATCAGTCATTTAAAGATATTTTAAATTATAAAATTATATTATATTGAGAAGCCTAAATAAGTATTTTTTTAATGATACTAAGTTTGTAATACTACGCTTTTTTTATTGTTTTATAACTACGTGATTCGACGTGTCGGTTCCTTTATAGCAACCATGATCACGAAGACGAGATGATATCTAAGATATTATAAATTTAGTTGTATAAAGTATTTGAACACGACTTTATTTATACATCTGGTGTCTTCGTTGTAGACCTAGCTTTACAATGAGCATTCATTATTACAAAGACTAAGTTTTATGTCGTTTTTTTATATGTCTATAATTACTGTAGTGCTTGCTCACTTAAACATACTCGTATTAATTTTCGTGGACTATAATAGGCAGTCAAATATACAAAATGTAAAGGTTACAACTTCTAAATCTTTAAATGAAACTAATATTTTCGGTTTACTACGCCTATTTTAATATTTTAAAACTACATACTCCCGAAGTTTCGGTTACTTTTCAGCAACCGTGATCATTAAAGCGAGAAGTGATCTGAAAATATTAGTTTCATTTAATAAACACTCGCGAAAATCTTAGATCTCATTGAAAAAACTTATTACATAAAAGAAGCTTTAAAACCTGAAATTTATAAAATATGAGTAATCTTAGTATACATCGCTACTTCTTACGACGCGTTTCCCGTTTCTGACTATAAAACCTACGTTTAGAATCGAAACTTCCCAACATCCATGTATTAACCAAGCGGGTGCCGGGTCCATTGCATCTATGTGTGAAGATTTATGAATGAAAGCCTGTTAACGCTGCGTGTGTAGTGTGACGCTGAATACTTGTAGTAAGGCAGATCTCTATGAAATGATGTTCTATTCTTATATCATAAAAAAGACATTTTTAATACATTGTTAAACAAAAATTTATAAATTAAAACTGTTGTATATCGTCTTTTCATTTTGATGCAGGAAATGATGAAATATTTTTTAAAATATTAGTCAAATATACGGTTAAATTAGAAAAAACAGTATTTTAACATATAACTTCTTTAACAATATGAGTAACGTAAATACAACTGTTTTACTTTCCTTGTGCTTTTATTTCTAAGTGAGAGTAAAGTTTTGTTATTATTATAGAAAATATATACATACTACGAATATATTACAAAAAAAAAAATGTTTTTTTTACAGTTATTAGTCTTCTAATCTTAAAGTACCTATTTTTATATTCGTACAAAGTAAATATCTTTATTTTTCATTTCAAATAATATACTATCGAAAGAAAAATCTCCACATTTGTACAATCCCCTCACACTCCACACTATACTTCCCCTTTACACGTTGTACACATTTATGTATTGTGTACATCTTAAACGTAATTTTTGTACATTCCAGTGTAATTCACAATAATTCATATCAATAAGTACTTACAGTACTACAACATACAATGGTCGGATATGTTGAGTTTTTGAATTAAATTCTGTTTTTGAGACAATAGCACGAGCGACGGCTTATCAGCTGCGATCAGCTGACGTTGGATTAATGTGGACATGACTCGTTAGAAAACGTATTAAATAATAGAGATATATATCATAATTTTAACCAAAAAGTTTATAAGCCCAAAGAGTATTATCTTATTAATAACAAGGAGGTTTTATATCTTTTTTAATGTCATACAATATATTTTTTGATGTCATTTCATTATAAATACACATCCATACATTTATATGTATCTCGCATATAAGCCTACACCCGACAATGCTACTGTTCAGTCGTTACGTGTTACCTTTGACCCACATACAGCTCTGTGGTGGAAAAAAAATATAAAAACTCTTTGCTTAAAACCTTATTGGTTATTTTTTTTATCTATGTAATGTTTTTTGGCGCGTATTTTTCTTTCAGTGGAGTAGTATGCTAGTGGTCAGTGTATGTTGTAGGACGTCGAAGTGTTCCGAGTGATTCAGATAATGTCAGTTTTTTATAAAAATGTTGAAGTGTTTTATATATTTGTGTGTGTTAGTACATGTAGCGGTTTGTACTAGAGTTATACTCGTTGAGAATGCACCAAGTATGTATATAATTATAACCATATATAAAATAATCAGAATTTTTACGAAAGATAAATATAAATTTTCTGAATATTAATTCAGAAAATAAAAATGATTTTTAATAGAAACACGTATAGATAAAAAGGAACGCAAATCATTATGGGCCATAAATTAATTAAATTAATTGTATGCTTTTTTTGTATTAATATATAAAGTGAAATAAATTAGAAAATGCTATTAATATAGTCAGTAATAAACCTTTTAACCAACTTAGTTTAAGACGTAATGTTGATTTTAACTAAATTATAATAAGACAATTATTTGTACATTAAATTATTAGATGAATGTCTTATAGAGATATTTAAACGTGACGAACTTATAAATGCATTTATTAAAATTATATTTCTATCAGGTAGATGGGAAAAAAAAATAAGATGACTCAGAGACTATAGGAATGTCATATTAAAACTAAAACAAAATTTATGACATATTTATCAAAAAATATATACATTTTCTAACGAGTATAGTCATTTAATTATTTTTTTCGTGTTAATTATTAAAATACCGTGATTAATACCAGGTTTAAAGAGAATCTTCAGATATTGAGATTTTACATTTAAAAGCGATCTTTAAGACAAGTATTGTTTTTAACACGTAAAATATAACATATTTGATCATTAAATAAATTTAATTTATTTTGAAAATCATGAATTATGAATTAAAGATTCGATTTAATCATAGTGAAAAACTATTTTAATCCTTTTATATGTTAATATTTATGTGATAAACTGATAACTCATTTTTATACTGACTTTATTTTGTTATATTATAGTCTTAGTTTGGTTTGTTGAAAGCATTTTAAATGCAACTAAACACTCTACTTCTGAAATAAATATAAAATGATTTTCATAGTTTAATGTATCTATATATAATGTGTCAGTGGTGGCTCAGTGGTTAAAGGGCCCGCCTCTCGTCGCCGAGGGCGCGGGTTCGATCCTGACCCGGGCAAGTACCAATGTGATTTTTCGGAATCATATGTACTTTCTAAGAGTATTTAGACATCACTGATTAATGTTGATTCCCAAAAGAGGGTTGATGTCAGGCAGGCGGCCGGTCGTAAAAACATATAGCCAAAAAACTATTCATAACATGTAAGGCAGACCCTGGCTATAGCTGGGAAATTGCCAGGTAGAAGAAGAAGATATATAACATCGTTATATAAACGAAAGCTTTATTAGTGAGATGTCTAAAACACTATTTAATACTCACAATTATATCACAGATTTTATTATTTAATAATTTAACTTATATATCCATATATAAGAAAGTCGCGTTAGTTACACTGTTTATAACTCAAGAACGACTGTCCGGATTTAGTTGAAAAGTGGGGAGTTAGTTTGAAATCAGGAGACGGACATAAAATACTTTTAAATTCGTTCAACCAAAAAAAAATGCTAATAAAATCTACAATCTGTTTATTTACTGTCTCTAAATCGAAACCGTTAACCTGGTCAGCTATATATTTGTAATTATGAAACTAACGCGGACGAAGTCAGGGGCAAAAACTAGTATTATATATATTATGTTTTTTTGTTTCAGCTTGTTTCAGACGCGTGCTGGCTGGGAAGAGAGCTGTAAGGAGTCACGTGAGGAGGGTAGTTGACTGTGAGCGACTTGAAGACTGTAGGAGGGAGTGTGCTAATGAGAAGAGGTTCCCTTGTGAGAGTTTTAACTACAGGTAGGGGTTAATGGGAGTGAGAGACATACATACACTCATTACGTTTAGAGATACCTCTCATCATTCAATGTATTCACGGTGCGTGTGTCGGGTCCATCGTTGTAGTGAGAGGAGCTTCAACAGTGACTGGGACTTGCGACCCAGGTGTAGGTTTAAGGAGTTACTATCTCACGCGCGTTAAACGCTCATCTTCACTGACCAAGCTCCACTTTTTACCTAACACAATTTGAAAATAACATATATATGTACATACATATGTGTGTGTGTAGAGGAGTTCTATAAATTTGTATGATAGGAGAATTTATAGTACATATTTAAACTTCCGTAACCAAAAAATGCTTCAAATATTCAAGTAGTAGATTATCAGATAGTTTGTTTAAGACCCTCTAGTTGAGCTAAGATCCAAGAAAAGCTTTCATATATGTTCAGCATTTTCAAAAGAATCATTTGATCTTGTTAACTTACTAAAGTGTTTTGATGCATTTAAAATGTACCAAATCAACTATATACTAAATGTTCTAGTTTGTTTCTTTCTCAATATTTCTCTTTTTCTGGTCTAAAAGACGCTTCTAGCAAGTGTAGTAGTAGTTGAAAGCACTAGATCTACATAATGGCTTTCATACTTACTAATAGGGTCACTAAGAATAGGTTCGTCGTAAATTTGTACGCCGTAGAAGTGAGAGCGAGAGGTATAACAGTTAAATCTCTCTACAACTCTCTCGCTACAAAAAAATTTTAGAACGTACTTCGAAGGCAGCCCCTAGTAGATTCGTTTCAAATTTGATTATGTAGAGAGAGGAGCTTGGACGGTGGAGGTGAGCGTTTAACGCGTTAGATAGGGACCCCTTAAACCTACACCTGGGTCACAAGTCCCAGTCACTGTTGAAGCTCCTCTCACTATAACGATGGACCCGACACACGCACCGTGAATACATGGAATGATGAGAAGTTTCGTTTATAAATTAATATGAATGAATTCGCTACTAATGGAGTATTTAAATCGAGTTATTTTAACTTCTAGTAGTAATTCTCTCACGTTAATTTCGCACGATTGTTATTTCCTGATTCGTAGCCTGCCTTGAGAGGTTAACGCGGACGCAATCTTTGGGAGTATTAGTTGTTGCAATGGAATTCAATGGGGTTTTTCATGATGGATATTGGCGTAATATTTCTCAACATGATATACTTTTGTTATGGACTGACAAGTTAATAATATATAGACTTGATTCGATTTAATCTTATCCTTGACATAGATTTATATCTATAGATATATTGAGATGAGATGAAGTCAGTGGTGGCCTAGTGGTTAAAAGGCCCGCCTATCATGCATGAGGGCGCCGTTTCGATCCTGGCAAGTACCAATGTGATTTTTCCGAATCATATGTACTTTCTAAGAGTATTTAGACATCACTGATTAATGCATTCCCAAAGAGCGTTGATGTCAGGCAGGCGGCCGGTCGTTAAAACAATTAGCCAAAACTATTCACAACAAACAACTGGCTAAAGCTGGGAAATTGCCAGGAAAAAGAAGATATATTGAGATGAGATTTAGATTACTTTAGCTTCATACAATATCCTCTTATATATGTTTTATATATTGTCAAAACTCAATGAATGTGTGGGTTATATGTATGTTACGAGAAAACTACATACTGAACTTGACTAAAATTACAAATCAAGACGCAACTTCTTTTAAATAAAATAATTCAATACTACTCCATAAAACAGCTTTTCTAACGTTAGAATAAAATCTCGTCTATTAAACACAAAATTCAACGTTGAACGTCAAACTATCAGTTTAAACTGACGATAATAATTTATACTAAGGATAATGCCGTTCATTCATATATACTGTTACTGTGATTACATTTTTATATAAAAAATATTCAATAAAACTGTGTTTTAAGTAATAATAACCTCGGCTGGTTATCATATGCGCCATCACCATTGTTCGTTCACCTTGTACAGGGACGGGCGGAGTCACGGGAAGGAAGTTATGCGAATATTACATAGAATAGAACACATATATATATATAGATATATGAAACTTATAATTTTTCGGACTATATTACGTATTTTTTGTATCATTTTAACTATATACTCCCGACGTTTCGATTACTTTTCATCAACCGTGATCACGGACAGACGAGACGTCGGGAGTATGTTGTTTTAAAATAATAAAATACGCGTATTAATCCGAATAATATTAGTTTCATTTAAATGAATAAAAGTCTTAGAACTCATTACATATTTACAAAAGGTATTATAGTATATTTGGATTATAATCTATATCTTCTATATATATAAAAATGGATTGCTGTTCCTTAGTCTCGCTAAAACTCGAGAACAGCTGAACGGATTTATCTTATCTTAGTCTTGAAATGTTCGTGGAGGTGCATGGAAGGTATAAAAGCTGAAAAAAAATGATTCATTACTGGGAAAACCATAAAAACAGCGCTTTTCTATTTCCCATACAAACGGGTTTTTTGACATTAGATTTGACAACTAACTAATATGTCAATCATTCTGTCGTACTTTAGAACACGGAGATTTATGGTTTAAAGGTAAACTCCAAAAAAATTATAAAGAAATAATTTATTTCTTGATTGAGGCAGTACGAAGTCTGCCGGGTCAGCTAGTTTATAATATATATATATATATATATATATATATATATATATATATATATATATATATATATATATATATATATCGTAACTTGCACTGGATTTTTTGTTTTTATAGGCCATAGGTAAAGTTTTAAATCCGTCCCTCATCAAGCATTATTTGCATACACCAACATCCATTTAATATGACCCAGATATTAATGATTACTGTCATTATAACTCAAGGCTTAATACTGTTTTATATAAACAGACTTACTACGAGTTGTTACGCTAAAAATGACGTTTTTAAAAAGTACTAAGTTCGGAAAAGTAGGTTTTAATAGTAAGGTAATATTATCGTAATGAAAAAAATGTCATACATACATACATATAGTATATAGCAAGGCATTATTTCATGTGTATTAAAATTGGACAGTAGGTATCCCTATAAAATTCTTTGTTAGATTTCTTTAAGGTGGCACTTCACTTGGTGTTTATTTGTTATTCGGCCAAATAAGATCATGTGTGGAGGATTTATTCGTCTTCATTTGACATATTTGCACAAATAACACACATACACAAATAAGCGAAAACGCGTAAAGATGTGTGGTGATGCCAAGTGTGGATGTCGTGTTTGCGCTATTTGGACAAATACGGCAAATACGCTACGCCAAATGAAGTGCCACTTAAACTAAACACTTTATTGAAAGCAAATATTCTAGCACGAGACAAAAGTTACAATAATTACATAGAGCATAAATAATAGAAAAAAATAAACATGTATATCCATATCCATAGACTATCTTACTTAATAAATTTTTTTATTCAACAATGTGTAGATTGGACCCCAGTTTCCGAGGAAAAGGACTGTGCGAGCTAATGACAAAACCGATAGAAGCCTTCGACCTTCGACAGGACTTCGTTGAAGATAAAGATTACGATTTCTACGAAGTAGACAGGAATAGCTTGGAACCTTACTGCCCTGAAACACTAAGGGGACCGGGGCTCTTACATTCTGGCTACCTATCATCTAGGAACCAGAAAGTGACGTCACAAAACCAGTGGAGAGACAGAAACTGGTCTGCTCATGATTATAGGACAAACAATAGGTTCTATAATGAGAAGAAAACTTCTAACACACGGTATGAACAGCCTTACATACCGTATCAGATTGGTGAGTGTCGCAAAACGATACATTAATAACATACACATATATAAACCATTTATATTATATTGTTCAATGAAGTTATTAATAAAATATTGTAATAGTAAAAGTGAGTTTCTTTTACCTTCGTAATGTATAACTGAAACAAACATTTGTTGGAATAAATATAATAGAATCTTAAATAAGCCTGTGAAAATTTAAGAGCAATGACGAAGCTTTACAGAATGATGGTATAAAATTTATTAATTGAACAAAAAATGTGTTTTGAAATGAAAAATATGTACGACAAAAAGCTCATTTGAATAAAAACACTATAAAGATTTTTTGTTGTATTTTTTTATTATATTATTAAATTATAAACAGAATTTCAATTACGAATTATAACTAATTAATGCTCATAGTCCAATTAAAAATATTTAGACAACGAGTATATTCTTTATAAAAACACTTAAAGTATATAAAACACTGAATTCTAGGTATAAGCAGAACAGACGATGAGAAAGATAGTTGGGGCAAGTATGGAGGATCCTATGGCGTTGATAATTATTACAAAGACAGAAATGATTACCACAAATCTATAAGCCATTGGGGGCTTAGGGAAAACAGCGAGGAGTATCACAGAGAAGAAAACTACAACAGTTTGAGGAGACAACACGAGCAGGAGTTTGATTACAACAGTCTGAGACATGTTGACGAACACCTGGAACACGGTGACCAACACCTGGAATATGGATACGGCACCTGGAAGAAAGGCAGGTGGAACAACTCTGGAAGCTTCTGGAGAGACGACACTCCCACCAAGATAGAATATGATGAAGATGATAATGTTAAAGGTAAGATAGAATATATGGATAGGAAAAAAATTTAATGGTGTATGGGCTTATTGGAGACTATTTTATGTCATAGGTTTAAGTCCTGATTGTGTTATACTTTAATATGTTGGTAAACTAAAATGGATAGTTTTTCTGTTAGTAATTGTCATAACATACGAAATTTCAATTGTCACTAAATAATTCACGTTAAAACTATAATGTAGGTATTTTATACATTAGAAGAATTTTAATACTCCTTATGAGTCATAATCATATGGGTAGTTTCTGTTTGAGCTGTGTCCTGTAAGGTATGTTTTATTATCGTGTATCAGACTGTTCGTCTCGCCGCCGCCCGGGCATGTCCCTGGGAGTTGGTGCGGTCCGTCGCTCCCTGGCCGCTAGGACCGTCGTGGACTGTGAGACCGCCTGCTTCGGGGAGAGGAACTTCAAATGTGTTTCATACAGCTACAGGTCAGGGTGAATGAACTTTGGTCGGTTCGATGGTTTATGGTGGAAGAATTTTGTGCCAGATATGACTGTTATTCTAGGGTTTTGATGCTGTAAATCATATATAAAAGAATTAAAATGAAATTTAGTATCACAAAGAACAGAATTATTTGTTTGAATGGGCCTTATTCCTATAATAAAGGTCAGTTAGTATCGTCGAAGCGAATTCCTTGCAGGTATTCAAGTCCTCCAGGGTCAGACAACTGTTTCCTGAGTGAGAGGCCCTACAAGGGTCTGGAGATGTCCGCGGACAGCAGCTCGGACGTGTATGCCATGCCGCTGCATCATGACTGCCTTACCATCAGCACTAAACCATGGGTGGAAAGCGGTGGGTAGATAAAAATATATATTTATATAAACTGCTGTTTGGACCATTAAAATTATTGATATGTGGTGATTACATATTGATGTAGACAGGATACTGTTTTTTTATATGTTTGTTCCGCCAAATCTCAGAAACGTTTAGACCTATCCTGATATGAATTTCACTTGTAGATAGATTATGTAATACGAAGTGATATGGACTACTTTTTCATTAAAAAATATTTATAATATATTATTAAAATCGAAAAGTAATCCAGTATATATAATTTGTGAGTTTCAAAGAAAATTTATCTTTACAATCAGCTTCGTTCAATTAAAATAGACATAAAAGTAACTAAGGAACCCTTGGTTAATTTAATAAACACCCTCTATCATAATGTATGTACCTCCTCCTCTGCTCATAATTTCTTTTAAAACCCACTCATTCATTTCTTCGCTCTCTATATGAATACTTATATTCCCATGGTTATATCGAGCTCACTTATAGTCTTATCCATTCTCTACCCTGGCTTCGTCTGTGTTCTATCATATCAGTATATATCCGTGTAAGTATGAAGGCTGTTTGTTCTTAGAGTGTTTCTGGCACGTTCGGTCCGGGGCCGCCCTATCCCGGGCCTCGGTCCGCTCATCTCTGACTGTGAGCGGGCTGGGAGCGTGTGAGGCGGAGTGTATCAGGGCTCACGGCTTCTTCTGTAGAGGATTCAGCTTCAGGTACGTTGACTCGACCTGAGCATACACAAAGAAGGTTCTACGTGAATAAACCTCATTAATACTTTATGACAAATAGATGCTTTTGTTTTGTTTATGGATATATATTGCAAAAAAAATATTATGCTTGAATTTTTATTACTGTCACATAAAATACATTTATAACACCCCTACTATAATACTACACACATACACATGTATCTACACACTTCTACGTCTTCCTCCAGGTTCGATCCTCCTACAATAGGTGATGACCTTGAGAACTGTCTGCTGACGTCATCACCCCCCACCACCCTGGACCTGTCCCGCGGCCTCACCCCCAACAAGCACGAGCTGTACTCCCGCGGGAACTACGGCCGGGGATGTGAGCCCGCGCTATACGACGACGCTGAACATGAGCCGCGTGAGTACTACACGCACACACACACACACACACACACACACACACACACACCTCGACTGGCTCATGTTAAACTAATTGGATGCAATCATTTGTTGAATAAAAATTATACGTGTTACTGTTGATATTGGCTGTATGCATAGAATATGAGTTTGGTTTATAGTATGAGATGCTAGCAGTTAGTAGTTGTACAATTGAAAGAAGTCAAACGTCAGATGTCAGATAACAGATTTTTATGACAGATGTCAAACGTTAAACGTCAAATGTCATATATTTAAAGCGAGATGTCAAACGTCAGGTGTCAAGTGTCAGGCTTTAATATGAAATGTCAAACGTCGTTATGCCACTTCATTTTCTCTTCCATGAAAATGTCATGTCGTGCAAAATTTCTATTCGTACTTTATGTGAATGACCTACGACGTGCTTGACTCCTTACACTTTCCTAACATTGACTATAAAGTGTAATTTTATGATTATTCAGCTATTTATATAATACTACGATTCTATACTATTATTATTAAAACAATTTATTTAAATTTATGTCTTATTCACAAGCTACGTCTTTTCAAAATATGCAACATAAATTGTGACTTAATGTTAAAAATTTAAAAAATCACAAAAAAATTACAAGGAAAAAACTAAACGATGGGTGCTTACATTCAAAATTAGTAACAAATATTTTAGGTTCAACAATTATATACTCTAATACTGCCGTACTGTCAGTTTAACAGTATTTAAATATACTCATAATAATTATTACATGTATAATATTCCCAAAAATAATTCATGATTAACTCAAAGTATAACATTCAATACGCGTACCTTAAGTATACACAACACACTACTCACACAAAGTTAATAGTTTTTCGTACGTAGTGTGTTGATGAGACTAGTGGTAAGCACACAGAGCGATATAAAATCTATCAAATTACACGATACGGTAACTTTCATAGAGAAATGTTCGGTGTAAGAGTGGCTACAGACGCGGGAAATGAGCTGAGTTTCACCATGTATTCAAATGAAAGTTAAGCAGATTGAAAATGTACCATTCATGTGACTAGCCTTCACTCAACATTGTATATAGAAATATTAACGCATTTGTATAGAACAATATTCTCCTGTATTTAATACTAATTTTAATAAAATTTATAATTCAATATTTACTGTCAATAGTTTTATCACTTTTGTTTTATTAAATACATCTAAGTTTCGTTTAAACAAAAGATGGATATTACGTAATTGTATTAACAAAATCTATTAGTTTTTGTTTTAATATTCACACAGTTTCTGTCTCACTAATATTAATCTTATTTGTATGTATTTATTTATAAAAGACTTTCCAAATCGATTCTGATACTAAATCGATTATTATAAAACTTTGTATATATTTAACTTAACATTGAAAGGAGACAAAAATGGGGGAACGTTTCAATCAATAAAACTTTGGTGTTGCATCAAAAACCCGGTTAAAATCTATTATTCTAATGACATCTAATATTATCGCGAGTATTCATTCAAATAAATGTAATATTTTGGAATTACATTTATCAGATGACAATTAAAAATACCAACTGACATTTTCATCTCGTCTATTCATGATCACGGTTGCTGTAAAGTAATCGAAACGTCAGTAGTATGTAGTTTAAATAATATAATACGCGTAGTATTCCGAAATTATTAGTTTTATTTAGTAGAGGGTAGTTTAATAGTAGATTGGAGTACAAAAGTGGGGTGTAGATTCAAAAATGACAACCTCTATATTATATTTCCATACAAAGCTATGGTTAGTATCCCGGTGAGTATGTTATATGAGTGAAGGATCTTCTTCTCAGAGTGCTACCTGCAGTACGTTCAGTCAGCTCGACTGACGCGCGGCGCGGTCAGAGGTCGAGCTCGCACCTCAGACGAGCGAGCGTGTGGTCGAGCATGTACTGACGCGCCGTTCAGGTGTCTCAGCTTCTCATACACGTAAGTATTCATACATTACAGGAATAGCAATAAGAAATAAATTATATGTCTTTCTGTCCAATGCCAGATTCAATAGGATCATATAGGAGTTTGAATCCTGTTTGGGTAAAGATATTAAGACTTGGACTTTATTGTAAAAAGTACATGAAGAGACACAACTCATTGGACCTCGTGGGTTAAAAAGAAATTTAGAAGATAATTTTGAGGATTCTAATATTATGATACTAATGCCGTTATTTTGCCGAATAGTATAGTTGTTATAGATTTTTGTTACTTAATAGTTAATCGCGTAAAAACGACTGAATGGATTTTGATGAAACTTCACAATAATATATTTTACTTACAAGAATAAAATGTACTATAATTTATTCTGGAATTACTTGAAGGTCCCGCAATGAACGCGTAATACTTGTATTGTGTACATCCTCACGTTGTCACTAAAGACACCGCTGATGGTTGTTTGTCAAATACAGTTGTTTTAAAACATTTTATACATTTTCTCTGAAGAAGCATCCCAATCTTACTGTTATGTTAATGCAGATGGAGTCGCGGGCAAAAACTAGTATAGGTTATATGTATAATATATATTTCCAGAAGCAACGCTCCTCCCGACACAGACAACTGTCTGTTGTCAGAGATCCGTCTGTTTGACTTACACCGCGGCGTGGACTACGAGCACTCCGCTGACGACCTGCTGTTCGCGTTTGACCTGTTCAACGGACAGTGTTGGAGGAAGATACACGGGAAACATGACTATGAGTGAGTTACACGAAGGAATAGAGGTTATAGGCCCGCCTCTCGTGCATGAGGGCGCGGGTTCGAAACCTGGCAAATAACAATGTGATCTTTCCGAGCCATATGTACTAAGTGTCTGTCTAATCATTTTCATTTAGTCAGCCCGTGATCACGGTTGCTGCGAAGTAACCGAAACAACGGGTATGTAATTAAAATAATAAAATACGCGAAGTAATCTAATAATATACTGTATGAGTCTTAATTGTAACTTCTATTAACAATATTTAATTAATTAAAGTTCCATTATGATTTCCATCAGAGTTCCAACACTCGAAGTGCCACATCCAATACAGACAGAAGAAAATTATCCCTTATCCGGACCAGACGCGCCGCCTTCAGGTAAAGACACGTATCACTTGATTATTTTAACTAATATAAAAAATATTAATACTATAAATCCTTTGTTTCAGAAACTTATATAAGCTCAGGTCCGAGCGGTCCACCAGCTCACAAACCGTACATAATAGAAACCGACTTTAAACCCGGTTCTAAACCATACCTCGAAAGCGGAGAGAGCGATAGACCCTTCGAATATCCGGAACCAGGGTATAAACCGTATAATAAACCATACCGACCAGATTATGAACCGGACAAACATGATGGTTACAGACCTAGACCGAGTGGACCGGACTTGAAACCACCTTATGCTCCAAATCCATCTTATGATGGTCCATCTATTAGTCACTCTAGTGGGACCTTAATAAGTCAGTCAGGTGGTGCGTCGTACGGCTCTTCAAGTAACTTCGCTGGCAGCTCATCTTATGGTGGCCATGAATCCCATGTCGGTTCAGATCACAGTTCTTCCGCATACGGCGGTTCCGCCAGTAACTCCAACTACGGTTCTGCAAGTAACTCAGGCTATGGGTCGTCAATTAATTCAAACTATGGTTCCTCAAGTGGTACAGGTTATGGATCTTCAAGTAATTCTAATTACGGCTCTTCAAGTGGCTCAGGATACGGTTCCTCAAGTAACTCCCACTATGGTTCCGCAAGTGGATCAGGGTATAGCTCATTAAGTAACTCCAATTACGGCGCCTCAACGGGCACAGGTTACGGTTCATCAAGTTATTCAAATTATGGTTCTTCGAGCGGTTCAGGTTACGATTCATCAAGCAACTCCCACTATGGTTCTGTGAGCGGCTCAGGCTATGGGTCATCGAGTAATTTGAACCACGGTTCCTCGAGTGGGGCGAGTTACGGTTCAGTGAGTGGTTCCAGCCATCACTCAGGTGGTTCAAGCTATGGAACCTCAAGTGGTTCAGCGTATGGATCAACCGCTGGTTCAGCGTATGGATCATCGGGAGGTTTCGCAGGAGCTCGTCCTAATCCTGTTCCAAGTGGTCATCGTCCTCCCAGACCAGTCAGACCGGGAGACAGAGTCGATGACAACTGTGAGTGTTTATTATATCTTTATTACTTGTTTATCTCGCGACTTTGTCTGCGTTCAGATTTAGTAATGTATAACTGACCGGGCAAATGATATTCCTCCTTAAAGACAGTATATAAGAAGATTTAGGATTTGACAAACTTTTTATTCTGTTTCAATCGCATAAAAAGTATCCTATGTTCTAACTCTTGTTCTGAGTTATCTCTCCACTAATTTTCAGAAGTTCTTGAGTTATAAATGATGTAACTAACAGGACTTTCCTTTATATATATATATATATATATATATATATATATATATATATATATATATATATATATATATATATATATATATATATATATATATATATATATATATATATATATATATATATATATATATATATATATATATATATATATATATATATATATATATATATATAATTCTGTCATGAATAGTACTGATAATACATGTTTGTATCAGTGTCATTGTCGTGGCGTCATTATACTGTGTCCGGGTTCCCGTGTCGGCGCGGCACCTCGTGTGAGAGGAACCTGGTCGCGGGTCACTGGGCCTGTGAACCGGAGGGGGGAGAAATAGGTACGTATAGATTATTAAAGAAAAACAGACGGCAGACCCTGGCTAAAGCTGGGAAATCGCCAGGAAGAAGAAGAAGACTATTAAAAGAAAAAACAATTAATAACTTTTTTGTAATTGAATTAATAAATAATGACAGGTTCTTGGGACTACTGCTGCGCGCCATCACATAGATGTGGATACAGCGAAGGATTCAAGAAACCTTGGTGAGTTGTAATACTGAAACTGTATGAAGATGTTGAATTTTTGAACTCAAATAATACCAAGGTCAATGACCCTACAGCTTTGGTGTCATAATAATAAATACTCAGGGGCATATTTTTTCACTGGTCGGTACTTTTACGAGTATAATTGGGCCAGATTATTTGTCATTATACACAATCATGATATTATTTATGTAAAAATGCCAATTTATCAATATAGGCAATATATGATACTAATATATTGGTTAAACATATTTTATAACAAAAATAGGTGTTATGTTGGTCCGGCGTCCGACCAATGGCGTCCATGTAGTGAGAAGTACTATCCCTACCACCAACACAATGTCCCTCATCCCTCACAGGGACAGAGAGGTATTTGATGAAATAATTTATGCTTAAAACTAAAGAAATCCCTAATAAATTTTTAATATTTCATTATATATTAAATAGATACAGATCGCCCGCAAATAAATATACCTCCAAGACAAAAGTACCCAGAGAGAGATAGACTTTCATCTGGCTATCTCTCCTCCGCTGACAGACGGTACTGGGATGATCTATACGAAAATGGACCTCAAGCTTATTATGATAAATATGGAAATCCTTTACCAGGTAATATAGAATTTTAATTCCATATTGCATATAGAAAACGTACAAAATAATTAATATGTATTCCTGTTTTTTAGGCTTCTCGAAAGTACCAACAGAGAGTCGACCGCACATAAAATACGAGCGTAACCCGCCACGTCGCGGTTCAGGGCAGTGGGTGCCTGTCAACACTATACCTGATGATGAAGTGCCTCCACCAGGTCTTGGTGTACCAAGGTACTATTCTTTAAATCCTAAATTATATTTTTTATTTTTCATAATATACTGAATTATACTATTTTTTACAGATATTGGCCAGTGGCATATTTACACAAAGGACCTCCACCAAATATGACGTACTTCAAATACAACGAAACAGAGAGAACGACTCGCTCGCCTCAAGAACAACAGACGACCACCAACAGAGCGAACATTAATCAAATAGAGGCGAGATCTGGAGAAAATCCGAGAACTGAGAAGAGAATTAATATAACAAACGACGACTCAGACTACCTCGACGTAACAACAACAAAAACTGTTGTAAACGAAACGAAAGAAAACACAACAGAAAGAGAAATAAAAAACGAAACAGACGTAGAAGAATACAGAATGAACTCGAAAATAAACGAAGATTACATAAAAGGAATCGACGGGAAGTTACATGACTTTACTACGTCCTTAGAGGTGTTTGACATAGATGATGTTAAGAATGAAAAACTAACGGGTTTAAGAGCGGCCGAGGCTGAGGAGAAACAGATAGAAGCTATCGGAAGACTCCTGGCGGCGAGACGAGCGAAGATTATAGACAGAACGTCACAGAAGAATCTAGAAGATAAAAATATTGCTTTAGATAAAGACTTCATGGATTTCAACTTCGGTAATAAATTTCCCATCGAAAGACGCGGAGTGGTGCAGAGAGTGACCAAAGACGAGATTGAGAATAGAGATAAGAGTTTGGAAGTTAGTGAAACCAGTTTTATTAGACCTCCGAGGGTTTTGAGTACGACGGAGAATATAAGGAAAGCGGTAGTCAATGGGAAGGTTTATTATGACGCATCTCTCCGCAGTCAGAGAGATCTTCATACAAATAGCACCAGAAGATCAAAGAATTTACGAGAGATAAGAACTCTTCCTACCAAGAAGAGAACAAGAACTACGAACCTGGTGAGACGAGCGAAGAGAGTGTACAGAAAGAGATACAACCCGGAGGAAGTGAGACGGAGACTGTTAGAGAGAGAGAGAAATAAGAATATGAAGGACGAGTGATGACGATCAGAACGAACGAGGAAACTACACACGTGGAGTTACACGTATTATACTTGAAAACATATACTAAGGCTTCATTGAGTTGATAAAGAATCGTTATAATGAATATTAAGATATATTTAAAGATAAATTAGTTGGTGCTAAAAGATAATATAAAAGATATATGTAAGATTAGTTTATTTTCTCGTCATAAAACTTTGTCAGTTTGACCGTAACATTTGTTTCGGTTGAACTGACGACCTTCACGCGACGAATGTATTAATAAATAAGGGAATTAATGTTACCATACATATAAATAAATATTTTATAGCAAAATTATTGTTTTCCTTTCGTTTCCAACAAAAAACTTGTCAGTTATAACTGGCAGGGCTGCCAGAGGAACTGAAATATAATCTGTGCAGATTACATAAGATTATTATAATAAGTTTTCAATTCAATTGTAACGTACTTCCTTGTGGGAAGTCCGTCTGTTCGTCAAAATTCCTTGGGGACTTACATCACACACACCCGGTCACATACTCCTGAGAGATTTTCCACTCAAACCAACACAGGAAGTTACTCCATATTTGACAAAGACTTTCACCAAATAATTTTTTTTGTTATTAATACACAACTCCAAAAAAGAAGGTTTAATTGTGGTCTATGAACTGATTTTAATTATGCTCTTTATTTGTCTGGATAAAGTTATCGTAGTGTCAGGAAACCATTATAATCTTCATGGCTGTAGAAACTAACGGCCCGTTAGGTGGATTTCAAATTATGCTCATGCGAAAATTTCATCTAAATCAGTCCAGCAGGGCGTAATTATTCAATCGTTTTAAATTTTTATTTTATTATTTCCTAAAGATATTTCATTCAATTTCCTGTTGTTATTGTACTAATTATTATTATTTTTCTTATCTTGTTGACTTCAATTATTATATTTTAATAAACACATATATTCTCCTAATATTTATATTATAAATACTTTAATACATGAAACTTCATAAAATCAATCAAAGATATACATAATCACCATCCCATCAGAGCCCACTGCTGAGCAAAGACCTCTTCTCACATGGATAAGATTTGAGCATTAATCACTACGCCCGCTCAAGACGGGCTGGTGATTTCAAACTTATAATATGAAATTATAAGTCCAGGTTTCCTCACGATGTTTTCTTTCACTGTCATACAAGCATATATGTATACGAAACACAATTCTAAGGAGAATCCTATAGTATTTGCTAGTGTAGACTTATCTCAAGTATTCTATATGTAGTCACAAGAGCCAAGTACCATCAGTCGGTGAAAGCGTCGCCGCGGGTCTGTACTAGTGTGAACGACCCGACCCGCAGCTTTCATTCAGAAACGATATAAAACAAACATTTGATATGGACTGACCTTTAACAGGGAAAGTTTGACCTCATTACTCATTAAAAGCATTACTTTCAGTTACTGTGACGTAAAAATAATTATTAAAATTTATTATTTTGTAGTTGATATTATATTAAATATTGAAAAATATATGACTGCAAAGTATGTGGTATGTATTAAAATATAATCCCTACTAAAATTATAAATGCGAAAGTAACTTTGCCTGTCTGTTTGTTACGCTTTTACGCCTAAACCACTGAACTGATTTTTATGAAATTTAGTACAGAGATGGAGTTGACCTTGAGAAATAACATAGGATAGTTTTTATCTCAAACTTTTGAAAGGTTCTCTTGGAAACGCGATATAACCGATACACGCGGGCGAAGCTGCGGGCGGAAAGCTAGTTATATATGCAATAGTATAACCCACTGGAGTATTACGAAGTTAGGGTTCCCTCTGGAGTTTGAACAACTTTATTCTTCCTGATTCATATAATCAATGAATTCTTTTCTATCAAGTGTCGTGTTACATTTCCAAGGCCGTGACGTCACCAATCTCCAACCAATATTGGTTCCGTATCAAACACGCGGCGGCGAAAGTTACTTTCACTGTAATACGACTTATATTATTTTATATCACACTTTGAGGTCAACGAACTCTAGTTGACGGATAAATGAAAATATTATTGATTTACTTATGATCAATACAAGAATATTGTAATGAATACGTATGTTTTATGTTTCTTGTATTAATATAAGAAAATAGTCCATACAACTACAATTATTATGTATCAAATATATCTTAATATACTACTAGAAAAAAAATATATTATTAATCATTTATATATTATATTAACAATCATGTTTTAAAAGTGTATATTGGTATATAAGTTAGAAATACTTCATAGTCATATAGTATTATTTACATGGTTATTGGAACGCCAACGACTTGGACGTCAGGTGGATAAAAAAGCATTGTCTTCTTAAATCCTTTCATTCTCGTGATACTTCACAAACCTTAATTAAGAAATCACCTTAAAGTGTGTTAAATAATGAGAATTTCATTTATTATTTTGTAACAAAACAGATTTAAAGAACAAAAACGTTTTAGCTTATGATAGAGAAAATAATATATACAATTTGTTAATATATATACTATGTGTATAGTAACTTAATATGATACTGTTTTAGAATAAATGAAATTGTTCCATAAATCCCGAAAATAGAAGAAATTAACTAATAATAAATTTGCAAAGTTAGGTCATTGTTATAACATATCTATACAAATAAAAAATATTGTAGCGTCTGTTTGTAATATTGTAATAACAGTTTTTTACTACATGCATATGAATATGTATACGGTACATATACTAAAATAATATTTTTTACAATTTTGGTCTGTCTGTTTTGGCTAATCTCTGTAATGACTGGACCGATTTTGACGGGACTTTTATATACAGGTAGCTGATGTAATAAGGAGTAACTTAAGCCTACTTTTATCTCGATAACGTAGTTAAACGTTATCAACCTTGAGTATGAGGCGGGCGCCATGCAGCTCTTAAAAGTTTTTGTCATTATATTTTGTTTGTTTGTTCTTTTACGCAGACGGAGTCGCGGGCGACAGTTAGTAACATATAAATATAAATGCGTTATAATACTTCTTCTTTTTCAACCTTGCAATTTCCCAGCTTTAGCCAGGGTCTGCCTTACATGTTGTGAATAGTTTTGGCTAATTGTTTTTACGGCCGGCCGCCTGCCTGACATAAACCCTCTTTGGGAACGCTCTTTTAATCAGTGATGTCTAAATACTCCTAGAAATTACATATGATTCGGAAAAATCACATCGGTACTTGCCAGGTTCGAACCCGCGCCCTCGGCAACGAGAGGCGAGCCCTTTAACCACTAGGCCTAAGGCCACCACTAATGTTTATTAATTTCATATGTTACAAGTATTATAACTAAATGCTTTATAATACTTGTAACATATGAAATCAATCAATACATTTCATAACACTTACTCTGTGTTTTACGTAACAGTTAAACTGTGAAACTGACAATTAAAATACAATTACACGGTTAAAGTTAACTGATTCGAGTTACTCTCTATTGTTATGTGATGAACGACACGGAAGGTTTAAACTAAACTTAGATTTGAACTAATGTATTGAAGGAAAACAGCATTTAATATATATACATATATATTCAATAACACTACACAACAATGAAGATTATACATGTATAATAATATATTCAATAAAATATTAATAATATTTTGATAAACGGAACAAATTAAACAACTATGTACATTCCTGTTGGTACCTTAGTCTTTAGAACGAGTTCGTACCAGACTACAAACGGACAGTTTCTAGTATTTGTATCACACGTTCATTGCCATCGTGATTACATTTACATATTATCCCTACTAATATTACAAATGCGAAAGTAACTCTGTCTGTATGTTACGATTTCACGGCTAAACCACTGAACTGATTTTAATGAAATTTTTTACAGACATAGAGCTGACCTTGAGAAAGAACATAGGATAGTTTTTATCCGAGACTTTTGAAAGGTTCTCTTGGAAACGCGATATAAGCGAACTCCACGCTTGCGAGGCTGCGGGCGGAAAGCTAGTTATATATAAGTCTTATGTATAAACTGTTAACTCTGCGTGTGTCGTGTCGGACGAGTAGTAAGGTATCCTCGTTCCATATCACGGTATTGGAAAGCTTCTCCGAGCTTCAGCACGAGGTCAGCGGTTCGCGGATTTCTCTCGACACCTGACCAGCATACTTATGATGAAGGGAAAACTTAGTCTGCTCATATTAAATCGCTAGAACTAAGATTTTCGATAGTTTTGTTCATTTAAATGAAACTAAAGACAAATATTAGTTTCATTTACCTAAATATTTTGTGACTAATACAGAGTTGTGTATCTAAATTATTACTTATTATAGGTATATATAATAATTATATATAATTTTATGAAAGATATATTTTTTTAAAACTTATGTAAGTAGGTTAAAATGTAGTAACATGCTCAGTGTTAACGATATTTAGTTTCATATTGAAGAAAGTTCGTAATCACTAAAAAAAGTCTTAAACTTATCTATACCTAGTTTAAGCTGTAACATATAGTTTAAGAGTTAAAAAAGCGAAAATGTATGAATGGTGATCACACTGGAAGTTTCTTGAAATAAAAAAAAATGTTTGATAAAGTTAAATTAAATGACAAGTTTAAAATACAAGAGATTATCCTTCATTTAATACATATAAACACATTTTTAAGTAAGTTTTTTACAATTATATATCAAATATAATTATATTTCTTCTTCTACCTGGCAATTTCCCAGCTTTAGCCAATATCCAGGGTCTGCCTTACATGCTGTGAATAGTTTTGGCTGATTGTTTTCGCGGCCGCCCGCCTGACATCAATCCTCTTTAGGAATGCAATAATCAGTGATCTAAATACTCTTACAAAGTACCTATGACTCGGAAAAATCACATCGGTACTTGCCAGGATCGAACCCGCGCCCTCTTGCATGAAAGGCGGGCCGTTTAGCCACTAGGTCACCACTGACTTCTAAACTTCAAATATGATTATATTTCTGTATAAAATTATTATTTTTCCCAAGTTGTAGGTCAAATCTGTGTACAAGTGTAATTCTTTTCAACAATGCATCAGCCTTCCTCAACATTACGTTGATACCGATAGAAGAAAAAATATTTATAATAAAATATTTTTTCAGTACTTACATTTACGTTAATTTGTAAAGATTGATTGAATATCATCAACAGGTTACTAGAAGAACAACACGTACAAGGAATTGTATATTTTATCATATAGCAATAGAGTTGAAATTTAATTAAAATTATATATTTTTTTGTTAACGCCGTCTAAACTTTCTATTGTGTCGAGTGATGTTCCAGCAGTTTATCGATAATTTAGATGATGTCGATGATTTGTAATGTCTACGATAAATTTATTGCTTGTATTAAAATATTTAATTACTTTTAATTATTAATATTATTAAATGTATATTGTTCTAGTATATAATTGTATTGAGATTATTGTTATACAGGGTGACTGGTGAATTACTATCAATATTTGAGGATGTGATATTTGACGATCATATATGACAAAATAAAAATTAATATAACATAAATATTAATAAACTTCTAAGTAAAGTTAACCAAAAGTTATGTAATTAATTACGCATCGTATGAACACCCTACAGATTAGGTATACACTGACACTCACACATACGCATGTCGTGACGTGGTGTTGTATCAACACGTCACCGCACGCGTCCACACTTGAACACTTGGAACGTGTCAACACTTTATTTATTTATACGGAAATTTTGTCAAAAATTAAGTGCCTATTTTTTTTACATAATTCGAATGAGAATCATGTACCGAGTATGCTCCTTAAATATTGATAGTAATTCACCAGTCACCCTGTATATATCCCGTGGCCGGGGTCAATGTTCTTGTCCTTGTAATTCGTTTAAGCTCACCTCTCTGTTCCGCTTCATTAATCTCTACATATAAAGTAAAGTTTGTCCGTTATTCTATATTTATATACGCATTCTATGTAACAAATAATAAAAGAATATTTCAACTTCATAAGTTCAATTAAGAGTTATTTTAAATAGCATCAGTTATGTACTCTAAAACAATATTTCCATCAGAATCTGTGTTTTGAAGATTATTTATATTAAATTATCAGATACAACTTACGACCGGTAAAAGAAATGCTGGAGATAAACATTATCAATCTTTCTCAACTTTTATTTTAATAGTGTAGCAACCAATTTAATATATAAAAATTATATAACCTTTTTAGAAACAAATTATACTGGCCAGTATACTGGCAGCTAAATTTAAGATGACATATAATTATTATAAAGAAGAAAACAATTTTATATAGAATGATACAAAAGAGTTGTCATTGGAGGCCAAAATTGTAAAACTAAAAAATTGTAAAACACATATATATTAACATAATATATATTCGTAAGTGGTATTAATATAATATATGTACTTAACTAAAATACCACTTCAATAGTTACTTTGAAACATATACACATATAATTAGAATAAGTTTGACATAATTATATTTAGATTAGACGATGTTTTAACAATAGGTTTCTACATGTAATCTATTTATGACCATTTTCTCTCAAATAAAACAAAATCACTTTCGTTTTAAACAAAAATGATGAGTTTCATTTTTATTTGCTGTAGCATGTAACAGTCTTTATTTATTAGCAGTTATTTTTTTCAAAACACGCTTATATTGATTTAGAAACATATATATTGGCATTTAAATTAAAATGACCGTTTTACGCAAAAGTTTTCTATCAAATACTTTGAAGTCTGTTTGGGAGTAACAAATACAAATATATTCAAAAAATATGGCTCGTCTTTTGTGTTTATTAAGTAAAATTATTCTTTTTATCTGACATTACATTGGGTCCAAAGAGTTATAAAATACTTATAAACTTCACAAATGCAATATAAATTAATGAAATATTTTTTCGTTCATCGTTATAATCGATACAATAAGTTACCAAATCTAATTTAAATCGATTAATAATGTATCGACAAGTCCCCCTCACTAGAACCTATGTTAACCTTCAAGCGAAAGTCTAGTAACTCCAGACAGATTCATTTCGAAGACAAACTGCAGCTTGTTTTGTTTAATGTGTAAATAATATAACATGTACTGACAAATTACGGAAATTGAGAATAAAAATAAAAATATATAAATACTTTTTGATAAAAGTTTTCTTAACGGCACTGTTTTTTTGTTCGTCGCCTATTTAATTTGTGACCCATTTAAAAAAAATGCTCATAGAATTAGTTCGTTTATCGTTATGAAAGAGAAAGCAAAGAATTTCTAAAAAATGATTATCCCTATAAAGAAGTAAACCCAATAACTTCGTTTTTTTTTAAATTTAATTTATTGTAATTTATATTTTTTAATATTTATCTGATTATTAATTATTTTTAATATAATTTCATCAATGGTCAATCGAGACCATATCTTCCGTCTCTCTCTAACATTCTCCGTCTCACAATTTCTCATTTCACCGTTCACTTGTTTAGCGATTCGCTAATCATAAATACGAGAGTTATGCTGTTAATAACGTTGAACAAAAAGCGACTTTATGTTAAGTATATATAAAGTATGGTTTTTGTTTGTATGAATGTTGATAGTTGAGATCTTTTTCTATTGTGTTATACGTAATGTGTGTTGTTAACGCGCCGAAGTTGGTCAGTCGGCTAGTGGGTTCCCGACCGTGACGGCGGACGGACGTCTCCAGGAACAAGAAAATGCCGCGGTTTTCGTGTTTTATAAGAACTTTGTGATTTAAAAATTATATAAATTGTGACTTTTATTATTGTTATAGTCAAAATGACGTCTCATAGATGTGTTGTGTGGTGTCTGTTGATAGTGTTAGTTGTGGACATTACACCAGCTATCAGTGATGGGAATGCGAGAGGTAATTATATATTAAAAAAATATTAATAATAAATAAAAAATAGACATATTTTATAAACATACAATGTATATTTTATAGAAAGTTTCTTTAGAAACTTTAAATTGGGTTATTTTGCGGACACATCTGATGTTTAGCCAAAATTAAATTAGATGAACAATTTTTACAAAAACTATTGCATTTAGATAGTAGATAAATAAAATATTGCGAAAATATTTTTGGCTATATTAACTTTTTACATTAAATGTGTTTGAGGAAAATATAAAGTAGTTAAAAGTAAATCAGGTCATTTTTCAGTTGAATTAAGAAACTTGTTAATAAGACGTTGGACCGCTCGTAACAGATTCACGGGAACGGTAAATAATATATATAACATTAATATTTAAAAGAAATTCATAAAAAAATAACTTTGATATAGATATTAAATATAATTCCAATAATCGTAAGAATATTTTTTATTTAGGTCAATTGACCGTCTATGATTCTCAATTAGTCAAATGAGAGACTTTAAAATTATTAATAATTATATTTTTTTCTTTGTATACAAATAAGGTTTTTTAATATTTGTAATATAATATATGTAAGATGAGTCTGTTCCTTGAACGGTGGAGTGATGGACCGGTTTCAATGAGGTTACCATTAATTAATAAGCCGCGGGTTCGAGTCCTGTTATATTGACCGAAGCTAATAAATATTTTAAAATGTAAGAATTTAAGTTAAACAATTTTTTAAGTGTTTAAAATATTTTGTTAAGATTAAAAAATATCGCTTCCCGAAAGATAACGGTTGATGTCATTATCTTGAACTTTAAAAACGAAATGTTTTGACGGCGTCCATTAAGTGATTTTCAAAAAAATTCTTTCAAAATTGCTTTATTTTAAACTTGTTGTCTTCGTTAATATGAAAATTAATTATAAAAAGAACATTTACTTTACAATTTCGTGATTATTCAATTAATATTAATAAAATATATGATATATAAAAAATTATGGCGCGAATATCAAAATGACAACGCCATTTTGTTGGTTGAGATCAACAGTTTACAAGTTAGAAAGTAAACAAGAAAGTGAAATTTGAAATGAATGTTATTTGTCCGTTGGATTGAGATTCGTTTGTGTTATGTGTTCTCCATTTGTGTGTTAGGACTTGTATTTTACATACATATAGCTATTTATTGATCATTTGTGTTAAGTTTTTTGTAATTACGTAAAATATGTGACAACGACGCCAACTTTCTCCAAGCCTTCAGGTGGGTGGAATATTATCCATTTTTCTCACGTTCTGTTCTTATAGAAAAAGTACTGAGTAGAAATAAACATTACTAGATATTTCCTACGTATATATGCGACCATAATTCATTATTTTTGTTTAATAGTGGAATAGAAATATTATTATGTTTAATATTTGACACACATTGAGGAATGTTCACTAATTTATATAGTACAGTAGGACCTCGATTATCCGGACTAATTGTTGTCGGTAGGCATCCGGATAATTGAAAGTCCGGATAATCCAATATATGAAGAAAAACGGGCTTTTTGCATATGTACATATGTAGTCACCATACATATGTAATGTTAGGTGTTTATTTAAAACAACAAATACATATGAGCGAAAATCAACGTTTATTAAGAAATTGTACATAATGTACGTATAAGTGTTATAATCGTCGTGGCGTTATGCAAGTTCTGACATGTTAATCTATATACATATAATAAAATTGTAGAAAAGTGCTGTCTGTACATTGAAAATAAAAATAAAAAAAATAGCAGAGGTTATTGTTATGTCGATGTCGAACCCAAAAATGTAATTAACTTTTTTTTTGTCTGTTTGTCTGTTCACGCTAATCTCAGAAACGGCTGATCCTAGTTTGATGCGGTTTTCACGAACACTATTCTATGCTTATACATACATAGGCACCATTAATAAATAATAAATATTTTTAAGTTCTGTGTCTTATAAAGGTTTAAGTCACATGTGAACGTAATTTAAACAATATTACCAATATAAATAATAATAATAAATTTTACCAATACATCAACTTAATACACAAGGAGTTACACGCTGACGGAGTCGCGGGCACAGCTATCTATATTTTTCTCCCGGGAGTCACTATTCCACGCGAAAGAAGTCGCGGCAAAAGCTAGTGTTAGAATAAACTCGTCGCGATTGGCAGTCCGGATAATCGCGAATTCGGATAACCGAGGTCCGGATAATCGGGGTCCTACTGTACTTGATGACCCGGGGAACTTCGTACCGCTTTATAATCAAGAAATATCTCTTACCTTTATATGAATGAAGTTAATTTCTTTTTTAACTGTAACTGACTTGACAATGTTCTGTCTTCTTAACTGTGATTATTGAATTGTAATTGGTGTATTGACAAATTAAAATTATTCCAAAAACATAGTGTTTATTATTCTAACGCAGTATAAGTGTGTGATATTTATTATGTATATAATATAATTTTGAATAAAATTATGTATATATTCAAATATAATAGAAGTTCATAATTCTTCAATAAAACATGAACTTTGTTTACCTAAGTTTACGTTGATCAATTCGTGTAATTCATTTTAAAATGTTTATTAAGCCTTTGTTTCACGTATAATTTTAATTCTATCATTGTAGAAGACAATGAGATACTTACTTTAATATTAGCTATGGTATATTGTATGAGATGTTTTCCTTTATATATTTTTTGTTAATTAGTTTTCATCTATTACGTACACACGACATTTCGTGTTTATGTTTCTTCAACAACATAACATAGTTATAGTAATAATATATCTTTTTCTCCTCGTCGGATTTGTATTTTTATCTGAAAGTGTTCGTTGAAACAGTTTCCATATTCATCATCATCAGCTTATAATTTTCCATTAATGAGCAAAAGGCCTCTTCTCATATAGATTAGAGCATTAATCACCGCGCTTGCTCAAGAAGGTTCGCGATTTGAAATAATAAGTCCAGAAAGTAACACGATGTTTTCCATATTAACTGTATATATTTTTAATATAACAAATATTACTCATAAAATGAAATAAGAATTCAATTTATATCTATACGAACATAATAAATTATAACCTACTACATATTATTAAATAGATAATAATTAATAATTTAATTTAAAATCGAATTAAACGTTGTGTATTAGAGTAACTTAATTATAATGACGAGGATGTTAAAAAAAGTCAGGAAATGTTTATAAAAACGAAAAAATCCATATATTTACTGTTTGAAGTTATCGAAGAATTTTGAAAACTGTTATCAATTATTATTTTATCTAAAAACTGTATTTTTCTAACCGTATTTGGACGATGTTTATTTGTAAGAATAGATTATTATAAAGCATCATTCATACTATCATTTGTAACATACATATATTATTAGTGTATAAAGAATAAAAAGACAATATTTACTTACTGGTTAAGGGGCTCGCCTCTCGTTGCCGAGGGCGCGGGTTCAAACCTGGCAATTACCAATGTGATTTTTTGGAGTCATATGTACTTACTGAGAGTATTTAGACACCACTGACATACGGTGAAGGAAAACATCGTGAGGAAACCTGGACTTAGTTTCACAATTATAAGTTTGAAATCACCAACCCGTATTGAGCAAGCGTGGTGATTAATGCTCAAACCTTCTCCATGTGAGAAAGAGGCCTTTGCTCAGCAGTGGGCTCTGATAGGTTGATGATGATGATGATACTTAAAGAAATGACATATAAAATGTGTACCATGTACATATGTAATTTAAAATTAATTTGGTCATAACATTATACAAAAGAATTATAATTGATAAATTAATTAAATATATGTATTTATATGTATAGAAAACAATAAAAACTAAATTCGTGAATATGAAATAAAAAATTGACAAAATTAACAAAGCTTGTTACTTTAACTCCTACATATACAAAATATTTTCTCAAAAAATTAATAATAATTGTATTAATCCAAAAACAAGTGATTGCTTTCATTAAATAAAACATCATACAATATGTTATACTAATTATATATGAAAAATTACTTCAAAAATTAACTTATTATTACCTAACTTATACCCGCGGCTTTGCTTCGTTTATTTTATTAACACATAGTATCAGCAAGTAAATACATATATCAATAAACAAGTTGACGTTACAAAAAAAAATATTTTTGAAAAACTATAATAGCATTTAATAGATAAGACTCATATAATACAATGAGACTTAAAAACTTTATTTATATACAAATTCATATATTAACAAGAGGTTATCATCGTATATATCGATAAGTACAATGCATCGATACATCGATGCAGTCGATCTGCATCCGGAAGAGATACTTGACAATTGGAGCGTGATAGAGATGCATACCACACGCTGCGTGAACACGGCCGACACACACACACACACACACACACACACACACACAGACACACACAGACACACGCACAGCCCAGAGCCTGTACATCATCAGGTAATATCCTGATACATCTCAATCTGCTATACTCTTCGTAACAAAATCTAGTACCTTATGATATGCTTTCTGCCATTAAGTATATTTTAATTTAATTTATAAAAAGCTTATATATTTTTTTTAAATATAGTATATGTATATAAAAAATGAGATGTTTACGTCTTACGTATTATTTAGTACCTAACCCTGCTATACGTTTAACCCGACAGTGAGTATGTATGTTTAAGTCTAGTCTCAAACTTAGTCTGTTTTATAGACTTTTCCTGTTAAATCTAAAACAAATTTCTACGTAGAATTATGGCGAACCTTTAAAGTGAGATCAAAAACAGTATATTAATTATTTATTATAATATTAACATTTTTATCCATATTACCTAAACGTAATAAAAAAATTACTTAACATTTTGTTTAGCAATAAACAATTAATAGTATTAACAATGTCTCTTCATAAATATATATTCTTACGTAGAAAAACTTCAAATTAATTATGCTTTTTCGCAAAAATTTTCTCAACCCCTACAGCTATGTAATTATTAAATTATAATCAGAATCGATTTAGTAGTAGGTACGTGCTTAATATTAAACACACAAACATACAATCATCGTATTGATTACACAATTTTCTCTCTGATTTCTTCTCGTTTAAACTATAAGTATGATCGTCATGAAAACTGACAGTATCTAAGTAAAACAATCTCCAAAAGAACGATACACAGCGTGCTCATTAAAATAACTTCAAGTCGTTAATGGATTACTGTACCAACAAAGACAATTTCTAATAATATTTACAATTAGTAAATAGTGATGTACTAAAACTATCGTGTGTCCCACTCTACTCATTATCGATAATTTCTGTGTTGGAATTAATTAACGTGTGAATACAAAGCAAAAGCAAATAAAACCACTTTTTCTATTTAACTGTGTCTCGTTAAGTAGCTCAGTGGTTTATTGGAGTGGTTAAAACTCGTAAAGAAAACAGTTATATGAAACTTAATAATTATTTATTACATCTCATTAATATGTGAAAATTTTAATTATTGACATAATAAAACTAGGTAAAATTTCATATAAGTTTCACAAAATAAATTAGTTTAATTTTAACCGAAAATTTAACCAACATATTATCATATATAGGTGATAATAATATATATTACTGACACGTAAATTTAGTTAAAATTTCATATTAAATTGTCTAAATTTATCAGTTAAATTATAACTAACTGACTAATTATTCTAACTTATTTTGAGTTCGTATAAGTAACTATCCCATTGTAGTATTGTATCTATCGGGTAACAGTGAGTGAGTGTAACCTGTGAAGAACCCCGAAACCAAGAGTGACTTTCACTCAATGACATCACTGTTAGTCATTTCACTGGAATTCCAAGGTATCTGAGAAAGTGACCACAATTCGCAACTTACTGTTACCGTTTCTCTGACCGCACTAAAGTTTCCATCGTGACTTTTACTTTAAAATTACTTTTTTTTCGGTATTAAATGATTATCATGCAAATCAATCATGGGCAAGTGTATGACTTACAATTTTGGTTGTATCTCATCATTATCATGAGAAATTAGTTGATTAATTAAACTGTATTGTCTGAATGACCCAGCTGATGACCTATTGACCTACATTACTAAGGTCATTGCCTTAAATCCATAAGATCAGTTTTTGATCTTTGTATATAAATATCTTCTAGACTTCTTCTACCTGGCAATTTTCCAGCTATAGCCAGGGTCTGCCTTACATGTTGTGAATAGTTTTGGCTATTTGTTTTTACGACCGGCCGCCTGCCTGACATAAACCCTCTTTGGGATTCAACATTTATCAGTGATGTCTAAATATTCTTAGAAAGTACATATGACTCGAAAAAATCACATTGGTACTTCCCAGGATCAAACCCGCGCCCTGGTGCGTGAGAGGCGGGCCTTCTAACCACTAGGCCACCACTGCCTCTTCTAGTATCCCATAGTAATTGTTCAAGTAGAACATCAAAAAGGATTCTACATACCAATGACCAACATCAATCTACTTTCTCTCAGAGATGTCTCATGTTAAATTCATACAATCCAGTGTAAAGGATAACTAATGAATAAATACATTTTTAATTCAGCTAGAAAACTGTTACGATGGAGAATGCGGTCATCTTTGAGCAAATTTTTTGGTGTCGATAAAATCCTTGGGCTTATTAATGAATGCAATAGTTTTTTTTTACGCTTGAAATACAAATTTAGTTACATATATCATCAGCCTATCAGAGCCCACTGCTAAGCAAAGACCCCTTCTCATATGGAAAAGATTAGAGCATTAATCATCACGCTTGTTCAAGACGGGTGGTGATTTCAAACTTATAATTGTGAAATTATAAGTTCAGGTTTCATCACGATGTTTTCCTTCATCGTCATACCAAAGAAATAGTCGTAAATAAAAAACTATCTTCTATCTCGAAGATTTTAATTTATTTATATACGTTTAACATATTATTATATATAATAAAATAATTCGCGAGTCTATAACGGGGACAGTATAGAATGTAGTTCATAATAAAGTAGCTGGATGTTTGTCCGTCACGGAAGCGAAGATCCACGTCTTGAATAACAAACGCATCAAAAACGGACCAGCACACACACTTTCTTTTCTTATATTTGGCTTCAATACAAATGATCAATTTAATTGGCTTTAAATATTTGTCGTACAAAATGATGTACGTTTATTTGTTCAAATATAAAATATTTTCACTATTAATTTAAACAATTATTACCAATTATTGTAAAATCGTTAAATATAATTGCGTTATAAATTATTTTCACTAGTATCGGGAAAAGTCAAAACATTCTTAGAATATGTATATTAGTATTGAATTAATTTAACTAATTGAATAAATAACAGTATTAAATTTCTAGTATCAACGGTAATTTATGTTAATAATATAGGTTATAGATAGAAATTAAGAATATATTTTTATATATTTTGTTTTTTTTTTCAGAAGAAAGAAAATTGTTCGGAGGTTACAAAATAACGCCGTCGTATTGTAAAGCAAGTAGAGCGGCGAGGTACAACCGGGGTAACACTATATGTATGTTCAACCACGAGTGTGTTCAGAGAGGTGGTGAAGTGGTCGGCTCTTGTATGGACGGCTTCCTTTTCGGAGCTTGCTGCCAGTTACCATCTGACAGTCAGTCACATATACCCAAAGGCCCAGGTATTGTTATGACCAGCTACCTAGACTACCCTGACCCAGAAGCAGAAACTGACGATTACGACGCTGAACATCTAAGTGCTTATCATAACAGCTTCAAACCGGTAGTAACGCCGGGGTATAAGCCTAGTAGCAGCGTTTCAACTTTCACTGTAAGATATGAATCAGATGCGAGCACCGAGATGCATCAGGCTGAAATAATATCTGAAGGACTCACGCAGATCACAAATACTTTATTGAGCACACCGCCCAAGGAAGATAATTTCATATATATAAAGCCTCAAGGTGTATACACACATAGCACTATCAGTCACCCGGTGGCTGATACTATTCTGTTCCACAAGAACGGCTCGATGGTTAACGATATAGCGAGGCCGTCAGATTTCAATGTACAAATATCGTCAATGCAAACCAAACCCACCGTGTCGCCTAGCACGAGCTCTGTCTCGTCTCCCGGTATAATAGTTTCGTCGACCCACAGACCTATATTCAAACCGAAACCGAATAACAAAATATCGACGAAACCGACCACTGACAACTATGTGATGGTTCAGACGGTCACCAAAGACTCTCAGAAGGTTCCGGAGCTATCTTCAATTAACAGCATCATACAGATGCTCAATGACAGTACTCCGAGCTTTAGTGATGATGTAAGCTCTCCATCTTCGATCGATGTCATGGAAACCAAGTCCTCGCCGAGCCCCTCCACTGTCACTCCAGTTTTATACAGCAGTAGCTACCCCATATACACAACCGGACACTACGTCACATTAAAACCGTCTTCATTCATAAGTAGCGTCTCACCGATAGCTGGGACAAAGAAGCCATTAACAACTAAGAAACCGTACATCACTATAAACACCACACCGAATAGTGCGGAAGGGAAGCCGTCGAAGCCTTATAATTCATCTCCCAGACCGAATCAATCAACTAGTCAGGCTATAGAAGCTTTCAACAACTATCCAACCGATCCTCAAGACTTTGGACAATCAATCACCACGTTCAGCTACGTGAGTTCAACAACAACTTCGAAACCAACGTCAACTACAAGAAAACCTCCTTCAACGAGCTACGTAACCGGATCTAAACCTTTAAGAAGACCAGCTACTCCGCCAACGAATTTCGTATCTTCGTATGAAGCGGCTTCAGACACTTTCTCAAGTGTGACCCCGACCGTCATAGTGTTAAACGGACTCAGTACAAAACCGGAATCCTCATCAGAAGACACGGAGTTTGTTGAAATATCCCAGGAGCCATTCAAGAAACCAGTCAGTCAAATCACTGTCAACAACCATATAGAATCCACAAACAATATCTACATGGGCAAACCGCCGCAGACGTACGATAAACCGAAGCCTTCAAGACCATCTTCTCCAACGGTTGTTATAACCCCCAAACCCTCACCAACAACGCCTTACCCTATCAAAGGGTCAACACGTCCCGTTCCGATCACACCGAACGTTCCTCTCTACGATTCCTACCCAGATTTCTCACCAACAACGACCCCTAAAACGGAAATGCAGACATCTCCGGATGATCTCATAAACTTCCCTCCCGTCAGAAATCCTCTCCTAAACGCGACGGGATCCAACCCTGCTCTATACAATACAAGCGTATCCGTTGACAACGACTTAGATATTCTACACGATGTAGATTTCTCAACACCGTCCTGGCAGGACGATGAGAAACTGAGCGAAAAAATGAATTTGTTCGTTAATAAAATCGTTGGCAGTCTGCAGGGATCGTTCCAGGATCTTCACGATATAGTCGTATTAGACAAGAAACCAACTACCACAGTGAACCGTGACAAAACCACAACCGCTAAACCACCAAAGAAAACTATACCAACAAGAAAACCTGTGACCACCAAGAAACCTTTGAGGGTGTCCACTACGAGCAAGAAACCTCCAGTGAAGACGACGAAAAAGCCGCTCCGTACCACCACCGTCCCAAAAAAACCTACCACGACCACACAACCACCTACAACCACCGTTATAACCACAACCACAACCACAACCAAAAAACCGGTAAGATATACAACAACTAAATCTATCAAATATATCTAGATGACATTGCTTATTCTCTGGCCTTATAATTCTGTTTGCAGGTGACCACCACAAAGAAACCCATCAAGAGAGTGACCACCAGCCTCGCTACCACCGCCACTGAACAGTATGATGACGTCACCACCGAGGGGTACTCCGAGCCTATCGATTATAACGATAAGAATTGTAAGTTATAAACAACTCTCCTAATAACTGACTAACTTTTTCACAACTTTATACTTTTTTGCATAAGTATTTCTGATAGTTTTTAATTTCTAAACCTATTTGTGTATTAAAATATTTTAAAAACATACATACATATCTTACATAACTTGACCTTTTTGGGTTGTAAGTTTTACTAAACTATCCTCATAATCATCAATTGATTCACTTTCTCACAAAAATATTATTATTTCTTACATTTCTGATAATAGTTTATCGTTTTTAAACCTATTTGTGTTTTAAAATATTTTATATAGCACTTAAAGATAATTTCACATATTTTGGTCTATTTTTATCAATAAAATACAGAAAAATGTTTCTTTAAATCACATTTCATTGAGATGGTACATTGTTACAAATAAGTTTCTGATGAAGATCTTTTAATATATAATCACTAGCTTTCCGCCCGCAGCTTCGCCCGCGTGGAGTTTGCGTGGCGTTACCAAGAGAACTTTTCAAAAGTCTTTAATAAAAACTATCCTATGTTCTTTCTCAAGGTCAACTCTATCTCTGTACCAAATTTCATTAAAATCAATTCAGTGGTTTAGGCGTGAAAGCGTAATAAACATACAGACAGAGTTACTTTCGCATTTATAATATTAGTAGGGATTTTCATGAATCGTGTATTATATATTATAGTATGCGGCGTGCGTCCGTTGATGAAGTCTGGTCGTATCGTGGGCGGGAAGAACGCGAGGTTCGGCGAGTGGCCGTGGCAGGTGCTTGTGCGTGAGTCAACTTGGCTTGGGCTGTTCACCAAAAACAAGTGTGGAGGGGTGCTCATCACTAGTAGATTCGTGACCACGGCCGCCCATTGTCAACCTGGGTCAGTATTGCATAATGGCTAGAATTAAGATGACTTTAATTGTAAATATAGTATTACCAAGTTGTTATTTTTCATATTTTTAGATGATTGTATACCATTTAATATGATGAGATATTGATTATAATACTAGCTGCGCCACGCGGTGTTACCCGCGGATTTCCGGGATGTAAAGTAGCCTATGTGTTACTCCTGGACGTCACCTTCCTGTATACGAAATTTTATCAAAATCGGTTCAGCCGTTTGAACGTAAAGAAGTAACAAACATACACACACACTCACAAACTTTCGCAATTATAATATTAGTAGGATTACTAAGTTCTTATTCTTCATGTTTTTGGATAATTGTATATAATTTAAAATGGGGAGATTTTAATATTTTATTTTCTGAGAAAAAACAAAAGTTTGAATTTCATGTAAATATTTAGTTATCAGTTCAAAACGGAGAGTTTTTCTGTTTATAAATCTTATATATCTCTGGATTTTCGTAAAAGTGTTTTTATATAATAAAATCTTGTAGCATTCAGTGACATCTAATTAAAATAGGTGTCATTTTGTAGTCATTACTGAAAACACAATAATTATTCTATAACTAGTTTTTGCCCGCGACTTCGTCCGCGTTAGTTTGGTCAAGAGCAATATATGTAGGTATAGCTGACCAGGCGAACTCTATTCCGTCTTAGAGGCCATAAATAATCAGGTTTTTCCTGTTTCAATCAAACAGAATGATTGACATATTAGTTAGTTGTCAAATCTAATGTCAAAAAAATCGTTTGTATGGGAAATAGAAAAGGGCTGTTTTTAAGGTTTTCCCGGCAATTATTCCAATTATTCTCACCTTTTAAACCTTCCCTGGACTTCCAGGAGTATTTCAAGACTAAAATTAGCCAAATCGGTTCAGCCGTTCTTGAGTTTTAGCGAGACTAAGGAACAGCAATCCATTTTTATATATATAGAAGATACAATCGATTGTAAATTTGTGTTAATATCTATGTAATGAAAAGGCTTGAAGAAACAGTAAGTTTAAACTCCTATAGTTTCAATCATAATATTTTATTTAGTGATTTGAGACTTAGAAATTAAGAATTAATTGCATCAAAGATCAAAAACAGTTAAAGATTATAACTATTATGGATTAATCATTAACAAATTAATCTTAATATTATATGTTCCAGGTTCCTAGCGTCGTTAGTGGCAGTGTTCGGTGAGAACGACATATCCAGCGACCATGAGCCGCGCAGACCTGTCACCAAGAACGTGAGGAGGGTCATCGTACACCGGCAGTACGACGCCGCCACCTTCGAGAACGACCTGGCGCTGCTCGAGCTAGACTCGCCCGTGCAGTTCGCGCCGCATATAGGTGACACACACACACAGACAGACACACACACACACACACACACACACGCAAACACAGACACAATCTCGAAGAAAACATGTCCTATACCAACAACGATAAAATTTAAAGTAGGTTTAGCGTCATTTTATTCTATTAAAACGTGACTACATACATCAGTTAATGATGTCTATATCGTTATCGTCTCTTCGCTTTAACCCCTACTCAAAAGTCCTTTCATTTTATTTTATTAAAAAGATATTGCATCAATTAATGGTATCTATATTGTATCTGTGCTCCCTTCACTTTAACCCCTACTCAAAAATCTTTTGTAATGCGACATGCGATAGATGGATCAAAACTACACATTATTCCTAATACTTATGTTATTATTTCCAGTTCCTATCTGCATGCCGCCCGACGACGCGGACTACACTGGCCGCGTGGCGACAGTCACTGGCTGGGGGAGACTTCGGTACGGGGGCGGAGTACCCGCCGTGTTACAGGAAGTACAGGTATGAGGAACTATGACACTTACTTATTATAATAAGAACTACATATTAAAACTTATAACCTACACCTAAGACTACATGATTGACCCGATGTTAGGATAGCAATACCATACCATAGCTTGTGTGGTATCAGGAATCTTCTGGTTCACACGGCTTGGTGTTCGTTCCGCGGACTCAGCGGCGTCACTCGTTATATGATATTTTATACATACAACGATGTTGCCTGATGATGTTCACTTAATTTTTAATAGGTACAGCGTATGTAACACACTGTAGCTAGTATGATATAAGAGACGTGTTGTATACACACAGGTGGTGTTGGAATAAGAGAAAATAATATCACAGTAATAGAATTTAACTTAAAACGAGGTCAAAATCGCTTGCATCTATAAATCAGATCTTTCTTCTGATCATAATTGTTATATCAGTGATATAATTTAAAATATCTCTTTCAATCTCCATAATTTTAGACCAAGATTTTTCATTTTACTAAAATAACATTGTACTTAGGTTCACAGCTATAATATACTAGCTTTCCGCCCGCAGCTTCGCCTGCGTAGAGTTCGGTTATATCGCGTCTCCGAGAGAACCTTTCAAAAGTCTGAGATAAAAACTATCCTATGTTCTTTCTCAAGGTCAACGCTATCTCTGTACCAAATTTCATTAAAATCATTTCAGTGGTTTAGGCGTAAAAGCGTAACAGACGGACAGACAGAGTTACTTTCGCATTTATAATATTAGTAGGGATAATGTCACAGCCATAGAATTTAGAAGGTAGAATGTTAGTCAAAATCGTTTTGTATCTCTACTTCAGGTCAACATTTTGTTCAAAATTGTAATATTAGCTACGATTAATTTCTCTTTATTATCAAATATCCATAATTTACCCTGTACCAATCATGCTCAATATTATAATATATACATATATGTTACTCTATATGTGTCATACATATTCCAGGTGCCGGTGATTGAGAACAACGCGTGTCAGGAGATGTTCCACACGGCCGGCCACGCTAAGAAGATACTCAACTCATTTATATGTGCGGGGTACGCGAACGGACAGAAAGACTCCTGTGAGGTTAGTACAGATACATATATATACTAGAAGACCCGGCAACCTTCGTATCGCCCTATAATCAAGAAATATCTGTACGTTTTTTATTTATATTTTTGGAGTTTACCTATTAAAGCCATAAATCTCCGTGTTTTGAAGTGCGACAGAATGATTGACATATTTGTTAGTTGTCAAATCTAATGTAAAAAAAAAACGTTTGTATCAACAACTACTAATAAATTAAAAATTAGTTATAAAAACATTGTCCAGCGGACAAAATTGTGAATCTAAACCATTCCCAGATCCCGTTGAACACACACAAAATATTTCATTAAAATCGGTCCAGTCGTTTGAGAGAAGTTCAGTGTGTGTGTCTGAATACACACTCACAGAAGAAATATATAAAGATATATACGTGTTGATACATAGAAGTAATGTAGAGGGAGGAGCTTGGACAGTGGTGGTGAGCGTTTAACACGCGTTACAAAGGCCCTTTAAACCTACACCTGGATCACAAGTCCCAGTCACTGTTAAAGCTCCTCTCACTACAACGATGGAACCGACACACGCAGCGTGAATGCATTGAATGATGAGAAGTTTCGTGTATTTTTATGTTAGTGGAATTTTTTAAATATAAACATATTTTGTTAAATATATATATGATAAAAACACTTAAAATTTGATGTCTTCAAGAAGATAAACAGTCTTGTACTATGTTTTTTTTTCTCACAAGCTTTATATTCACTTACATCAGATTGTATGAGTTAACCAACTTCCAGATAATAATTAAAAAAGATTTAAAAGAAATCTTAATCAAAACATGATTGAAATATAAACTATAAATATCTGGTTACCGAGCTTTGCTGAATATTTAGGAATTATTAGTACATATTTTTTGTTTTTTTTTTTTTTTATTTCGTTCACACGTGGAACGTGTCCACACTTTATTTATTTATACGGAAATTTGGTCAAAAATTAAGTACCTATTTTTTTTTTACATAATTCGAATGAGAATCATGTACCGAGTATTCTCCTTAACTTTTGATAGTAATTCACCAGTCACCCTGTATATAATTCTTCTGTGAGTGTGTATGTCACTGAACTTCTCCCAAACGACTGGACCGATTTTGATGAAATTTTTTGTGTATGTTCAAGGGGATCTGGGAATGGTTTAGATTCACAATTTTGTCCGCTGGACAATGTTTTTTTATTAATTTTTAATTTATTAGTAGTTGTTGATACAAACGCTTTTTTGACAAGATATTTCTTGATTATAGGATGATGCGAAGCTCACCGGGTCTTCTAGTGTTATATAATTTTTTTCTATGTATATCTGTCTATTTGTTCCGCTAAATCTCTAAAATTGATTTATCGATTTTGATAGGAACTTTACTGTTATATAACTGATTTAATTAATATAAATAAGTAATTATATTGTAAATTAATTAATTTATTAATATTTCCAGGGTGATAGTGGCGGGCCGTTAGTGCTTCAACGTGATGACGGTAGATGGCAATTAGTTGGTACTGTGTCACATGGTATAAAATGCGCGGCGCCCTACCTGCCCGGAGTATACATGAGAACCACCTACTACAAGCCCTGGCTGAGATCTATCACCGGAGTTCGTTGACCTTGACGAAAATCTATAAAAATCTCCAAAAATCCCCAAGTAAAAGTATTATTTATCATCTTTAACAGCCATAGTAGTTAAATCTTGTCACAATCACACAAGTGACGCTCTCTACATTTCAATATTTCATACTTATGTATTAGATTAGTGTAAATTATTATATAGTAAGTGAATGCATTTATTTATTTAGTTTTATTATAAGATGTTATCTATTTATATGAGTAGTGTTGTTGATTTGTGCAATAATAACTTGTTGATTGCATTGATACTGTATAGAATAATTTGATAGGTAATATATGTAGAACAACTGAATAATATATATAAGGAAGCTCAAATAGTTATGTTAATTAATATTATTATGTAATAAAATATATGTGAGAGTTATGATTGTATGTTATTTTTTATCACTGCCTTTTTCTTAATCGTCCATCGTTAGCCTATTGAGGGTATCATAATAAACGGATGTACCAATAAATTACTTCGTAGAGGTCCGACCTCTGTAACGTCTCGAGCGAGACTGTTTGTAATCTGAACTCTCACCTCTATTTATACCAACCGATTAATGTTCAGCGTTACCTCCTTACAAAATGGCTAAAGCAAGTATTTATAGTTGTCAAATATAAGGATACTTAAATGTCGTCATAACAAAATAATAATGGTTCAGTTTTATACTTAATTGTAATCAGTCATAAAAATAATTGTTAGGATTATAGTATATTATAATTAGTATGTCACAGATGGTGCCACTTGTAAATATATATAAATATATATTAGTATGGAGGATAGTTGCCAATGAAACATATATTTTGCTTCAATACATATATTCATATGATTACATTAATTTTTCAAACATTTCACAACATATAATAGTTGCCTACAATTTTATTAACATAAAGTTTCCAACGAGCATACATGTAGATACTATGAGCATATAATATTAATGACAACATTATTGTTGCAGCACAGCAGTTATATGTAGCAGTTAAAATAACTAGAACACTTAAACTATTACAGTTAAACTACCAACTAGAATAAACCTCAATTTCATCATAAAATTTGAGCTATTGTATTCAAATATGAAAAATAAAATAGAAAATATATTCAACAAACAAAATTGTGCTTCGATATTAACTTAATTTTTAATTAAATATAAACAAAAATAAATCATTAAATAAAAATAAAATACCAAAAAGATATACAAGTTAATTCTTATTATAATCATTAATACTAACTTGAGTTAGTTGAACTCACTAATGTAACGCGGTAAATCTTAGGACATATAAAGCTTTATATAGATTAATGAGTGATAGTAAGGTTACTTATTGACCTTGTAGTGTAGACATTTCTTGCAAAAAGCATCAGCGCGTTGTTTAAGGCTCTGTGTGGTGATTGCTCTGGCCGGGTCAGGGTTACAGACCTCTGGGTCAAATGGACCCTCACTGAACTGCTGGATTAGTTGCTTTATGTAACTTCCAGGTCCTTTGATAGTCAGCTTCGCTTCACCTGCGTCTTTATACTCCATATTAGTGTCCAGGTCGAATGCTCTGGAAATCCGATCGCCGATTTTCATGTCATCTGTGTCGAGAATGCTTTTAGAATCGGTCGGCGTGAGTGTGATCTCGTTGTTCTTGATGTCTATGGAGATGATAGCGTCGTCTAGCTTCAAATCGGTCTCGTCGACCGATTTCGATCTGAACTGTCTGGAGGGGGTCATCGGTACTAGTAACTGGTTGTCCGTGCAGACGTCTGGTTTTATAGTAGTGCTCGATACTATGGGTGATGAGATGGAGCGATCAGCGGGACTGGAACCTGGAAATATAATTAGTATAGATAAATATATAAATTACTACGTATATAGTCCAGCGTAGCGTCAAACGTGTAAAGCCCGCACAACCACCGCCATAGATTTGATTAATTACCTCAAAACTTCACCGCGATCGGATCACTTTTGGGTCCTAAAATAAATCAAACGAATTAAAACCGACATTAAACATCTGGACAATAAACATGGCCGGAGATCACACACGAGGTCGAGAGGAGATAAATGGAGGTTATAATAATGATGTTCCAACGCCCTAACAAAAGGTCATTCACCTGCACACGTAGGGGCGGGGCTTGTTATATATTTACCATTAGGAGTCTCCTCCTTCTCTTCCGAGCACTGCGGCAGTGACTCCACCACCAGGTCCTGGAGCATGTCCATGTAGGAGTCCAGAGAGAACTTCTTGCCACAAGCCTTCATACCTCGAACACGACGACGCATCTCTATATTAGTATGACGTGAAATGAATACGGATTAGTGATATTAGTTATTACAATTGTTAAGGTTCATTTAATAATGGACCTAATGCCACAGAAATATTAGTGAGAATAATATTGAAAATTATATATAGGTAATGATTTTTATGGGTTATAACTTATAAGCCATGCAGTGTTAGTATTACCGGGACTGTCTTTGGGTTCCATTTTCAGTTCAGCGAATGTCTGAGCGCATGATGATAGTAGTGACTCGTAATCACATATCGCAGCGTGCGTGCCGTTTACGATCTTAGGACTCATTGGGCTGTTGGCTAGCAACAGACTCGTACCAAACGTGGCGTTCAGTTCGCGAGTCTCTGTTCAAGCAGATATAGTTATAAGCAGTTATAGTTAAGTTAACTATCAGCTGGTTAAATAGAACCTTCGTTAAGTTTACACCCATGATGATAGTTAAGCTCTGGTTAATTCAAGACCCATCAAACCATGGTGAATGAGATTTTAATGTTATTACCTTTCAAAGAAATCCTCGGTTTCTTGGACACCACGATATTCCCGTTTTCTGATCCGAACATTTCCTTCAGTATTTCGGACGCCACAGTCTTGATTTCAGTCCAGTCGTCTAAATTGAAATATTTTAAGATATATGTAATTTGATAGTAATAGAATTGCATTCATTAAAATATAAGTTAATGAGATCTTATATTTTCGCGAGTCTTATTCATTTAAATGAAACTAATATTTTTCGGATGTACTAACCGAGTATGTCCTGGTTGGTGGTTCTTTGGGAAGTGACGGTGAATCTAATGACGTAGACTCCTTTGAAACACGCTGGCACCGCGTGCAGGTAGCCGCGAGCGTTCAGACGCTTCAGGAGATACTCAGTGAGGGTGTTGTCTCCTTTGAGACGGAAAGCCACCATGCCTAGAAGGAAAATATAAATTTAATATCACACCAGTGTTTACTCGCGGCTTCGTCTGCGTCAGTTTGAGGAATAGAAGTATATAGTTAACCGGCTGAACTCTGTTCCTCATTAAACATAGTAAAGAAGAATTTGGTTTTTATCAATTTATATTATTTTTCTTTTTTTGATCGTGATGAAAAGTATTCTATGTCCTTTTCCTGGTCCTAATCTATCTCCACCAATTTTCAGCCAAAGCCGTTCTTGAGTTATAAATAGTGTAACTAACACGACTTTTGTTTTATGTATAAAGAAGATAATAGTTAAATAGAAATATACTTAATATACATAATAGTTACAAATGAATCTATTTTTATCTTATTTCAAATTTATCACAAATAAAACTTAAAATAAGTTAAATGTGTAACTCACCAAGATTCCGTGGTTGTGGTATTTCAAAACGTTGATCCGCTAGCACCAAAGCCTCAAACTTCTGAGCTAGACGTACGCTCTGGAAAAATCATCTTTTGATTAGTCTTAACCCCAACAGGGATAAGAGAACTATTGTTTTATACGTATTTTGTATGAATCTATATATTTTGTAAGGCAGCCCTAATGGGTGCTTTAAGATTTGGTTAGGTAGAGAGAGGAACTTGGATGGTGGAGGTGAACGTTTAACTCGCTTTAGATAAGAGCCCCTTAAACCTACACCTGGGTCACAAGTCCCTGTCACTGTTGAGGCTCTTCTCACTACAACGATGGACCTAACACCCGCACCGTGAATACATTGAATGATGAGAGGTTTTGTTTACAAACTTCAACCCACTGACCTCTCTAATGTGTTTCTGGAGGCCGCTGACTCCGTAATTCCTCAATACGAACCACAGCTTTAAAGCTCTGAACCGTCGACTGAGAGGTATCTGCCAATGCTGCAAAAAATAACCACATTAGTATAGATTAAGAGCAAGTTAGTGAAGCGGTTAACCCATGCCAGGAGTATACATGTAGCTTGTTATGAGGTTATATTGAGCTGTTCGCGAGCCCATCACCACGAGGACCGACACCTAAGCTATAACGTACAAGTAGCTCTTTCTTATTGGGGTTTTCCAATTGTATCGTAGCTACGTGTGACGTGTCCTGTGACTTGACATCCTCGTCACTCTCGTCAGTAAGGCTACTCTCCTCACTGGGCGGGTAACCCTCGTCACTTATAACACTCTCCTCATGATCACCTTTGATGAGGATTTCGGTTTCGATCCTACGCCTGGTGTTCGCGTGTTGGGTACCAACCTTTTGTTTGTAAACAATATTATTATGAAACAGCATTTATTTTAACAAAACTCTGAGGCTTTTAAATCTTTTAAGACTGGTAAGAAAATTTAAATCACTTACCATATAGTCGATAGCTTTGCCTGTAAAAAATATTTTATATATTTAGTAATAATCAATATGAAATAAAATTATTCTCTCAAGATTTAATGACGTACCTGAATTTTCGTGTCTTAGATAAATAGGGTTAACGTTGAAGGTTCTATGCAGAGCGTTACTGTCCCTGACCCTGGAAATATATGTTTGAAAGATTTAGATAAAAATATGTAAAAACAAGTCAATAAGCTATTTACTCTTTACGAGGTATACACAAATGTATTAAGTAATATTAAAGAAGGGATTTCATTGGACGAATCATTACCACATGCCGGTGCAGTCGAAGTTGACCATCAGCCACTTGGATGGATTGAAGGCGAAGGAATCCACCAGCTCGATACCGTCCAGCCAGTGTCTGAACAGAAGATAATGAGTTGAATTATGACATGAGAGATATGAGGAGTTGTTCCTTTAATAGAAAATAAAACACTAGTATAGAAGAAAATTCTAATCATATTTATTCAACCTAATAATTCTACATAAGCTTATTCTTACTTGGAAAATATTCTCTAAAAACCCTAACATAATTTTAACTGTATCATATAATTCGATTAAAATTACCGATCATAAATTTAAATTCATTCGATCACGAATTGTTCTAGTATGCTTATCATCAGTCTATCAGTGCCTACTAGTGAATTTAACCTTCTTCTCACATGGAGAAGCTTATAGCATTAATCACCACGCTTGATCAAGACGGGTTGGCGATTTCAAACTTATAATTTGATATTTTAAGTCCAGGTTTCCTCACAATGTTTTAGTTTATCGTCTGTCAGTGATGTCTAAATATTCTTAGACAGTACATTTGACTTGGAAAATCACATTGGTACTTGCCAGGTTTCGAACCCGCGCCGTCGCAAAAAAGGGGGGCCTTTTAACATTCTAGCATATTGTAAAATCCTCAAACCTGTATTCGGGGCATATAAACGCGCTCCCAGCGTAAGCAGCATCCACGTGCAGCCAGATGGAGTGCTGGTCACACACTGGACCTATCTCACGGAGATCATCGAAGGCTACGGAACCCGTCGTACCGAGGGTGGCGCACACCTGAACAAGGATTCATGATTTAATATATATCGGCGCTATCAGCTGTAATAACGGATGCGACTTGAAAATAATTTGAGGCTGTCATCAATTATTATTAAAACTCATTAGTATTCATGATTATTGTTAAAAGTAAAACGAAATCAAAGATTGTTGAAACGGAGAATAGAACTATGTTTGAATCTTGGTATAAATATGACGTCTGGACTCACGACGGCAGAGTTCAGTGAGTGCGGACCATTGAATATTGTGATTATAAAGAACCTTCGAGAAATACAGGAACATTAAGAACAATTGAAGTTTCATTTTAAAATATCATGGAACGTACGGGAAGAAGTGACATTTTAAGAATTATGTGTACACATTTAAATGAAACTAAGTTTCTAATACTACGCGTCTCTTATCATTCTAAATATATCTACATGATACCGATGTACCGGTTCCTTCACAGCAACCGTGATCACGAAGATGAGATAAAAGTGTCTGTCAGTTAGTCTTGTTGGTTTGATATTATTTGAAAATTAAATTTTTTTTTTTTTTTTTTATGGCCCAAAGGGGCAAGCGAGCGGACGGCCCACCTGATGGTAAGTGGTTACCGTCGCCCATGGACATCTGCAACACAAGGGGTGTTGTAGATGCGTTGCCGGCCTTGTTTGGAAAGGAGCCACCTGAACACGTGATGTTTGAAAGACCCCATGTTGTAGCTCTCTGGAAAAGCCTCGGGCGGAAGATCATTCCACATCCTGCACGTGCGTGAAAAAAATGATCGCGACGCACGTACAGTCCTGCAACTGAATGCATCCAGATGATGTGGGTGAAATCCAACCCTACGCCGAGTAGTGCGATGGTGGAATGTAGACGATGGCACTACATCAAACAGTTCCTCGGAACATTCCCCATTGTACAGACGATAGAACACACTGAGGGAGCTTACATCCCTTCGGAGACTTAGGGGTTCTAGATCGTCTGTGAGCATGGGATCGTTGACAATACGAACTGCCCGACGTTGTATGGAGTCAAGTGGAAGAAGTTGGTACTGTGGGGCACCGGACCAGAGGTGAGAACAATACTCCATGTGGGGACGAACCTGTGCTTTATATAACAAAAGCAAGTGTCCCGGTGTGAAGTACTGCTTCGCTCTACTCAGTACCCCTAGTTTTTTTGATGCTAGTTTAGCCTTGTCCTCCAAATGACTCCGGAATTGAACGTCGTTCGCTATGTCAACCCCAAGGATCCCAATGCTCTGTTTGATCTTAAGGGGAATGTCCTGGAACTTTGGAGCTACAGTAAATGGGGTCTTTTTAGTGGTAAACGCGCAAACTTGTGTCTTCTTGGGATTAAACTGAACAAGGTTCAGCTTACCCCATTCGGAAACCTGCTCCAGGGAGGTCTCAATTTCAGACACAAGTCTCTTTCTGCTCTCTTCTACTTGGTCACGAGGAATATTAGCTCGGCCCATGTAATAAGCGTCACCAGTACTGTCATCTGCATAGCACCGAATGTTGCTGGTATGCAGCATGTCGTTGATATGCAGAATGAACAGTGTTGGTGATAGTACTGAGCCTTGGGGCACGCCAGCGTTGATGGGCTTGGGTTCCGAGCAAGAACCGTCAACAACGACCTGTATGCTCCGCCCATGAAGGAAGCTGGCTACCCAGTTGCATAATTCCTCGGGTAGTCCTACGATGGTAGCTTCGATAGAAGTGCGCGATGCCAGACCCGATCAAAAGCCTTTGCGATGTCTAGGCTGACCGCCATGGCCTCCCCTTTGCTCTCAATGGCTTCAGCCCATCGATACGTGAGGTATACTAGAAGATCACCAGCGCTTCGTCCGTGGCGAAAGCCATATTGACGGTCGCTAATAAGCTGGTTATCCTCTAGATAACCTAAAAGTTGCGTATTGATGATCCGCTCCATCACCTTTGAGAGTAGGGAAGTGATCGCAATAGGCCTATAATTGGATGGGTCTGTGCTGTCACCCTTCTTGGGAATAGGGTGGACATTGGCCACTTTCCACGAAGACGGAACTTTACCAGTAGTATAAGAGAGTGAGAATAGGCGCGTTAAGACCGAAGTCAATTCAGGAGCACACATCTTAAGCACAATGGCTGGGATACCGTCTGGGCCGCTGGATTTCTTGACGTCGAGGGATGACAGGGCGGCACGCACAGCGCTCTGCGTAAAACGCACATTGCGCATATTTTCCCTGCACCGCGGGATGGTAGGCGGTGCTTTTCCCCCATCGTCAAGAGTTGAATTCGACGCAAAAAGAGTGCACAGAAGATCAGCCTTCTCTTTTGCGGAATTAGCCAGCGTTCCATCAGGATTGTGCAAGGATGGTAGGGAAGACTTACAGAAATTGCCTTGTACCGCTTTGGCGAGAGACCAAAAAGAACGAGTTCCTGAGGGAACGTCAAGTAGTCTCTCTCCAATTCTGCGAACGTGCTCCTTCTTTGCTCTGGAAATCTCCTTTTTGCAAGACCTGGAGGCAGCATTATAACCCTTTTTCAATTCGGACGTTTTTGGATCCTTCGCAGCTGATGCCGCAGCCCATGATCGATATTTCAACTGTTTCGAGCGTAACGCTTCTGTACAGGATTTATCAAACCAGGGCTGAGACTTACCCCCCGTGCGAATAACAGAGCTGGGAATGAAGCATTCCATTCCCTGCAGAATAGTATCCGCAACGGCGTTCGCGCAGATCGAAGGATCGTCCGAAGAAAAACAAAGCTGCCTCCAGGGGTAGGATGCGTAAAATTCTCGCAATCCTTCCCAGTCTGCCGACTTGTAGTGCCAAACTAGACGTCTTCCGGGTGGACGGGAGGTCGTGGTTGGCGCTAATTTTGTCTCGGAGTGCACCAGGCAGTGGTCAGATGACCCGAGGGGTGCATTGACGGACACCTTGTAGCGGTCCGGGCGAGTGGTCAGCAGAAGGTCCAGCAAAGAGGGGTTATGGTCCTCAACATCAGGGATCCGAGTGTGTTCTGGAACTACCTGAGTTAACCCATAAGCCAGAGCAAAGTTATTTGCGGCTCTTCCAGCGTAGTCTGTGGTACGTGATCCTAACCATTCGCAATGGTGGGCGTTAAAGTCGCCTAGGATCACTACCTCCGCGCTGGGATACCGCCGGAGAACAAAATCTGTAGCCTCCTGGATGTGTCCAAAGAGACGATCGACTTCGGTGTTACCACTATGGGACCTGTACAGGCACGCGTAGATACGGTTTGAGTTACCGTTGTACACTCGCACCCACATCACTGACAGGTCCTTATGTTCAAGGCTGTCAAGACGTTGACAACAAATATCCTCCCTGACGAATAAGCATACCCCGGCCCGCGGTAGAAAAAGGTGCTCAAGTCTGTAACCGGGGTAATGCAGATACGAGGTATCTTGAGGATTGGATATTTGCGTCTCGGTCAAAAATAACAAGGCCGGCTTAGCTATCTCTAGGTGGTGATGGACAGCATTAAGATTGGAGTGAATACCCCTTATGTTGCAAAAGTCCACTACAAACGTGGAAGGGGTTGCCGCTGTAGTGACCTTAATTACCTTATTTTGGACAGCCATATATATATTTTTTGTTCAGGAAGTGGGAGTGAAGGAAGGATGCTGATGGCCCATCAACTATCCTGTCAAAGAACATTGCCATTGATCTGAATTGAGAGCAGAGTTTTGTGTGTTACTGGCATGGGGCACGGAAGGGCCCCCGATCCGACCCGCGGTTGCAAACTGGGTTCCACCCCGGTCTCCCACTCCGGCACAGTCAGCAACCGACGGGCTTTTGGCATTGGCGGTGGGACAGCCTCCTAGATCGGGATAGTCTAGGTTCGGGTCCCCTACGGACCAACGGGCGGCCAGCGGTAAACCGTTTCATCGGGTCTCCCTGGACCCCATGCCAATGAAACACGCTCAACATCTCAAAACAGACTTCGACAAATGTAGGACAGAAAGTCAACAGACACATCAACATCCTGGGAGAGGGAAGGGTGGGGAAAGGAAAGGGCAACCGGCTCTCCCACTCATCAGACGAAACGCAGCCATTGAAGGCTACTTCACGCCGATCTTCTGTGGGAGGGTGGTACTTCCCCGGTCGAGCCAGCCCATGTTCGAACTGTAGTGACCTACCACAGTTAGGCTCTACCACCTATGAAAAAATCAAACTCAAATTTAAATTTATTATTATAGGTATAACTAATACGTGTTACACATTTGACACGAAGAAATTTTGAACGCTTAGACCCAGTTTCACCAATCAATGTTAAATAAGTAACATCTTGCTAAGTCGTTTGATTCTCTGTTAGATGTATCGAGCGTCCCACCACGCACTAATGTCCGTTTAAATGTCTTAACAAGCCACTAATATTAATTCCTGCTCTGGAGCTCCGTCTAATGGCTAACCTGACTGTTAATACATTGTCAAAACTCAATTGTCCAATCACAGCCCTGATTTCTTGTAACCATAGTAACGTCATCTGTTTTGTCAGTTTCGACTATTTCCTTGTTATTATTAATAAAGTGAATTAAAATTTCATTACCTATGATGATTTTGCCTCCAGCTTTTCTATGACATTGCAAATTAAGTTTTCTTTTTATTTCTTATAATTTGAATACAATTTATATTTATAACACAATTTATTGACAATACGATTTTGACAAGTTACACCTAGTAAATTGAAAAGAAAGCTTTTTGTGTGCCAAATGTATGCAACCAACAATATATAAAATTTGGTCGCATTAGTATACAAGTGAGGTATCGAGGGATATATACGATCAAAGTATAAAGTGGTGCATCGTGGCCAACGTGCCGTATTAAACGCTATAGTTTCCATTTGGTCGTATTATAACAAGAACGAATAATTTGGTAGTCTGTCATTTGACATGACGTTTAATAATGCGTTGTTAATTTGTCATCGTGGGACGTAAATATTTTAACAGACATTTATAATTTTGAAGGCTGGGTTTAGATAAAACAAACATTGATTGGTGAAACTGGGTCTTAATCTTATTTAAATAAAATCTTCATACTTTACTATCGTTACTATTGTATCACAAGATAAAAATAAAACATATCACCTCAAATATTTAAAGAAATAACCTTCCGACTATTATTTCAATATAAATATAAAAAAAACTAGTTAATTATCAATATTAAAAGTCAATAATCTTCCTGTTTTACGTACGTCGTTGATGTCACGTGTGAAATAACATAATGAGGCCGATGAAGAATTAATATGGTTATAGAAGCATGGATGATGAGGAGGTAACTTGATTAACTGAGGAGTTGTGATGATAAGAAATATTACGTACATGATACAAGAGTGGTGGGGAGGGGGTAGGGTCTTGAATCTTTAAGGTAGGGTAGGGTGGTAGTCAAAATATATTAAATTTAGTTTAATATCATTATTGATATTTCACTAAATTTAATATATTTTGACTATTCGGTAAAAATCTTAATAATCCTCTCAATATTATATTGTATATACTAATATTGTTGCGAAAGTAACTCTGTCTGTCTGTTTGTTACGCTTTCACGCCTAAACCACTGAACCGATTTTAATGAAATTTGGTACAGTAATAGAGTTGACCTTGAGAAAGAACATAGGATAGTTTTTATCCCAGACTTTTGAAAGGTTCTCTTGGAAATGCGATATAACGGAACTCCACGCGGGCGAAGCTGCGGACGGAAAGCTAGTTTTATATATTCTTCATTAAGTTTAGAAATATGTAGCTTTGTATCCTTACTATAAGTTCTCGACACATTACGTCAACATTCTAGTTGTTCATAAATACTTATATTCATAAAACAGATCGATTAATACAAGTTTGCATCATACTACACACGACGCGTATTTCGTTTTCCATCCATTTAATTAGGTTTCCTAAAATTTGTGAATGAAAAAGCATGCCTATGCCTATCAGCCTATCAGAAGCCCACTGCTGAGCAAGGCCTCTTTCTCACATGGAGAAGGTTTGAGCATTAATCACCACGCTTGCTCAAGACGGATGGGTGATTTCAAACTTATAATTGTGAAACCATAAGTCCAGGTTTCCTCACGATGTTTTCCTTCACCGTATGTCAGTGATGTCTAAATACTCTCAGAAAGTACATATGAAAAAGCATACCCACGGAATATAGTAATATATTGCAAATAATGCCGTATATCCAGTTTAAAACTAATTACAGTTATATCTAAGTATATAAAATATAAGAAAATAATTTAGTAATCTATGCAAATATTCTATTTTAAGAAGCAATTTATTAATAGCGATGTTCCCAGACGTCAGTGTGTCTGTTGATGTTCAACAAATTGCTCCCTCAGCGGAGCCTCTTAGACAGTCCTATTAATATTATTTTAATTAACCTCCAGGGAAATATGGTAATACAGAGTGACCATTTGTTGAAAACACAGCAGGGATGAAAGATTTAAAAATATTAATTTATAATAACAAAGAAGTTTTATTTTATGGAATATATTTATTTTATTCTGCGATGAAGAAGTACGTTGTATGGCTTCTTGCTTTAGTTAATCGTCTTATTTGACTGAAATCGCCTTATATTTTTATTGAGTTGAAATTTTAATGAGACTTAGTATTTCTAAGGAATTTTTTAATTCAATATCTCTCCTAGACAGTAATTTTTGTTCTTGTTATTTATAAAATGACTATAAATCATACTAAAAGCTTCAAGTAGGCATTAACATAAGTATTGAAAATTAGTTAAGATCTTTCAAAAAAGGTTTTTAGAATCTTTAATTACATAAAATACAAAAATATTGTTGTTTCAAAAACATAAATAATTCAGATAGTAAGAAAAATTATCTCTACAAAAAGAGTTTGTTGGAATATTGTACAAAATATAAATAATGAGTTAGCAAAAAAGGTGTGCTACGCGTTACATATTAAAAAATAAATGAACATCGCCGAGGCGGCATCGTTGTATGTATAAAATATATAACAAGTGACGCCGCTGACTCCGCGGAACGAACACCAAGCCGTGTGAACCAGAAGATTCCTGATACACACAAGCTATGGAATGGGATTGCTATCCTAACATCGGGTCAATCATGTAGTCTTAGGTGTAGGTTGTAAGTTTTAATATATAATTCTTATTATAATATACAACATCTGGTTACCGAGCTTTGCTCGATATTTAGCAATTATTAGTATTTTTTTTTATCTCGTTTAGGCATTTTTAAGTGAACACGTTAAGAAGACAAAAACAATATAAATCAACAATTAATTTCAATTTTAGTCAAACTCAAAACAAACACTCATTGACTTCCTGTTACATAAAAATGCCATCTGCTGTTGTGTCGTTAAATCAATTAGTAAAAGCAATTAGCAAAAAGTAGTATAACTATTCGCCAATAAATGTCAGGGAGAGTCATATTTTAAACGACTCCTTTTTGTTATTTATTTAATAAAAATAATTTTTTTTTAAATTATTCCTAGCTAGATCGATTTATCGCCCCCGAACCTCCCTATATACTAAATTTCATGAAAATTGTTGGAGATTTTCATGATCGTTCCGAGATTCCAATTAGATGCTCATTTAAATTTATAAATTTCGTAGTCTTCCTGGAACCTCCGTTTGCCAACCTAACATAATTGGTGAATGATTTATTTTAGAATATAAAATCGACTTACCCAGAAGGGTACCAATCCCTTGGCCTTATCATTGAGGATAGCTTCCTCTAATTTGTCTCCTCTCATACACTGATGTTCATCAGATTCTATGTAACGCATCCGCACCAGACCTGATAAAAATAACTTGCACTGATCAGCCATAGATCTTGGAACATTCAGAGTGAGCAAATAGAAATTTAAAAATGATTCTCTATAAATTTAAAGTGAAATATCTTTCTAAATATTACCAATGAGTCCAGCCTTCTCCACTGATGAATGTGCTTGGTCGGAACAGTAAGCTATCAGATGTCCGAGCAGTTCAGAGGACTGCATGTCAGGGTTGAGAGCTGATAGTTCCATCAGGGCCCTGGTGCGGGCAGCTAGCAGACTCACCAGGGTTGCCTCGCTCGCTGTGGTCTGTTATGAATCAATTAAAAGATAAATAAAACGTTACAAAGTATAATTAATTTGAAAATAATGTCTATGATATTTTCAATGAAGTTATTATGAAATTAACCTTTCGAATCTTTCCGTAATCTCTCTTTTTTTCTCGAATCTTTCTATTTCTTTTTTATGTAAATCTTTATTTCTTGGATTCACGGTAAGACGAAATTATTCTGTCGTCTCTACCGATTAATGCCCTCATAATAGTCAGGCTTTAATCTATCATATAACTTAGACCTCACCTGTATCACACCACCTCCTTGGCTGTCGTTCTTTTCATTAAGGAAGCACTCCGGTAGACCGAGGAGTTTCCCGAGCCAGTTCATCGCTATCGTCTCTAATTCTGTACCAGCCGGCGATGAAGCCTAGATGACAAAATATTATAAAACCTGCTTGAGAACCAACTCATAAAGAATATTGTATCAGATATATTTAACTTACCCAGGTGAAGCAGAGGACATTCATAGCACTAGACAGCATTTCTCCCATGATTGATGGGTATGAGGTCAATGCTGGGAAGTACGCGTGCATGTGGGGACTCTGCCAGTGGACGATCTAGGAACACCATATGAACAATAAAATGATGTATAAAGAAAGTCTGTACAAGAGTTGACATTAAGAGAATAGTTGCGTCAGAATCAAACACGAAATTGCAATAATTCCTCTCCCTAATTTGATTTATAATAATTCTTTTGTTAACCAAGCCTATATATAGGGTGACTGGTGAATTACTATCAATATTTAAGAAGAATACTCGGTACTTGATTCTCATTCGAGTTATGTAAAAAAAATATATATTTTTTTTTTTATGTGAAAGCTGGCAAACGAGCAGACGGCCAACTTGATGGAAGGTGGTTACCGTCGCCCATGGACATCCGCAACATCTATGTTGCGGATGCGTTGCCAATCTTGTTTTGTAGGGATAGGGAGGGGTGGGAATAAGGAAATGGTAGGAAAGGATGGGAATAGGAAAAGGGCAACCGGGTCTCTCACTCATCGGACGAAATGCAGCCACTAAAGACTACTTCACGCCGATCTTCTGTGAGAGGGTGGTACTTCCCCGGTTGAGCCAGCCCATGTTCGAGCTGTAGTAACTGACTACAGCTAGGCTCTACCACCTCTAAAAATTTACTTAATTTTTGACCAAATTTCCGTATAAATAAATAAAGTGTGTACACGTTCCAAGTGTTCCAAGTGTGGACGCGTGCGGCGGCGTGCTGATACAACACCACGCCGCCACACGCGTATGTGTGTGTGTGTGTATACCTAATCTGTAGGGTGTTCACACGATGCGTAATTAATTACATAACTTTTGGTTAACTCTACTTCGAAGTTTATTAATATTTATGTTATATTAATTTTTATTTTGTCATATATGATCGTCAAATATCACGTCCTCAAGTATCGATAGTAATTCACCAGTCACCCTGTATATAAAAGAAAGTTGTGTTACACTAATTATAACTCAACAACGGCTGTAGGGATATGGTTTAAAATTGGTGGAGAAATTTGGAGCTTAGAACCAGGAGACGGGCATAGGCTTGTCTATTTAATTGTGTTTGATCGAAAAAGAATAAAAAAGTTAATACATTCCAACATCTGGTTATTTACGGAATAGAGTTAGCCCGGTCAGATATAAATGTTACTAATTCCGAAATTAACGCGGACAAAGTCACGTGTAAAAACTAGTAACATATTTTATCCTTTAGTTAGGTTATATATAATGGTTATATTTACCCCGGGCATGATGTGATCCTCCACGTCTTTGAAGATGTCGTCCCATTTCTCCGGTGTCTCTGGTGCGTGGTCCGGTAGTCTCTTGTGGAGGTAGCCTGGCTGGACCCCAGGGTACACCTTATGGTCCCTGATATTCTCCAGGTAATCCGCCATATAGTCCACCAATTCTTTTGCTGTACAAGGATTTTGATTTCGTTGGTATACTTAATACTTGATCGAGTTATATTACATAGAATTCCTTTTGTATTTTGTTTACCGATTTTTGAAATTAATTAATCAGTTTCAAGAAAACGTCGGGAGTATGTAGCTTTTACCAAAAATAAAGCACCTTACTACATATATTCAAAAAATATTAGTTTCATTTAAATGAATACTCGTTAAAGTCTTTGATTTCATTTTAGGAAAAAATCTTTCCTAATTGCCTGTTGTACTTTACATGCATACGTTACATTTGAAATATACTTTATATATGAAAAATTATTGGAATAACAAATATAACGTGTGAATATTTGATCATGTTCAAACGAAACTTACTAAAAATATCTCCAAAATATATTCAGTGTTTTTTTAACCAACAAAACCTTATAAAAACATAAATATACAAAGAAAGAAAACCTAAGAAAACTTTTATTTCACGCCATTATGTTTATAACATTATATTAATGTTGAGCTAATAATTAAATTAAAAAATATAAACTGAAAAATTCTTCAATACGACCAGGACTCAAACCTCCAACCTCGGAAATATCGTTCCAGTTTAATTAAAATTACAGCTATGAACATACGAACAACGATATAAAACTTTCTTTACGATACAAATTTATGGAAAATCCTTTTTTTTATTCATATTATTATACTGAACAAGTTACTATAATATTCTTTATAGTTTAGTTTAGTTGAATTTCCAATCAGTTAGTTACAAATGCGTTTATTCCGAACCTTGAGTAGTCGTATGTACTGATCCAATTAGTCGCGGAAAAAAGATTTAATTCAATCAACTAAAGTCTCTGGCTCGTGTAAATTTAAATACAAATAGATTCCTTTATACGGAACCTAATTTAAATTGGGGTTCCTTAATTAAATGGAAATATCATAGTAGTTATAGTTATAATCTAAGAGGAAGAAATCATGTTTCATAGTTACTGCAATATTTAGGTATATTTATATGTTTTTAACTTCTACCTAACATATAAATAAAACAAAAAATTCGTCTGACATTTGATAAACAATTATTCTATAAGTAATATTTAACTCAAATAACTATATCGTGATCTGTTTAATTTTCGACTTACTCCAAGTTCGCACTACGAAAACATAGTTCCTAATTTTTATTCATAAACTTTCGCATGTGATTAACGTAGTATAAATGAAAAACTGCAAACTATTCGTAACCAACTCATATTAAAGGTATAGATATTCTTAAGACCTTCTATCTGTAAAATTCTTGTAATATGTACGTACATTTAAATTTCTTTTAAATTAAATCCATATACAATATAGACTTTAAACTGCCTCAATAAAGTCTTTAATGCTTGTTTCGCGTTTATTGTGTGACTTGTTTGAATCCCGGGATGTGAAAGGATCACAGGATTGATAAAATGACTGTAAACGGCCCTGTCTTCGCTTATTGTTATTTTTATGGCTGGATTTGTCTTATTGATAATATTGGATACAGACAGACATCTCTACGTCGTGTAAATTCATTGCGCCTTATTGGAAACTAAAACATTTACGTAAACGATTCTGTCGTCTTATTTATGAAGTAAATAAAACTGTTTAAATGAAACTATGTTTTATTTTCTACGTTTTTTACTTTTTTGTGGCTAATTTTTTCCGGATACTATGAGTTTTTTACTATTTTATATCTACATACTCCCGACGTTTCGGTTTCTTTACAGCAATCGTGATCATTAAGACGAGATGAAAGTCACTTGTCAGTATAAAGTAATAAAAAAACACGTAGTATCCGAAAAACTTAGTTTAATTTAAATATGTTCAGCCGAAAAATTCAAACAATTTCAACTATCTCTTTTCAGAACTTCCTTTTAAACAAGAAAAACACATATCTAAAAGCAGCTTACCCATTTTTTAACTTGAAAAATGCAATCGCCAATGAAAGAATCAAAATTTTTTCAGTGAAATGTCAGATATTTTTTCTATTACATTAAAATTATAATAAGGATAAGATATATTTATCAATACCACCAGCTGCCAATAAGTTATAATAATTGAACAACAAGAAGTATTTAGAATTAAATCAATTAAATAGGCTTCACAGTAACATTGACATTTGAACTAGAACCATAACTAAACTACTATTAGTATATATTACTAATAATAACTAATCACTGATAATCATTGAATATCAATATTTTTTTATATCAAGGTAATATTAAATATTATGTATTTCACCTTAAAATTAATTATACACAACTTTACAAAAACAACGTTTTTTTCCATCAACATTTACTCAACTGTAATCTAAGTTCTTTATAAATTAGTTGATATAAAAGTAAGCCTATACATATACTTGTTCTTCTACCTAGCAATTTCCCAGCTATAGCCAGGATCTGCCTTACATGGTGTGAATAGATTTGACTAATTGTTTTTACGACCGGCCGCCTATCTGACATCAACCCTCTTTGGGAATGCATTAATCAGTGATGTCTAAATACTCTTATAAAGTACATATGACTTGGAAAAATAATATTGGTATTTGCCAGGATCGAACCCGCGCCCTCGTGCATGAAAGGCGGGTCTTTTAACCACTAGGCCACCACTGACTATACATATATATAAAGATTAAGATAATATATTGATCACCGAAATTATAGGGAAAATACGATTTATAGACACATTAAAAGAAAATGTGGACGTTAATTAACGGTAAGGTAACTGTATTAAGATGTATTGATAATTATTAATTAATGTATTGATAAGGATATTTTAACTAACCTTTCACCCGGAACTCCTTGTGGTCCATGGCTGCGATCCTGGAATAAGAATTACTATTAATAATAATATACAGAAATTCTTTTTGTATCTTAAAACTTATTATTTCGACTTTATAAGAAATAATTATTATATATTGGTACTAAAATATATAGTAATATTAGTTTTTTATTAATAAGCAAAACTTTATTTATTTTAACATTCGAAGAATATATATTTAATTAATTTAATTTGATTTTATTGTTGTCATATATAATTCTTACCTTGTTCAGTGCGTTTGTCTAAGTTGTATTTAATATTACTAAATTTTTAATGTAATTTCCATATTTTCAATTTAACTAATAAAGAAAATAGAAAATATTATAGTTTTAAAGTTAAATCGTCATTAATAGTTTAATTGTAACTTTAAAAAATATCTTAAGAATCTATGTGAAACTTATTTATTTTACGAAAAAATTTACAATTTAAAAACAAAAAGTATCTTTAATGGATTTATATTTCAAAAAGTTACATAAATAAAATCATTTTTTATTGTTTATTATTAACAAATAACTTTCATATAATTGTAACTATCTTTTGTTTCTTGAAGTTGATGTATCACTCAGTGTTGACTTAAAATCTTTTTGTGTAAACGTTACCTTTAATCTATCAATAAGTTATATTATTTACTTTGGAATCAATAAATAATACTGTCAGATTGAAATGAAAACAAAGAAGTTTGGAATTAAGTACAAGACTTAGAAAATTGTTACAAAAACACCGTAAAATGCAATGAAATTTGAAAAAAACGTAATTTTTTTCGTATATATGTGATTTTTTCTTCATAAATATAATTATAAGGTATTTTTTTATATATGTCAATTTGAAATTCGGCCTGACACCATACATAATACAATAATCTCTAAACCATGTGAAGCCTTAGTTGTTGAAGCGCGCTCTATATTCGTATTGATTTGGTTGCAAATGTAGAAAAAAAACATCTTTACACAAAACTATGAATAATCATACTATTGGAAATAAATGAAACTAATTTTCGGATGTACTACGCGGTTTATTTTTGACAAAAAACTACATACTTCTAACATTTATTGAATTTGATGGAAAATAATTTTTATTATTATAGATCTATCGACGTAGGAATCTAGAAGTTAGAAGAAAGTAAGCACTGATACTAAGTAACTAACTAACTATTTATTACTTCATATACAGAACTAACAGGTAACAGACGAAAAACACGAATAAAATGATTGTTATTACAGAATTTAAAAAATTCAATATAATTTTGTATCTATACAGACAATCCATTAAGAACGCATTTAAGTTGAACCTAATTTCAATAGTTTTACAAAAATAATAAATGTATTAGTCAAAGCTGAAGAATCCAAGTAGTTTATTGGCGAAATAAATTTTAATAAATAACATAATAGCAAATATTATTTAATGTTATGAAACAATTTTAAAATAAGCCTCTTTTTTTATCTCACTGTGATTAGATTTCATTATTTTTTCCTTAAGTTTCACTTTTACTTATAATAAATTTGTTCAAATTTTTTTTTTTTATAATAATGAATTTGTATTCATACCTCATTAAATAAAAGATCTTTTGCTTGAAAAAATTATAAATGAATAATAATTTTTTTATTGAACATTAAAATAAATATTATATATTTGTTTTAATAAATTTCAATTTTAAAATATGTGAAACGAAGGTTTTTATTATAACTATTAAGATTAGATTACAGCTTTATTTTTAATTCCTTAATCAACAAAAAAAAATGTCAAATTATAAACAAAAATTACAGCACTTAGAACTTAAAAGCTTTACTTACCTTAGCAAAATTTATGCTCAATCGAAAAAAAATCAGGAAATATTTAATATATATAATGGAGAATGTTCTTCTGTCACTGAGCCGCGGAGAAGAAGTGTAATGCTTATATAGGGTGAGGAACACGATTACTCACTCAACTAGTCGACCGACTAGTCGAGCGACTGGTCGAGGGGTGAGTTTGATCATGAGCGGAGATATATACTCTGTTATTGATAAATAATGATGCAATTTAAATAGAAATTAATAGTATATTATAATAATATCTATATTAAAACAAGTATTTTAATACGTACATAATTAATTTAATTTAATATTAATTTTATATATTATATATAGAAGTTTTTTTATTACGAAAACTATTATGTTTTAATATATATTTATGTATATATAATATGTATATGTCAAAAAATCGCTCCGCTCATGCACCGTGAACACACCATAACACATATATATTTAATATTTTCCGGGTCGAGATCGTTTTTCAATAGAATATAACAGCAACATATTTAAAACTTACCAAACTTTTTTGTGTCACTTAAATGTTCTATACTAGTTTCATCCCGGGGCGCCGCTTGCATAGTTAACACAGTTCTTAATGAATTAAAGAATTTATAATTCAGAATCTTATCCACTTTTTTATCTATCATACCTTAAATTCTATTAAAATTGATCCAGCCTTATTACTGACCAAGGAGAAAGTTTTGGTGTAAAAATTAATTAGAATACTCCATTTATTTACAATATTTACGTATCAAAAGTGGTAATTTCCTTAATAATTTTATTTAATATCTAAGTTTCATAGTTATTTCATCATTCGGAAGCATTGCTTCTATGTACTCGTGTTAGACAGACTTTTCTCTCAAGTTTTTGACGATCTAATTTAGAGAGTACTATCACAGATATAGGTGAAGACACCCTTTGGTTTGTTTACTATAAGTTCGAGTCCACACTACACACGATTGGTTTCGCGTTTCTAAACCAAAAATTAACTTTAAGAGACGAAACCTCTCATCATTCAATGTATTCACGGTGCGTGTGTCGGGTCCATCGTTGTAGGGAGAGGAGCTTCAACAGTGACTGGGCCTTGTGACCCAGGTGTAGGTTTAAGGGGTCCCTATCTAACGTAATCTATTTCTCAGTCGTTAAAACTATAAATACTCTGTAAGTTGTCGATTCAATCATGTAGTAAGCATACAGGTGAATACGGTACCCACGTTGTATTCTAACTGACTGACTGATAGTTATACAGTAGGCACTTCAGATGAAAAGTAATATCTTTTTAATTAGTAATAGTTCATGAATTAGGTTTAATAGTAATTTGTGCCCGTGATCACAGTTGTAAAGTAATCGAAACGTCGGGAGTATGTAGTTTAAAATAATGAAAATATTAGTTCAGAATCTTTTATAAGATTTATTAAAACTCAAAATATTTCGATCTAAATATTCTTGTTATACCAAAAATATATCCTTTCCTATTAAACAACTTGAGTTATTAAATGGAATTATTTATAAATAGTATATCTACAGCCCTAACGGCAGACCCTGGCTAAAACTGGTAAATTGTCAGCTAGAAGAAGAATTATATCTACAGTTAAAAGTTCAATAATATCAATATAAATTGTACAAAATCTGAAATAGTTTTGAACGTGACCTATGGTGTGGTCTAAAATTGATCTAAGTGACTATAATTGTCCTTATTATAAGTCATCATTACACTGCAAACGGAGAGTTAAAAATATTAAAGAATTAACTCGAAACGCTACGTGTGTAGTAAAGACTCGGACTAAACAATCACATACAGTGTGACAATCGTATCTTTTGTTACATGATCTTGGATTTGATTAGTGCGTGTCAACTGTGGTATGTGTTGTGCAGTTTATAAACGGACGAGAAACTAATTGAGAGACACCTGTGTCATCAAAACAAAATATTCTACTAATTTTAGGCTAGCTTTGTAACTGAAAATTAAAAATCAAGGTTCCATATGAAGTGTTACGAAATGAAATAAAGTTTAAGACGTGAAAACAAGAGTTTTAAATGATTTATTAGATAGAAACTGCTTAATCTTCTTCTTCTACCTGGCCATTTCTCAGCTTTAGCTAAGGTCTGCCTTACATGTTGTAAATAGTTTTGGCTAATAAACTACTTAATATTAATACAGTATTCCCTTTTATCTTCTTTAAATATTAATTTTCAAAACTTATATTAAGTTTCTAAATGAGATAGTTTAATAAAAACTATATTTTATCTTTATCAACGTCAGATACTTATAGTAGTAGTATAACTTAAAAAATTCTAATATTTACGTAAAAACAAAACAGATATCCAAAAATAAAAAATTTAACCTTATTTTCCGAAAGCTATTATAAAAATTAATTTTTCGTGTTTCAAGTTAATTATTGAATATTACATAATAATAATGATAAATTTATAATATAGATTTTATCTTTATGTTCCAACATCGTAAGATTGTGACATTTAACTTTTATAAATATTGTAAACTTCTACCGGGTGGCCGAAGGATTTGAATGAGGTGGAATCATATCATTGGGGTTACTCAAATAAACTATACTTATTATTTAAACAAGAAAATTAATGAAGTATTGAGATCTAAAAAGATGAATTAATAGCTTAAAAGTTATCTTTATTTTTCTTAGCACGTCAAATTTCAATTCCTTGTACAAAAAAACGGCCTCTTTTATGAAAAATCCTTAAATAATCATCTAAATTCTCGTCAAAATTCCATATTTGATGTAAATATGACATATTAAAAACATTAAAGCCTGTAGGCGTAGTTAATTTATTTGAATATATAAAAACCGGACGCCAAATAACTTAAAATTTGTTACTATCCAATCATTTGTATCTGATATTTATAAAAGATTAATCTTATTCTTTTATTATAAGAAAAGTCAGTAAGTGACAAGTCTGTCTTTCTATCCTTAGATCAAAATATATATATAAGTATTGAAGTCTGTTCCTGTTTATTAAACAACAGGGAGTTATTTTTAACTTACTAATAATTTCTTACTAGTAAGGTTCTTCTTAGGTAAGGTTTTCACTTTCATAAAATATTACACGTGGTGGTTGTTAGGAAAATGTGGAAAATTAAACGAATTGTTATTATGTAAGTACTATAAAATAAATGTTTTAACATATATCAGCATTTGCTTTGTTTCATAACAGTAAAAATAGTAAACGAAACTGAGAGTAAAATATATATTTATAGTTTTAATAATTTCATCTCAAGATTTGGACTATAAAAGGAATTATAATTTACGTCGATTTTTTTCACTAATATTATAAATGCGAAAGTAACTTTGGCCGTCTGTCTGTTACGCTTTCACGCCTAAACCACTGAACTGATTTTAATGAAATTTGGTACAGACATAGAGTTGACCTTGAGGAAGAACATAGGATAGTTTTTATCCCAGACTTTTGAAACGTTCTCTTGGAAACGCGATATAACCGAACTCCACGCGGGCGAAGCTGCGGGCGGAAAGCTAGTACTATATATAAAATTACTTGAAGCTGACGATTGTTTTCGTATGAGACGGAATTCTTAAACAAATATGAAATATTAATGTATTCATTCGTAACATAATTAACAAATTAAATATTATTAATGGCTTTTATTAATAACTCTATTAATATAGATAACAATCTGTTGTTTCCTTCACACAAACCATTCAGGGCCGCTAACTACTCTTGTGATGTGTTCGAGACTGACACGTGAAGCATTAGGTTCAAATTTAACTGTTTAATGTACGGTTAGATTAACTTTTAGTTAGTTATAGAAAATAAAAGAAATAGAATGCATGCGTTTCTTTGCAACCATTTCATTGCTTATAGATAATGTTTTTTAATAAGTAGTTCATGTTTTCGTGCAAGGGAACGTCAAATAAAGTATTTTAGAAAAACTGGAACGTTTATTTTGATTTCATTATTATAAATTTATTTTGCGAATGTCACGTTGTTTAAAATGTGACGCAGATTGATCTTTAAATATTATCAAATTTGTATATTTATGTTCTTTTATTTTAAGGGATATTTTAACAATTGGTGTATTTTCTAGTGAAGTCAGATGTAAGTGAGTAACCAGATCTAAATAATAAATTAAAAGCTATATAGCTTTGTTCGAGAATGACAAAGAACTTATAATGAACTAGCGACCCGCCCAGGCTACGCACGGCTGGAATGCTGATAGTAAATTATCATCAACAGCCTTTCAGAGCCCACTGCTGAGCTGCCTCTTCTCACATGGAGAAGGTTTGAGCATTAATCACCACGCTTGCTCAAAGTTGATTGGTGATTTCAAACTTATAATTTGAAATTATAAGTCCAGGTTTCCTCACAACGTTTTCCTTTACCATCAGTCAGTGGTGTCTAAATACTCTTAGAAAGTACATATGATTCTATAAAATCACATTGGTACTTGCCAGTTTTCAAACCCGCGCTCTCATGCAGGATACTAAATGCTACACGAAGACACTGTGAACACTGAACTTTGTATATAAAAACATAGCGGTACGCCCCAGTTTTTTTACGGGTATAAAACTTAAAAGTTATGGCGTAAAGGGATCTTTATTAAATATTTAAAGTATTTAATGGATAATGATTGATTCTGTATTGGTTAAAATCTAAACATAGCGACATAAAATAATACAGAAGCTCATTTGACATAGGCCTATTGCTACACCTGCACTAAATAAGCATGCTTAAAAGCCTCCTATTGAGTATGCTCAATACAAGCATGCCTTGCATCCGATTACATTTGCGGGCAATAAGCGTGCTCCTGAATAAATATGCTTAAAGCAAACGTTCCAAATACATATGCTTTTTTCTCGCTCTCTGTACGTTCAAACAAAGTCATGGATAATCAAATCAATCAATTGTTACTAAATACTCTACAACCTACAACCTCGCATATCAAACATGAAGAATTCCACCACAGAAGGATGTTATAGAGTTATTTAAATATCTACAGATGTAAAATAAATAAAAAAAACTCAAAATGGCATTAAAACATAGTTGTTTAACAGCGCCATCTATTGAATAATAGCCTTAAAACTTTATGTCCCATTTAATATAATGTTAGGAATGTGACGATTTAAGAAAAATATATCTATGGTAAAACATAATTACAAGTAGTTTTTACTATGAAATGATTAATAGTATTAATAGTATTCTATTGTAATATTTATTTTAATATAGTGAGTCTAAATTTATCAAGTAAAATAAAAATATTTAAAAAGGGTAAATTGTATTTTATTCAATTATATTGAATTGTTCAATTATATGGTAATAAAAACATTATCTTTTTTTTAAATATTTTTATTCGTAAATAAATTATAACTTAATAAACTAAATAAATAAAAATCGAAATAAATAGCTTCAAATTACCTGTAAGTATAGTAATTGTTGCTTCTTTATCAACGTGAACTAAGTTGTATACAAAAAAAAATTGAAGTATTTGAGAACACTCGATACAGTCTTATTGTCATTTGTATAATAATTAAATATAGTAAAAATTTTAAATAGAATATGACAAATCTTAATATATTTTTACTTAAGCATAGCTCTAGTTATTTAAAACAATAAATAATTTTAATTCAGTCTTCAGAAGTTTCAGTAAGGTTTTAGTTTTAAAACGTGTTAACCAACTTCTTGATCATCTCAGTGGATTCGTTCTGTCCTATATTATCTATGAAGGACATCGCTTTACTCGCGTGGTCTCTGTAAAGCATTCTCGTTTTATCAATCGCGTCAGTTTTCAATATATTGAACTTAAGATCCTCGTAGTCGACGTCATTAACGTCGTTTTTCGCTTGATCGATTATCTTGTATAGATCCGGATTTCCCTCTAAAGCGAAGAGTACGGGAGCACTCGCCAAGCAAAACTGACCCTTATCTGATGTCAGTCTTTGGAGTTCCGTGGCCGCTTGCCAAGCTAAGCCTACATGGCAGCCGAAGTGGAAAGCGTAGTTCTGAATATCTCTATTCTGTTTTCCGATCAGCATAGCAGATTGGCAACCCCTGCCTAAAAGACTCACTCCGTTATACACCGTTCTGGTGGTCCATTCCTTCCTCGGCTTCCCTAGAACATCGCTAGCCTCGATAGTCGTTGTATCGAATGATATTTCCAAGTCTTCAATCGATTTTTTCGGTTTGCCAGGTAGAGGCATGTTCTGTTCATCTCGTTCACCAAAGAATTCGCTCTCAGATAGATCTCGTAACGCTGTTGACACGATGTATAAAACATCTGGATCTTTCAAGTTCGCCAGCATCGAGTTAGCCGTTACTAGGAGGTAGTCACCTAAAAGTATAGCGATTTTGTTGCCAAAGATTGCTGATTCAGTGTTTTTGGATCGCTTCGCAAATGGGACGTTGACGATGCCTCTGTGTATGAGGTGGCCTGTTCTCATCATTTCTGTAAGCTCAGCCAGTTGGCGCTGCTGGTTGTATACGTGTTCAGGAGTTGTGGAAGATTTGACGGACTTCGACAGTAGAGAGATGACCAGACCCCAGGGCTGAAGATTCTTCGTGTCTCCATAGAGAACGTTCTTAGCTGTTTGCATCACGAGATGGTTGCTACCAACCTGGAAACATAAATTACGATTTTTTTACTTATTTGAATCTACTGCTGGAAAAATTACCTAGTTAATCTGTATTAAATAATAAACATGTAATTATACGGACTAGTATATATTCGCCTGAGAAATATTTGTAAGCAATGTTTCATGAAACTATTTGCTATTGAAATATCACTGTATTGTTGAAATATAAGGACTTTTATTAATAAAATGATTTAAAAGGACACATGTTCCGTTCCATGTACTAGTTATAAACAGGACGACCACCACAAATGTTATATCTTTATTAACTGAATATACTTCAAGAATTGTTAACCAGTATAAGAAACTTTATTGTAATTAACAAAATCTTACCATTTTTTAAAACTTTCTTGAACAAAGCAAAGGAAATAAGCGAAAATCTAGAGAATTATTATTATAATTCTTTTTATATGTTGTAAAAATGCACTGATAGGGGTATGTACGTTGATTTCTTTATATATAAAGTCAGAAGCGTATAGCCTGACGGTAATTAAGGATGTAGGATATAACTTATAAGATGTCATTATGATGAGAATTTAACAAAGAACATGCAACAACAAAATATGAAAAAACGTTTCAAATTACCGGACGCGTAGTCAAAGATAAACCAGCAAAGCATTTTTAATTAAATTAATTATATATACTCATATACAGGGTGACTGGTGAATTACTATCAATATTTAATAGTCCAGTCATTTTAGGTTTCATCTGGGGAAAAATTCCTAGTGAGCTGAATTTTTGAATACACCTTTATTACGGCGTTATTATGAAGTTGTGAAAAATCGTCATCGATATCGTGTCGGCTAAAAAAATTACAGAGGTCAAAAGGTCACGAAAATCAGTTTTTTGCAAATATTTCGCGACCTATTGCTCGGACGTCAATAGAGGTCATTATAAAAATTCTTCCTCATAAAATTGTCTACAAAAAATGTCTCTTATAGTTTTTCTGTAAAATTAACGGTTTCCGGATCATAGTGCTGAGAAAGCGGCAAGAATGCACTCACATACGGTATTGTATACCGTACACCAAGGCGTAAACTCTATTGCTTTTTAATAATGTTTGTAAATGTCTCTAAATCTTTTATTTTACATTTAGATGTTTCCAGAAAGATATATTTATCGTATAGGGGTTTAGGTTTTTAGTAACACGTACTATATCTCATTCTAATGACCTTCAATGGCAGATGTTTCGTATTTCATTGTTCCGAGACCCGTCCCTTTATACCTGCTCCTGCCAGTCAGACTGAGTATAGTTCAGTTGGGAATTATTTCTTGAATGTTCAACACGCTTATTTAGTTATTTTATGCTCTTAAATAGTTATCATAATGAGTGATAAATGTTTTATATGTGATCAATTATTATTATCGGATGATGATGTTGTAGAAGTTAGCGTGGTCTACAAACATTAAAAAATGCTAGTGTCTCTAGAGGTGATGGTAATATTAGATATTTAAATACTGTAAATTCCGTGAATGTACATAATAATTGCCGTAAAAATTATACAAACAATTTGAGTATTGCGGCTCATAAACGACGCCAAGAAGAACCGAGTACATCAATATCTTCGCGTAAAAAAGAATCAGCGCTTTCGATTTCAAAAAATTATGTTTGTTTTGTGGAGAGGAAGCGAATGAAGTGATTGAAAAAAAAAGAAAAAAATACAGACGCGTTATTAGAGAAGTTAGTACTGTTACAGTCAAAGACACTGTACTAAAAGCTGCAGAGGCGCGCGGTGATAAATATGGAAGAACTGTAAAGGAGCGTGTCAATTTTGAATATGATTTAATATCTGTGGAAGCTAAACTTTCATTATATATCATGGATTGTGCCTACGGGGGAAACCATGTAAAAAAAACGCGCCTTGCATTCTACCTCGAAGGTGGTGAGGAAACGAGTGCATCGTCACAATATAGTCGCTTTCTCAGCACTTTGATCCGAAAACCGTTAATTTTACAGAAAAACTATAAGAGACATTTTTTGTAGACAATTTTATGAGGAAGAATTTTTATAATGACCTCTATTGACGTCCGAGCAATAGGTCGCGAAATATTTGCAAAAAACTGATTTTCGTGACCTTTTGACCTCTGTAATTTTTTTAGCCGACACGATATCGATGTCGATTTTTCACAACTTCATAATAACGCCGTAATAAAGGTGTATACAAAAATTCAGCTCACTAGGAATTTTTCCCCAGATTGGGGTATAAAATGCCTAAAATGACTGGACTATAAGGAGAATACTCGGTACATGATTCTCATTCGAATTATGTAAAAAAATAGGCACTTAATTTTTGACAAAATTTCCGTATAAATAAATAAAGTGTTGACACGTTCCAAGTGTGGACGCGTGCGGCGGCGTGCTGATACAACACTACGCCGCCGCACGCGTATGTGTGTGTGAGTGTATACCTAATCTGTAGGGTGTGCACACGATGCGTAATTAATTACATAACTTTTGGTTAACTTTACTCAGAAGTTTATTAATATTTATGTTATATTAATTTTTATTTTGTCATATATGATCGTCAAATATCACGTCCTCAAGTATCGATAGTAATTCACCAGTCACCCTGTATATACTCATATATATTCAGCGATGTCAAATAAAATACAGTTACGTCTTGTAACTACTATCAGTTAGTTGCTTTACTATACCTAAACTAAATTAAATACGCCGAGTATAACGTTTGTTGTTCAGAAAACTATTATAATAATGTACTTTTAGTACATTTAACATGACATCGTATCGTCTGATTACGCTGAAATCGACACTGATATATTTAAAACGTATTGATGAATGCAAAACGTTGAAACTGGAAGTATCTAGTATCGCAAAGTCAACCAGTACTAAGAGTAAAAGACAGTTATATCTATAAATACAGGTGTGAGTCAGGAATTGAACCTGGGACCGTTAAGTATATATACTAGCCAGCTTAACTTCTCACGCTTATTGAAACAAATTTACTGTTATTTTAACTTCTGTTTTATTAATATTCAGAAAAAATTCTTTAATGAAATATCTACATTATTAATAGATTTTAATAAATACTTAAGTTATTAATTTAAATTAATTAGATAAGATCTTTCGTAATAAATAATAATACAGACTACAGCGGCTTTCAGGATAGTGAAACAAAATGTCGAAAAAGTAGTAATTTATATCACTAAATGTAAGACAAATCATATTGTGAGAAGAAAAACCTTATAAATGTACACAAAATAATATATTTTTTCCACATTATTATTATTTTAATTTATTAATTTCTCATATAAAGGACTGTATGTTTTTAATGAGAAATAAATACTATTTAAACCTAAATACGCTATGTGACAGTGAAGATTCAATCAAAATCCTTCCAGTCGTTTCAGAGTTTAACCGGAACACAAAGACGCAAAAAACTTGTTATTTTAATACGTGTATATTCTACCATAAGTCTTCTTCTTCCTGGCAATTTCTCAGCTATAGACAGGGTCTGCTTTACATGTTGTGAATAGTTTTGGCTAATTGTTTTTACGACCGGCCGCCTGCCTGACATCAACCCTCTTTGGGAATGCATTAATCAGTGATGTCTAAATACTCTTATAAAGTACATATGACTCGGAAAAGTCACATTGGTACCATAATATGTATTAATTCAAAACCTTTTATGTTTCTGTCATAGTTAAATTTTATTTATATAGACATAGAAGGTTCAAGATCAGTAACCTTCTACGTTTGTTTATGCGTGAAAGTAACTTCACGTTTTCCATTTAACTGATGTTTTAGTTAATTTTATTTATTTCTTTCATTATGGTAAACTACATTTTCACCGCGGTTCTCAATGAATAATTATAAACCTGTTTTTTGCTGCGTCTATTAAAAATATAAAGATTTATTAAATACGTTTTAGGGAAAAAGATATTTAAGGTAATTTTACGATTATATGTGATAGAGGTTCGTTTATCTCTTGATAGGATACACATACATATATACAGTAAACAAACAAAACAATATATATGTATTTATATAAATATGTGTGTTAAAAGTAACGTCTTATATTTAGGTTTTTCTAAAAACGTATTTATTGTATATTTATCTATCTTCTATCTATATATATAAAAATTAATTGCTGTTCGTTAGTCTCACTAAAACTCGAGAATTTAACGGATTTATCTTATAATAATATAATATATCAAAATATTAAAATTAAGAATATTTAACTCACCAGTTTCCTTAAATACAGAGCCAGGTTTGAAAACTCATCGCTAAGAAGACATCTCAAGTTGATGAAGGATGTCGGGTAGCCGACAACTTTCTCCGCTTCACGTATGATGTTGCTCCAATTTGTAAAGGGTGGTCTCAAGAGTATGAGGATCTCATCCTTGGTGAAGCTGGCCACCGTGGATTCAGACCTAGCGTGGAAATAAGGCGACACTCGCCGCAAAACACGAGTCAGGAGCGCCATCGAATTCTGTACTAAACACTAGCTTATACTGGAACAAGCTTGCTAGCTCAGGGTTGCCGCTTTTAACATCATAATTAGCACTTGATTATCACCATTTTAGATCTATTTAGTTAGATATTTAAAGTAATTACTATATTCCACAACATACTGTTATAAATATTAACACTAATCTACAAAATAACGTTTTTAAATATTGAATTAATTGATAATAATAGTCAATAATAATACACTATTTCAAGGTGATTAGATCTAGCTGGCAACACTACGGTGCACTTGACCGTGGAAAGTGGAATGCGTGTTTTACCCCTGGAGAAAAATAAATAACACAAATCGAACTTTTACTGGATCAATACAAAGGATATTAAACCTTCGTCCCTTGTAATAAGGTTTAAACTGTGATACTGAAAAGGTTTAACTGTCAGTTAAAAGGCATTCGATCTAATTTAATCTCAATTCTATTGTAATAAGAACTAAAATATTTTCAGATCTTTCGACTATCTGTTGTAGAAGCGTTAGTTTTGTTATTGAACAAGGTTCAACCTTATTGTCGCGTTGAACTAGTTTTTGTTTTTTTGTTAAAAAATGTAGCTCAAACGTTTTGTGTTACTTTTATAACAATTCCTTTATATTATAATAACTTGATCTAGTTTTATTACGCTCTAAATGTTGTAAATGATTCACTGTTAGATGAATTATGAAGTAAAGTTGGAACGAGGTGTAATAGTTTTATTGACCATTATTTTTTGTATTAAATATATTCTAAAGGGCTATTGGTAGAGAAATTTTGGATTTTAGATGTTATTCGCCTTACTACGCGTTTGTTTGTAAGTAAACGCAGATAATATCGTGTATTCCGTTCATGAAATTACATTAATACTATACGTAAAGAGTTTTGAATGAACGGTAAACTGGGTATGTTTAGTTCGTCGTTAAAAACACTTAGTAGACTGTAGATATTAGTTCCGCTAGAGTGATTATTGGTTAGCGCCTAAGTCGATGTCTTACTATGATATGTACTATGACCAAAGAAACAGTTACTTTTGTATTTTCAATGTTATTCTATACTTCAATTATTTATAAAACATCAATAACGCCATAGATTTGAAGTAAAATTCTTATGGGACTTCCAACAAGGTTGCGTTAAACGTTTAACGCTCTGGGGGTGGGGAGGATGAAAAGAGACAGAGCTAGATGGAATGAGTGTCGCATGCGGGCAATCAATAGTGACTTGTAAGTAATGTTAATAAAGTCTGTTTTAAAGAAACACTTAACATTCCTTAATAATCAATTTAAATCCCATCTTCTTTTCATTCCACCATTACGAAGTTTCACGTCTTCTGCACGGAGGGACTTCACTTACAATATTTTTGTTTAATTATTTTCATTATCAATAGTTTATCTGACGTCGAACTAAATTTGTTTTATAATTTAGGTAACGATTATGAATTGACTAAGAACATATATCTCACCCTAACTTCGTAGTGTTGAGAAGAGTCATTTAATTGTTTCAGTAGTTTTACAATTTTTCTATACACAAACAAACATACATAACTTACCTTCTTACTATAACAGTAAAGAAGACTCGAACTGTTATTCTTCAAGATTTGATCAAGTTATTGGTCAGTCATTTAATTAAAATCATCTAACAAGAGTAACATTTATTACACAATAGTAAAAAACAATTCATAAAATTTTAAATATGTAAAATAACTACTTATACTGTATACATATTAAAATATCTTACAATACATACAAATTTTATTAAAATATATATTAAATTAAATCTGTATGATTACTTCAAGTTTGCATCGTGACACTTCATACGGAGATTTTGTAGTTTTTCATACATAAATCGCACGTTACGTATTACTTACTTATAGAACGTGAAATAAGAAACGCGTTGTAAATAGTTTTATGGAACAAACTTGTGGTAAGTAATAGAGTAAGTAAAAATATTCATAGTTAAAACAAATAAATATCACTGCCTTAACAATGAGTATAAAATTTTGTGAAACTTTACATAAAATAAAACTGACAACGAGAACACAAGAAGAATTGTGTAGTTAGAATAAAAAAAATTAAAAATTCTAGATTCTGAAAGTGCAAAATCATACGAAAACTACATAATAGTTAGAAGTTTTTCACTTATAAATCTTTGCAAATAAAAAAACTGTATCTCCGTACTCATTTAATTTGACAGAGATATGTAGTGCCTGATGTAAGTTACTCATTCTGTAAAGTAAAGTACTTCCAGATATTAATCTATTACTCTAAATCTTATTAACAGTAAATTAAATTAATTTATTATTATGGATCATCTGTTTTTAACTTTCCCTATCTCTCCATGGAAGTATCTCGTCAGTGGCCATTGTATGTGGTAGGAGATCAAAGCCAAGACTCCTACTGACACTAGAATCATAGGGAAGTATATGGTACCATAGAACACGGAGAAAATAGGATAGATCCAGATACCCTTCTCCATGTATGTGTACGCTAACCTGGAAGAAAAATTATGGGTTATTAATTTTAACTCCAATAATATAAAACTAAGGCAATTACATTCACTGTCTCTCAATCAGTATGAAAAATAATAATATTATGCCTATCTATACATATAATAAAATTGTAGAAAAGTGCTGTCTGTACATTGAAAATAAAAATAAAAAAATAGCAGGGGTTATTGTTATGTAGATGTCGAACCCAAAAATGTAATTAACTTTTTTTTGTCTGTTTGTCTGTTCACGCTAATCTCAGAAACGGCTGATCCGAGTTGGATGCGGTTTCCACGAATATATTGTGGTATGCTTCAGTTATGCTGTAGTGTTTGTTTCATGTCAATCGGTTCATAAATAAAAAAGTTATGTCAAATTAAAGAATCACGTCGAACACTATTCTATGCTTATACATACATAGGCACCATTAATCTCCGCAACTTTTTGACGGATTTGGTTGAAATTTATGAATATATGAATTTAAAAATATATTTAAAAAAACGCTGCTCATAGTCACTATTCCACGCGAACGAAGTCGCGGGCACAGCTAGTATGAAATAAAATTATTATTTTGAAATACAGACATATGTAAATAAACATAAAAAGATCCATCTATATAGGTATTAAACAATTTATCAGCTACTTTCTCTCTCAGTCACTGAACCAATTTTAGTGAAACTTTTAATATAAAAGGACTTCAAAGATCACGACGCGAAAATCTTTAGAAGTTGAATTTTGCTCTGCATTCAGTTTATATTGAAAAAACGACTTATTCCAGATTCTTGTATAAATAACTTTGAATTACTCAATTATAAATACTTTCAAGATCAAACCGCCTATGGGCTGAATAGACGAAAATATTAATATTTATTTAACAAAAACAAATGACTTACAATTATTTTAATTGACCAGAAAACATTATAAAACTTTCAACTCACACGAGGAAGTATAGTATGAAGTGGAAGGCCAAGTGTAGGATGTTCTTTTTATGAGATGTCGGAACAGCTCTTGGCCGGCAGGCGACTTCCAAGATCACGATAGGTAGGATGGCGGTGTGCATCACGTGGTTTGAGAGACTCGTGAGGACCTGGTCCACGAAGCTTGGGTAGATGAGACTCCTGTCGTAGAAGTACAGGCTCCAGAAAAACGTTACGACCACCTGAGAGTAAATAATAAACATAATTGACTACTGACAAATCACTTATAGGCATTTGGCTCATATCAGAATTATTTCCGTAGTGGCTAAGGCTAACGGGCGAGAAAATACTGACAACTCTTCTAATATGTCTTATTTTGTTGAATTTGAAGTTCACTTAATGATAAAATCCCTACTAATATTATAAATGCGAAAGTAACTCTGTCTGTCTGTCTGTCTGTCTGTCTGCTACGCTTTCACGCCTAAACCACTGAACTGATTTTAATGAAATTCGGTACAGAGATAGAGTTGACCTTGAGAAAGAACATAGGATAGTTTTTATCCCAGACTTTTGAAAGGTTCTCTTGGAAACGCGATATAACCGAACTCCACGCGGCGAAGCTGCGGGCGGAAAGCTAGTATTAACATAATTTTTAACTGAGACTGGTTTTACTTTAGATTCTTTTTTAACTGCTAAATGTCTTATAACTGACTTGTTAAGTGAAGCGAGTGAGATATAATCTGTTTTATGACATTTCTACATGACTAGACAGTCTCTAGATCTAGATATTTTTTATTGTAATTTTTATAAGAACATAAAGAAATACTCTTTATAAAGACTAGTTTTACTTACAAGTGTAGAAGGCCATAGCACAGCGGAGAATAAAGTATTCTTGAACCCTTTTAGTAATCTAGGAAGTCTGTATGTCTTGTTTTTAGAATTTACAAGTACCAGGACATCACACACGATACCGGCAAACGCGTGGACTATTTGAAGAAACTGGAAATGTACAATTGAATTACAGATAATTCATATTTATTTATTTTAAACTATTCTGAACTACTCAATGGTAAGTGGTACGTTACTCACAAATGTCCAGCAAGTGAAGTACCGTGGTTGTAATTTACTGAAAGCTTTCAACTCAGGAACATTTTTTAAGTCCTTCTCCAACGACACAGCCATGTACCATATGTTGGAGACGTGCATAGCTATAGTGAACACGTAGACAACCAACCTGATGTACAGCAGCTGAGACATATTGATCTGAAATAATATACAAATAATATTTACGCGGGAAATTATTAAAAGAAACATAGATGTCGGTCTCACGTCATGTTTATATGCAGAAATATATCTACTACATCTAGATAATGGAATAAAACTCATATAAAGCCGGCCACACACGCCATGGTCTACCGGAGAGGTCCATCTGTGCAGGTCAACGGAATGTGTGTGTCAATATACCTGTGCAGTTTTATGAATGCTACCATTGTTAGCTTGACCTGCACAGATTACCTTTCCGATAAAGTATAGACCGTAGCGTGTGTGGCTGGCATAAAACTGACACCAGGCGATATTTTTACATAACAATATAATCTATTTACTTGAAATTTGCAGCTTCTGTCTTTACCTATGTAAATTATAATTGGACTACATATATTTATTATAACTCAATCTTTATATATCTCCACATAAAATACATATAATCCCTACTAAATACTAATATTATAAATGCGAAAGTAACTCTGTCTGTCTGTTACGCTTTCACGTCTAAACCACTGAACTGATTTTAATGAAATTTGGTACAGATATAGAGTTAACCTTGAAAAAGAATATAGGATAGTTTTTATCCCAGACTTTTGATAAGGGTCTCTTGGAAACGTGATATAACCGAACACCATGCGGGCGAAGCTGCGGGCGGAAAGCTAGACAGGTATATAGGTACATAAATATGTATATAGTAATTAAGATGTTGAATATAATTGTAGTTAATAATTATGTTGTACAAAGAACATGTAATTTTACTTTAACAGCAGCGTACTGTATACAGAGAACAATCATAAATGTATATATTTTAAATAGCCGTTTCAGTATTAATTACAATATTAAAGATTTTCCATTTATAAAAACAATCTAGTAATAGAAGATGTGGAATCAAAAACAATTAGATAATTAACTAGTTCTGATGATATAAATCACTATAATAGTACTTATGTCGGGAAGTGATCCTTATATAGAAATAGAGAGCGATAGCAATCCGCTAAAAATAATATTTAAACTTTTGTAAAATATTCTATCATTGTATTCTAAATGAATATAATTATTCAAATCATCCAATTCCGGTCAACCTATAATATTATCTTGAATTTACAGCATTCAACTAAACATAACTTCATCATTCAGAGAGCAATGAAATATGATTCCTGTGTAGTAAAGAGTATACTTAATCTTAGTTTTGCATCGTCACGTCACACTACACACTCAGAGTGCATAGTATTTGATTCATAAATATTCACTTTATATCATAAGTGTATGATATTGAATGAGAAACGGAAAACGATTCGTGTGTAGTAATAAAAACTTGTACTTAGATTACAGTGATTAAACAAATCAATATTTGATAAATATATTATGACTTATGTTGTAAGAGGAGTGTTGTAGCAAAGTAAAGACACAACACAGAATATACTAGTGTTAAATATGAAAGAAAGTCGACGGAACTCTGTCTATAACAACTTATTAATAAAAACTTTATTTAAATTACATATCTGTTCCTTGAACTTGACGTTTTTTAAAGTTATTATAAATCGCTACAACTGTTCGAGTAGATTTTCTTATCCTAGCTCTAAGTAGCTGATATGTTCATTTCATTGTATTCATTGAAGTTATTCCTTAATAGTTTCGATCAGAATTTTTAAATTCAAATAGTTTATAAAATCAAAACTAACAAATCAATGTTATTATTTACATATAATTTCTATAACTAAAGTAAAACGTAAGTTAATTAATATTTAAACCAAACTTTACATATTATTTAAAAGTATCATAAATACTTAAAATACCACGCCATTTTATTGTATATACGTTTTAAAATTAAACAAAACATCGTACAATAGATAAATGAATAAAATTAACAATTAATTGTGATGTTTAAATATAATTTTATTACATTATGATTCAGTAACTCACCTCACCTTTGAACTCGATCACTAATTGTTAATCGTAACAGCTACAATTAAAAGTAACGCTCAACTAAACATATACAAAGGATTTACAAACATTAATACGTCTTATTTATAATAATCAACATTGTATGATGTATAAAATCTCTGACAATTGTATTGATTCTTCAAGTTATATATACAGGTAATGTCTGTTCTTCTATTTCTAAGACTTATGATCTGTAAAAACGGAAATAATATGAATTATTACTTACGAGAGATGACCTTCAAATGAATGGATCCTATACATATATCCTTAACAAGTTAGTCTGCAATCCTTAATATTGATTACTACTATTTTTAAATTAAAAATATTTTGATTGAATATATTTCATAGATATTTAAAGAAATTAAATAAAATACGTAAGAAAATGATAAAGTAGTAGGCATATAATTTTAATATCATGCAAGTTGCAACAAAAGAAATTATTTGCAAATTATATATAAGATCTCATTTGAACTAGATTTGCGCTGTATCTTTTTTATTTCTATCAATTAAATGAATGGGCTCAATTATTTTATACATATTTGTAAAATAATAGATTAATTAATATCAGAATTATTTTTATTTCACTATATAAGTAATCTTCAGATTACATTGTTCATTGTTGTGATTTGCAATTTATTATCTTCGAATTTTAAATACTATCAAGGTCGTGGCCTAAATTATATTATCACATACCTATTCACGATCAACACTATCTTTTGTATATATTGACACTACTATAAGTTAATTCACTACATTTAATTTTTCTCCAACACACGTCTTTTACCTGTCGCTAACGGTACTCGACTGTAGTAACTTAGTGATCATGTGTAGACTAGTTTAAAGAGTTTCATTCAAATATCAACTCTAGTATATTAAACTTACGACTAGTAGTGAAGCATTGATAATAAACTAACTGTCAAAGTCATTCATGTATTCTGTTCCTTATGTACAAGACATACAGTTGATAATGTCAATAATTTTAATAATAATATAATATTGTTTGCAATTATTGCGTGTGTTTGTCTATATGTATAGATTCTAGTTTCTTCAACATGTTTGGGAAGAGTATGAACGTTGTGGAAGTGATCCTGAGATAAAAGTCTCCAGGATGTAGGGAAGATATCCTAGTCAAGAACTCAGTGTGATGTAATAAATAGAATAGTAAAACGATGTTGAATAATTCCCCAAATCACATGATAAAATCTTAATAGAAGCCTTCCTTGAAGGGTTTTATTATGGGTTACATCAATCTGTCTCTGACAAACCTTTTGTTAATTTAAACTAGTTAGTTCTGCGGAAGCTCTTACTCATAATAACTATAGGTACTTATCTCAGAGACAAGCTGTTGTCTCAGTCTAGCGAATTTATCTCTTAGTATTCAAGGCTGGTTAATATTTTTCCTCTAAATTAATTTTTATGTTACTACATTATTTCGCTCCATGGATCCGAGTTCAACATCAAAAGTCGTTTCAAACACGGACTTGTGTTAATCTTTCTCATTTACAAATATAATCAGAGCTTTTCTTAGTTATCTATTAAATAATGAATAATATAACACTTAGTGATTCTATCGTGTGATATATTTTTATCAAGTCTCAAGAAAACCATTAGCAACTGGTTTATGTCTAATTATGGTGACTTTTTTTGCACTTAACCTTGGTGTGATGATTTATAAATTGTATAATGTAGATTTGAGCATTTAGGTTTTTTATATTCTCACATTATATGCTTGTTAAATAAAAATGTTTATTTCCATTGTTGGGTTTGCACAAAAAATGTTAACATGGTCTTTTTGTTTTGTATCCTTTTTATTTCCTTCTTAATATTTATTATTTATTCAATAAGTTTCGTTAAAGATGCATATAAAATTTTAACACTGATCTACAAAACTTGCATCTAGTATTTACAATACATATATATGTAATTTAAACAACAAGTCGATACTCAAATGCATCCATAATATAAAATGCACATAGAATTCATAATAATACTTTATTAAATATAATTATTTATAAACCTATACTTAAATCCACTCCAGGTAATGATTCAACACTTTTCCAGTTTGTGACCTCACTCCATACATTCCTCGTTATAGCAATGACATTTGTTTAGTTCAGTTTTACGCGGGAAAATATTTGGAAACGCGATTTTTGTCTTTATACATTAAATTTTGTTTCGAGTGTTAGATAATAATTAGTTAAAACTCTTCAAAACAAGTTTGTTCTAGTTATGTTTTGATTTATCATTTAAAGTAGTGGTTACATAAATATTTTTTAACATAAGATAACATCTATCTGTCTTCAATAAATAATATGAGAACTGAATTCATCATTTAAAATAGAATGCTGTACAGATGAAGAGTCAGGCAGGGAGTTTATAATTAAATTAAGCACTAGTATAAATTTAATATGAAAAAAATATTAACATTAATCTATTATATAGTTTATTATATATAGGTGTAAGAGACATATGTTTCGTTATGTAATAAAAGTATGTTATACATAATATATAATAATTCTTTGTTAACTAGAGACTTCTGTTTCAGGTATTGGATGGAGTGATAAATAACAAACACGCGTAGGATTTTTTTCAATTTTATTGGAAACAAAATAATAATTATGCTATATATTGCACGTGACTCCGAGTCGAATGGTTACCCACGTTTGAGCAATACCCACTTTCACTTACATAGGCAAAGTATTTCAAACGATCTTCAAACCTTAACAATCAATACGATACAGAGGGCGCCACTTCAGACGCGGCTATAACGACTACAGATAGCTGCGTTCGAAGGGGAACTAATTATTGGAACTCGCATCGGCTCGACGTCCGCAGGCTTATACACTCTACACAGAGACGATCTCATTACAATAACAATTTGGATATGTCCAACACGTTCCTACGAGCGAGTAGATCCGGAATACATCATATGTATTATATATATACAGGAGGCGCCGGGTGTCGCGAGTAGAGACGTACACCCGGCGACACGAGCCACGAGCGAGTACGGCCGGCGACACGAGATACACGAGACGTACATGATCACATCAACAAAATATAACTCCAAAGGAAATATAATAATAATATATAAAATACAAAACAATACGCGGCCGAGTTTCACTCCGCACCTCGCCCATCGACACGGGCGACCGGCGAGAGGAAACGCGGCGGGACGAGTATCACGGCGCTAACACTTACACTTACATAATCTGAGATTCAGAGAAACATTAAATTAAACGTTCATCATTCATAGATTTATATTCATCAGTCAACAGAGAGGCGAGCGGCGGCCGGCTCACAGGACCTCGGTCCGTGAGACCGCGGGCTGAGGGCGGTCCGACAGACTGGAGCGAGGGACCGGTTTAAATTAACTAGCACGCACACATACACACACACAACCTCACCATACACATCACATACTATATTCGATATTGTGCTGTGTGTGCGTTTGGAAGAGAGACACAACCTACGTCACGGAGACTTGAGAACGAGTTACAGAGATAGAGATGGATACAAACACACAGACAGCACGGCCGGGGCGGGATATACGATACTAGACACATCACAGACGAGTCCCGGGCGAGGAACATTTAATCTAGTAGACGGAGCGTCCCATCTAGTAGATGGAATATTCAATCTAGCGCGTGTAGTCGTGGACTCGCGGCTCGCCCCGGGCTTCCTTGCAGCATCAGTCAGTTAACGCCACCTGTGGATCACCCATACAACTTATTACACTCACACTGTTATTGTACAAGGTTAGAGAGAGAATGGAAATTGTAGATAAGATGTGTTGATAGTAACTTCAATGATTATTGTTATCCTCCAGCCAAGTTCGATGTGGAATGTTTAATAACAAAGCATTGCTTAGCAACCAACGTCAGGCAGATGCTCAAAACATTATTTTATGTTAATGAAAATTAAAATTGATGATTAATAATAAAATATTTAAGACAAAGGACTAAAGCTCATTCTTGGTTATAATTATAATACTTATGATCACCTGGAATAATGTAGATCTCAAAAATAATACCTACAATTCTAAAATGATATCAGAAATTACCTCGTGGTTATATAATTCACTTTATTTACTTTATATATCGCTTCCCAAACGGCAGGACTCGAAGATCCTGTATCGCTATTATATACCTTCCTAAATCTGCCAGTTGCTTAAAAACACTCCAAATGTTACAAACCTGCGATTTCTTTACGTCAGTATTAAAATATAGGTTTGTTAGTTTTGTAGTAATATTATAGTGGTAATTAAAGATTTTTAAACTTTAATTTTAAGCTAATTTTCATATAAATTATATTGTATTGACCGGCTAAATAAAATTTTTGTATTCTATATTAAATTAAATCTTTGTGTTTAAACAGGAAATTATGTTATAATGAATATAGTTGTATGTACATAATTATAATAATAATTATTTTTTATTAAGAGTGTATCAACCCCAATTATGATGGCTCATGGTTTGTTCACTAAAGTTACACATCGAATGTGGCTGGAGTATAGTTTGGGTTGGGGTCAATGAACTTTACTTTTATGTGATTTTTATTGTACTTGTACACCGTTGAGGTGTCTGTGTGTGTGTACTCACAGCACTTGGTGCGGCTGTATGGCGGCGAGGTGTGCGGGCGAGGGAGGCACGCCGGGGGGCGCGGGCGGCAGTAGCGTCTGAGCCAGGCCTTCGAACCTACCTCCAGCCTCGAACCCGTTCTACAACGACATAGAAAACACATTATGATCCATACTAATATTATAAATGCGAAAGTAACTCTGTTTGTCTGTTTGTTACGCTTTCACGTCTAACGCCCACTGAACCGATTTTAATAAATATGGTACAGAGATAGAGTTGACCTTGAGAAAGAACATAGGATAGTTTTTATTCCAGACTTTTGAAAGTTTCTTTTGGAAACGCGATATAACCGACTAGCTAAATGCTAGAGAGCTAGTAAATATATCAATGTACACGATGTGTGTGTGTGTGTGATACTCACGGGTATCATGATGGTGGGGCGCAGCGGCTGTATGGAGGGCTGCACGGCCGTGGGGTAGTAGGGGTAGTACTGCACGGGGTAGCCGATGTACCCGGGGTAGCCGGCCGCCGCCGCCGCGTACATCGCTGCGGCCGGACTGTACATCTATAACACAGGGGAGGTGAGCTGAGTCACATGTTTGTTATAACTCCACCTAATAATACTGAATAGATTATGATGAAACTTTACAATAATATAGCTGATACACCAGAATGATTTGTTTGTGATTTTTTTCCCCAAATTTGGTCCAGTTTCTTGGACAATTAATGGAGTGTATCATCATTCATCACTATGTAGTAAACGTAACTCATCAAGAAAGACATAATAAGTAATAATTAGTTTAATTGAAAAACTAGAAGGAACTACGCGGTATGTACGATCAGATTATTATTAATATGATATGAAATCGTGATCGATCAACGAGTCGATCGTCTTAGGGTTCATCATCATCATCGTCATCACCACTGACCGGTAGCTGCTGGCTGAGTGCTGGTATAGCTTGATGATGCTGTAGCTGGTCGTAGGGCGGTGGAGCGTACACCCCGCCTGCCCCCGCGCCCGCGCCGCCGAACGTCATCCCGTACGGTGAGCCGCCCGCCACTGGAATGTGGCCTTTCGATCACTTGCACATGAGTCAATGTGTAGGATAACTAGGATAGATAACTTAGGGCTCTATAGTAGCTTGAATTAACCATATTTCATGAAACAGAACTTTTAAAGAAATGTTAATGTAAGTTATGGCTTAATAAAAATAGTAGAGTAAAATTCATTGAGTCGAGCTGCATTCGAACTCGCGACATCCGGGATATCAAGTCCCGGTCGTTTGATTAATTGAGCTATAGGGTCTGTACTGTGTTTATGAATAACATTATATGAATTAACCGTCATAGGGACAGCGATATCTGTTGAGTTTTTTTTAACTAAGTTGGACTGAGTTTAACGTGTGCCTATGATTGTGATCTACCTACCTCCATACTGTGGCGCGGCCTGGTGTGGTGGCGCGGGCAGGAAGGGTCCCTGCGGAGGCTGCGGCTGAGGGTAGGCGCCGAGGGGAGGCGTCACTGTAACAACTTCACTCGTTACACTTGGACGGGGGAGATACAGCTACGGCGACACGTCTCGATAGACCTACTTGCGTGGATGATATTATTATACTAAATATACTAAATGAAATTGATTTAATCTTGGTAATATATACATCCACACAAGTGATAGAACTCCTTCTGTGAAGGTGATAAGAGCTCTATGGCCGGATCGATGGTGTCGCCGAGCGATCAGCGTCTCGCGCGCCTCAACCCAAGCCCGAACATTCACGCGCGACCTAGTGGAGACGCCATTCGTGTTGCCAACGCGACAGACTATCGAATCAATCAATATACATTACAATGCAATACTAATAACGCCTGTGCGGATATTTAAAGTCCGCGTCCACTATGTCAGTGTTAACGACAAGCGATGCCCACACGAGCCGCCTAGTCGCCCCAGCAGTTGGTGCGGCTAGGCGGCGTCGGATTTGGTAGGTTACATATCCGGTGCGAGTTGCGGACCTACCAAATGTTATTTACATTGCATTCCTCGGAGCGATGGTGACACTGGCCCGGCAGCGCGGACAGTGCCACCATCGAGTAACATTTCATATAAACAAAACAGTCACACGATGGATTTTACAAGGAACATTAGTTTTATTGTAACATTGCTAGTGACCCGAGCGGTCGCGTGTACACTGAACGATCACCCCGGCTCTACGACGACGACTAGCTTAGATACAGGCCATAGAGACGAGTTGGAGCGTTCGGTCTACAGGCGAGGACAGAAATGTGATACAAGCTCTCAAATACATCGCCATCGTCTAATAAGATGATCAGTATCAAAGCAACATTATTTTCAGAGCCTGCATGGTAGGAGTACGTGCAGCGAACGGTTAGATACCAATATTCGTGTTTCAAATGTTTTTTATACATCACATGCGACCTTCCGTTGCACGAACTTTTATAAAATATAAAGTAACACGACCACCGAAACGGCGGCCGTCGTACGTGTTTAAGAAAAAAAAAAACAGTTTATATCTATTTAAATCTATCTAAGACACTCGGAGTACCAAGATTTAATGTCGTATATATCTTTACCGCATTACATTTTCATATATTTTGCTGTTTACTAAGAAGCGTATGCAAAGAAGCGGTAATCTGATACAGAAAATAAAAATAAAAAAAAACAATCTATGATGAGTGCGTTGAAGGACACAGAAGCATGCATTATGACGTAACACAAAAAAAAACAACTAACGTTTAGAAAATAAAACATTCCGATGATGGCATGCAAGTAGTGTATCTCCCATGACGTATGACAACCAGCAACATAACTAAGGAACAGCGCAACAGCAAAATCTTGTCCCGATAACAGAAAATCCTGGTTCGAGATACCACCGGCGACCACCGATCATGACCATGACCATGTACATTAACTTAACACACTACTTAAAAGTACCCGCGTCTCTCAACGCTAATCAAATATCATAGAAACTGTTATATTTAACTATAAAGTTATCGCAACCCAAACAAAATAATCTGGAGCCCTGGAAAAAATATTACCGCCGGTTAGATCGGGAAAGGTTTTAAAATTTTTGGTACGTTTTTTTAAATTAATTACGATCCACCCGCATCCTTCCCTGTCCTTCATCAAAGCTTTAGGCATGCACCTCGTGTTCAGACATAACGTCTTGTTGACGACTGAAGGCCTAATCGAGTCTTCGATCGTCTTATCACTAATCAATCACACGCACTAAGTATTAACATTCGAATTAACATTATTTTTATGATACTCTCATCACACCACTCGAAACTATACTGATGGGAATTGAAGCTGTCATGAACAGCAATAAAATCATGTTTTCTGGGCTTATTGACGTCGCTTATGTATGGTGTTTGAAAATAAATAAGTTCTAATAGTTTCGAAAGGTGCAACCGATTGTCTTGCATATCATATCATATATATGTTATGATATCCAAAGCAATGTTAATCCTATCTTACTTGCGAAGACATACATTACCAAGCAACACAAAATTACATATTTTTGTATTGCTTCCATCACCCTGTATATCCGCAAAAAAAGACGAAAAAAGTTTTTGCTGATATAAATAAAATAAAACAGTTTTTGGTTTTAACAAATTAAGAATGATAAAAAAAACTGTCTTATTTGAAATTCGTTAGTGTAACACTCAGTAATTAATAATACAAGCAACCCTCACTCATATGACACTATGATTGAGAGATACTTCGAGATAGTTCTGGAACCTTAAAAACGACAGTGTTATTTAAAATTCCATACAAAAAAAAAGAAATGCTGGGAAATATTAACAGTATTTGTGATTAAAGACATTTATTTCTCAAAATTTTCCCATCATTTCCTTCGTTTACATCTAAGGTGTTAGCGTTAAGAAGATCTAAATAAAAAACCAAAATAATAAATTATATAAAGGCGTCCCTATAACATACAAACGTGATAGGGGGCGTCTTGAAAATACTTCGACAAGTGTCAGGGTTAATGACCGGAATGTATATAACTTGCCTCAATATTTAAAAGGTGCATAAACACTAGCAAAATAACCATAAATAATAGCAGTTTCAATCGATATTTATACAAAAATGTACCATCGAGAGAAATGCCTTTATTTATGAGTCCGTGTTAAAAAAAAATAAAAAACAGGTAAAAAAATAAGCTGAAACAAACTAAATTGTCATTAATGAAAAATGAAAAAAATAGGATTAAATTTCTTTTTTACATTTGTAATGGAAAAGTTCTGTCTCTAGAGTTGAGACATAACTTTGACTTAAGACAAATTTTTTTACCGTTGTTGTGGTGTTAAGGGGGCTCAGTGAATATATTTTTTGTAGTTTATTTTTGGTAATCATCTAAAAAGACTGGGCGCTATACAATTAACAAGCGGGAACATCTACTGTACAGCCAACCACTTAGCTCTGTTTAAATCAGTCTTTCCAGATCTACAAACACTTTTTGGATGGATGGAACAAAAAAATATATTCACTTGTAGCACATACCATATCCGTGGTTTGATTGCTATATGAATAGTGGAAAATTAGCAAATTTAATTGAATTTATGTACATTTATATTTTGAATTAAAACAACACAGATTTGTTGACAAAAAAACTTTGATTGTAAAGTATTACAGGTATCAACCTTCCCGAACTTCTCCATGTAATAAAAACTCCTGTATAGCAATCCAACCAGCGCATTACAAAATACACATACGTTCGTCCACGCCGTTACGCACATATCATATCTTCATTTACTATGTTTCAAAAAAAAAAAGGTAAAAGAAAGAAAAATTCTATATTGCATCATTACATGATAACAAGATGTCCGGCCGCGCTGCGCCTCGCCGCTAGCACTCCTGTCGTGGCTGAGGGGCATGGGGTATTACAATCAAGTCACATAGTGCTACAGCACTTAACCTTTAAATATGCTCTTATAACTACGGTTTAAGCTCATTTCAACGCTTGACACATGTAACGTCACCAATAAACAAAACATTAACCTGAACAGGAACTTTAAATTACTGCTAAACTAATAAAATGAGAATTAATGTCGACAACACTATAAGTGTTTGGTTTGCTTACAATAGACAAAGGACATAAAAAGTTGCAAGGTAATTTATGTCATAAGGATAATTCATTAACTCTTGTCAATTGATAATAATATGTTTCTAATATTATAAGTATGGATAATTATTTTATAACAAGATAATCAGTCATAGAAAATTATTTTTATACTGACAATTTTAATAGAAACTTAAATTTCAAGTGACTTTTACATAATGGACTGTATTTCAACAAGAAATAAATCAAATGTGGTTTATAACAAAGAAAACATACACACCAGTTTTATACTTAATTTATATTTACTAGAAAAATAAGAATGAATGCATTTAATATGATGTCTTGTAAAAGATTTCATCTCACAATATATACGTAGGTCGAGTTAAAATATCGAACACCACCTTAACTAGGACAAAAACACCTGCGCATTCATACCTAACTAAAATACGCGAGGAGTTTAAAATGAAAACCTTTAAAGTTACATATCATTGTGTGAATTATATTTAAATATATTTTATGTACATTTTAGTATTAATCGATGACTATATATAGAATATATACGAGAACCCGCCATCGAAAGCTGAAGTATCGTCATCCATCTTGGATTTTAGAGTATTGATCCAAAACACGAATTAAATTTTTGTTTTAATTTTCTAAGACCTGAGACGCTATTTGAATATTGCATTTAATTAACGTTAATCTGACTCCAAAACGCTTGATCTTGCAAAAAAATGCAATTCAAGGAGAAATGACGTTACATATGTCAATTATTATTATAGAAAAGAACAAAGGAGAAAATAATATAATTAAATCGAATAAATACCTTTTTTGTCTGCCATAATATAATAACACGAATTAACTATTGACTTTAAAGAACAACAGGTGCGTTGCAATAATATTTGAGGATATCGCGATTAATTACAAGAACGTAGTCAGGGACCAAACGCTACTTCGATCAATGCAACGACACTAGTGTTTGACACTTGACAGTTTGCTTATCACAACTAAAACCGATAAACTTATCGGTAAAACATTTCACCGGTATTGTCAGTGAGAATATTGAATGGAAATTATCGGGAAACATATAACATATTCATTTTCCTGTTCTATTAGAAAGGATTCATAACCATAACCTTGGTAGCATTTGTAAGTAAATCAAAGCGAATAAGTAATTAATTTAATATTGCTTTTTTAATGGTATGTTAAATTTTACGTAGAAAATATAATTTCTTGTCAGGTTTATAAGAGGAGCGACTAAAAAAATTTAAGACGAATATTGAAACTATAAATATTGATGTCACCGCGCTTGTAGGAAGTGTAAATATGTTAACTAATCATTTAATTAATATTTCTCATTCTCAGTATGGACCAAGTACCGATTTTGAAAATGTACTGTAAAAGCCTAATGGTAATGTTTTTTACCTTTAATGTTTAATTGTATATGTATATAACAGATATATATAATTTTTATCAGTTGCATTAGTTGTTTTAATTATCAAACCTCGATCGACTGAATATACAGGGTGACTGGTGAATTACTATCAATATTTAAGGAGAATACTCGGTACATGATTGTCATTCGAATTATGTAAAAAAAATAGGTACTTAATTTTTGACAAAATTTCCGTATAAATAAATAAAGTGCTGACACGTTCCAAGTGTTCCAAGTGTGGACGCATGCGGCGGCGTGCTGATATAACACTACGCCGCCGCACGCGTATGTGTGAATGTGTGTGTATACCTAATCTGTAGGGTGTTCACACGATGCGTAACTAATTACATGACTTTTGGTTAACTTTACTTAGAAGTTTATTAATATTTATGTTATATTAATTTTTATTTTGTCATATATGATCGTCAAATATCACGTCCTCAAGTATCGATAGTAATTCACCAGTCACCCTGTATTAAACAAAATACATAATTATTAATTACTATTTAGTCATGATTTGTCAAATGTCATAATGTCTTATACAGTTCTGATAATTTCAAATCAACAAATATGAGTTCTTTTAAAAAATACTAATCGTTCACTCATAGATTAGGTGCTACAACGAAATAGTTATTAATTATTACGGGAGTACAAATAAATACAACGTGTCAAAAATGATTATTTATTTACATTATTAAAATATTTGGATCCTAACTTGTTTCAAACGTTAGAGACGAGCGTCCAGTTCCCTCCACATCTGGAAATAAAAATATTAATTAACGATTACATCGGGATATAGATAAAAATATGGAATTAAAATTTCATCGTCAAGAGAATGATTCGATCCTGCGACCTACGGGATATAGTGTTCAGTCGATTCAGTCATCACTGAACGACGTTATCTGCTTATTCTTTAAATATCATCATTTTTTTATAATTTTGTTATATACAGAGAGGAGCTCGAACGGTGGAGTTGAGCATTTAACGTCGGCTAGATAGGGTCCCTTAAACCTACACCTGGGTCGCAAGTCACAGGCATTGTTGAAGCTCCTCTCACTACAACGATGGACACGACACACGCACGATGAATATACTGAATGATGAGAAATTTTACCTCGTTTCTATCATCATTTTAGTGTTATATTAATATAGTATTTGAGTGCTTGGTGTATGTACCTGCAGTGTGCTAAATATCTTCCATCATAAGCCCTCTGTAAGGCGTGAGGCGCGGCGCGAGGCTCGGGCAGGGCGCGCGCCCCACAGCGACCGCACTGCCGCCACTTAGCCGCGCGGCCACGCCCACCCAGGTACATGTATCTGGAAGATAATATGTACAAACCACACTCAAATAGGTGCAGCCATCTCTGCGGACAGAGAAATAGACTAAAACGAGTGTAAAGACAATTACCACCTACATATTAATATTATTATTATTACATAAATATATACTTCGACGTTACTCTATAGGCGTTGAGTTAAAAGAAATTAAACATGTATATTTAAAATAGATACTTCAACCGACAGCGCCATCTGTGGTCTATGTCATGAGTTATGTACTCATATACAATACAACTTTCAAGATATGTTCCTTAAAGAACTGCACGGAACTTAAGAATTCACTTAGAACTGACATTTTAATGTTTCAGCTACATTATTGAAAAGTTTTATCAAAATCTGTTCTGCAAATATTAGGTTACAGTAAATCAAACATTCAAGTAACCTGATGGAGTCCATGTCTTGTGATGGTGAAGTATCAGACTGAGCGTACGGAGGAGGCTCGGGGACGTAACGCAACATGTCAGGCTCTACACCGTACTCCAACTGTAACAAACAATTATTATAATATTTTACGGTTATTTATTAAACTTTACGGTTTTGTATTGATGCACAACACTATACGCCATTCGTGTTTTGATATTTATAAACATTGTTTTATTGATTGATCGTCACTATTTCATGATATGTAAAAGGGAGGTAATAAAATGATTTTATTTCAACAGAAATTCAAAAAAATATGTAATTGAAATACATACACTAATACAGACTTCTTTTTGACCGCGCCTTATTATGTTCAAAACTCAAACAATATGCTTTCTAAGCGTGTGTTAGCGCCACATATAGTGTATGTCACCTGACTCTTTCCATAAATCAATAATTATGACGTGATCCCTCGGGATCTACACGAAAATATAAGCTTCATTACTGGATAGAGCATCAAATATGTTTACTGACTCATTAATATATTATAATATTTAACATAATAACATAGACTTAACACTTTAACACACTTGAGCCCATTAAAATAATTTGTACTTTTTACATAAATAATATCTGTTAGTATACTCATATTTTGTATTTTTTTTATTTCGTTATGGCATTTTAAGTGAACACGTTAAGAAGACACAAAAACAAGTAATTTCTAAGTCTAACCTCGAAACAAACAATCATTGACTTTCTGTTACTGAATGCCATCTGCTGTTGTGTCGTAAAATCAATTAGCAAAAAGTAGTATTACTATTTGCTAATAGATGTCAGGGAGAGTCATATTTTAAACACCTCATTTTTGTTATTTTTTTCATAAAATAACATTTTATAAAAATGATTCCTAGCTAGATCGATATACTCAATTTCATGAAAAACGTTGGAGCCGATTCCGACATTCCATTTATATGTATATATACAAGAATGGCTCATTTAAAGATATAAGATATAATAGTAACTATTGTGTGTAGTATGTATATAATATACTCACATATAAGGGTAGTTGTCGAGGGTGGGGGGCGGACACAGAGCAGCGTGGAGGAGCGTCCCACTCACGAGCCGTCCACGACAGACACACGGACATACACTCCTCTGAAATATATATACAAGGATAGATAACATTATACTTATATACTGGTCTAGAAGACCCGGCGAACTTCGTATCGCCCTATAATCAAGAAATATCTGTTACGTTTTTTTATTTATATTTTTGGAGTTTACCTATTAAAGCCATAATTCTCCGTGTTTTGAAGTGCGACAGAATGATTGACATATGAGTTAGTTGTCAAGTCTAATGTCAAAAAAAAAGTTTGTATCAACAACTACTAATAAATTAAAAATTAATTAAAAAAACATTGTCCAGCGGACAAAATTGTGAATCTAAACCATTCCCAGATCCCCTTGAACACACACAAAAAATTTCATCAAAATCTGTCCAGTCGTTTGAGAGAAGTTCAGTGCCATACACACTCACAGAAGAATTATTTTATATATAAAGATAAAGTGTATTCTAACTGTTATGTATTAGTTATACTTGCTCGGTGTTGTTAAAAATCTGTTTGCTACTTAGCACAATATGTACATGACGAATTTAATACAGTTTTATTGAATACTAGAGATTGATAAGACGGAACATTTATAGTGCTTCCTATCATATATTATGTTATATGGAAGTTTTAACTGCACGAGAAGTGATATCTTCTTCTACCTGGCAATTTCCCAGCTTTAACCAGGATCTGCCTTACATGTTGTGAATAGTTTTGGCTTATTGTTTTTACGACCGGCCGCCTGGCTGACATCAACCGTCTTTGGGAATGCATTAATCAGTGATGTCTGAATACTCTTAGAAAGTACATATGACTCGGAAAAATCACATTGGTACTTGCCAGGATCAAAACGGCGCCCTCATGCATGATAGGCGAGCCTTTTAATTATTAGTAGGCCACCACTGATTTATTGTAGTATTCAATAGAACTATATTATATTCATATATAATATGTATTGTGATGTAGAAAGACGGAATGATAAAGTCTAATACACTAAGTGATGATCTACCTACATGACACTTGAAATCATATTCTTATTTTAACAATACACAACAAGTATGTATTCCAAAATAATAATTCAAGTAGTAGATGAAAACCCATAATAGATTTATCTATGGTCCGTTCTAGAATGTGATTAGGAAGCTATACAATTTCATAGGTCAAATCTTAAACCAAATGATAGCAAAACACTAAAATTTATATAGCTTTGGCAGATATATGTATAACTGATATAGAGAACAACTGATTGATTAACTTAATTAATTGACAGTATGGACTTTTAGTGACATTTTGGTGTATTGTGTTAAGTTGTGGAAGCGTAGACGTTAAAGGCCTTGTACACGAGAGAGCGGGTTTGAAACCCAGCAAGTACCAATGTGATTTGTCCAAGTCATATGTACTTTATAAGAGTATTTAGATACCACTGACTGATGAAGGAAAATAACATGAGGAAACCTGGACTTATTATTTACAATTATAAGTTTGATATCACCAACCCGTCTTCGGAAAGTGTGGTGATTAATGCTCAAACCTTCTCCATGTGAGAAAGAGGCCTTTGATTAGCAGTGGGCTCTGATAGGCTGATGATGATTTTTGTTTCCTTTTATAATAATATACTTTTTTGGTGTGATTTTATTTATTGTATTTTTTTAAATATTTTTATTTGTGAATAAGATCGTTATTGTGTTGTAGTGCGACTTTGACAAATAAATATTTTCTTATTATTATTATTATACCTATCAAATCCGGTTTGTGTGAGGAGGCTAGTCTAGCGAGGGTGCGGCTGAGAGCGTCTCCGCCGCGACCACACGCGCGACTCACACACACCAGGCGACGTAGAACTGACACGGCCACCGGGTCGGAATACAGCTCGTACACACTGGAAACATTACATATAGCATATATCAGTCGGGATAGTCCCAACAGCATCATGAAGGCAATTGCTAGCAGGTTAGACTGTAAGTATGTTAGTCATTGCTGTGCTATTTCGAGCAGATTAGTTCAGCAATTACTACCATGATTACAATTTAGTGATAGTTTTTTTTTTTATTTTTGTTAATTAATTTATTATACTAACATAGGAGATAAGTAATATGTATCACTTACAATAAAATGAGTCACAGTCACTTGAAATAAAAAGTTATTATCATTATATGTTACGACATGCAACCGGCTTCAACGCGACATGCGATAGATGGACCAAATGGTGATAATAGTATAAATGTTAATTTTAATCATTGGTATTCCATCTAAGAATGTATTCAGGGATTCAAAGCTAAAAAAGATTATAATCATATCGTCGGAGATAGTGCAAATCCGCGTAACTAGAATTGGATAATTCCGCGTATTTACATTAGAAGCAGATTATCATAAGAAGGTTTAAGCTGAAACATTTTCTAAATATACGACTTTCAAAGCAATTTCTTTCACAATAAGTAACTATTTAGTGTTGAATTTGTTAGAAAAAAGTCGTCAATTTTTGGATGGATTTTGGATTTGCACTATCCCCGACTATATGTAGTGTAATATAATTTATTTATCTTACTTGTGTGTGTGCATCTGATGTATGTTGGAGGGCTGTAGCGAGGCCAGCATGGTTAGCGCTATGTTCATCGCTCGCTGTAACAGACGTCTCAGAGCTTGAAGCGGCTGCAGCGCTTGACTGGTCGACTCGCTTGATAGGTCCGCTTTAGCTTCTAGTGCGAGCAGATTCTGATACAAAAATATATCAAACACATGAATGATTGTGATTATTTGTAGGCGTGATAAATATTATGTTCCGTTTGATTGAGTGTCTGTTACAGTACTGAATAATAAAATTATATGACATAGTATTTATAGTAGGCACATTATTATAATGAAGTGGACTCTAGTTATATATTAAAAAAGGTCTACAATCGTGTGACATACATATAATACATAGTATATAATATCCAAGCATTGAAAATACCTTTGAACCAACGAAAATGTACGGCATGTAAAAAAAATATTATCTACGCATAAAATACTTTCAAAATAAATTAATTTTATTTTGTTTCAAATCACCCCCCGGACCACGGAAAGAGAGAGGGTTGCAACCCTCTCTCTTTCCGTGGTCGCATGAGTTTTGTACGGCGTTGCGGAATAATGGATTAGAAGCTGTAATGAAACAGAATAAAACAGATACCGTACAGAAAAATATGACCAAATTTACCCTGGAAATTGTCAAAAAAAATAATATAAAAAACCGTCTCTGGGACGCATCATTTTGATTTACCGATGGTAAAAAGCCGTACAAAAATATATGACCCAAAAATATATGACCTGCGCTTTTGAATTCTCACCAGCACCCAGTTGGACAGCTTACAAGTGACGCATAGAGCTGAATCTTATTATTATATGCTCTTATATCGTCCTATATACGTCCCCTGGTGGTTCATATGACACATACGTTTTTTGGACATGGGCCTGTAGTCTAATAGTAACAATGACCTTATCATCGGCGGTGAGGTCGTCGTTAGCGAGCGCGGCCAGCAGGGCGCAGTCCCCGCGGTCGTCCCGGAGCCCTGCGACACACGCCGACCACACGCTCAGGGCGCTCTGGAGGGCTTGGAGGGACGCCGCGCTACACGACGATGACGGAGACAACCTGCGGAGAGAGGGAGAGAGAGTTTGAAACAAGAACTACTTACTACTACTGGTTACTACTAGTAGTCACTACTACTAGTTAGGTAGTCGTGGTAGCCTATAGGTTAGACCCGCCTCTCGTACGTGAGGGCGTGCGTTCGATCCTGGCAAGTACCAATGTGATTTTTCCAAGTCACATGTACTTTCTAAGAGTATCTAGATATCACTGACTGATGATGGAAAACATTGTGAGGAATCCTGGACTTAATCAAATTATAAGTTTGAAATCACCAACCCGTCTTGAGCAAGCGTGGTAATTAATGCTCAAACCTTCTCCATGTGAGAAGAGGCCTTTGCTCAGCAGTGGGCTCTGATAGGCCGATGTTGAAGACTAGTAATTACTACTACTACTATTAGTTTCACTAGTAAACTAAATATATAAAATGTACATAAGTTAAAAAGCCACTTTTTGTCCTAAGCTGAATGAGCTCCAATATAAAGCTAAATCTCCATAAGAAAGGTACATTTTGACAAAGGTCGAGTTTCCAGTTAAAACTAGCATACTATCATGAGTGAAGATAAATTATTGAAATACTACATACTGTATGTTTGTAGTTTGATACTGACTTAAAGTAAGAGTAATAAATCAATTATATCTTATCACCAAGACTGATGTATAATTGATGAAAAATATAATATATTTATTGAAATTCATGTCTATATTTCCTTCAGTTATTTAATTATCTATGTAAATGTATGTATGTATGTTTCACCAGCACAGCGCTATCCTCAGGCGGAGCCAGGTGTGGAAGTAGTATTGTTGGAAGGAGGCCGGCTGGCGTTGGAAGTTCTCAGTCAGTCTGGAATATACAAGATAGGAAAATTATACCTGGATTAATAACTTATTATGTTAGTGTTTTATATGTATGAAGTTTGGCAATGATGACTATTCAAAATATTATTCTTTTTAGAATAGGTTTAAAGAATATTTTTTTCGCATCAATTATGAGTAGGTATAATATATTTTAAAGTTTTGAAATAAATATAACAGATAGAAAAATTATACCTGGATTGTAAACTTATCATGTTAGTGTCTTGTATGTAAGAAGTTAGTTTGGCAATGATGACTGATCAAAATATTATTCTTGTTAAAATATGTTTAAAGAATTTTTTTTTTCGTATCAATTATGAATATAATATGTTTCAAAGTTTTGAAATAGATTATAAAGTTCTTTTTTTTAACACAATTGTTAATATAATTCTAAATTGTACTGACACATTATATGGATGTAACTGTGGAATATTTATATACATATAATGAAGTAATTTATTTCATGTGAAGAGAACCGAGTTTCAACCATTTTAAAACATAATAATCAAAGGACTGTTCTTAGGAACTTCCAATAGTGTTATATCCTTACTAATATTATAAATGCGAAAGTAACTCTGTCTGTCTGTCTGTTACGCTTTCACGCCTAAACCACTGAACTGATTTTAATGAAATTTGGTACAGAGATAGAGTTGACGTTGAGAAAGAACATAGGAAAGTTTTTATCCCAGATTTTTGAAAGGTTCTCTTGGAAACGCGATATAATCGAACTCCACGTGGGCGAAGCTGCGGGTGGAAAGCTAGTATAATATATCTTTCATTATTTGAAACAACATATTTTATCAACCTTTTTTTAACTTGCAACCTATAATATATGTATGTATGTTATAATTTCCGCTGAACGTTTTAGTACACATATTCAACTAGTTACATTGAATTCCGTATATAAATGAGGTTTAATTCTCATTGATGTTCTATTAGTGTCATGTTTGTCAATCCAACATGGAGTCTTATTCCCCCCCCTCCTACCTCTCGTACACACCCTCGCTGACCCCGCCCACCGTGAGCAGCACGTCCCTGGGGTCCGCTCCAGCCACCAGCCCGTACTCCAGCTGACACACCGACTGACACACGAACTGGGATGATGCTGGAATATTATTGACTGTGTTTTAGTATGGGCTGTGTGTGTGTGTGTGTGTGTGTGAGTGTGTGTGTATGTGTATTATATATTTTTGAGTATTCAAATTTTGAGTATTCAAACAAGCTTGTAGAATAATCTGTACACATGTATCTGTAATATGTATGTGTGTGAAGCATGTATCTAAGTGTGTGTGTGAAGCGTGTGTCTGAGTGTATTTTTGGGTATTCACACATGTCTGCTTGTAGAATAATGTACACCTGTATGTATGTATGTATGTATAAGTGTGAAGCATGTATCTATGTGTGTGTGTGTGTGTGTGTGTGTGTGTGTGTGTGTACTCACACATGTCCGCCTGTGGTTGTAGTCTGTATACATGTATCTGTGAGTGTGTGTCCAGCGCCACACACACCGCTCCCAGCCACGACATGCACACACTGTGTACTGTAGCACAGGGGGCGCCACTCTACAAACATATAAATACATTACTTGTGGTTAAAGAACTTTATTTCTCATAAAGAAAATACAATATTCACTTAAATGAGATATATTACATATATATTTCATAATTTAATAAACAATTTAGTATAATAGTAACGACTTATACAATTCAAGAGTAGTTAATCTGAGTGCTTTTTACAATAAATTAATAATTTCTTTCTAAAAATCGTAATGGTTTTTTCATTAAAAATTCATTAGGTAAGCTATTATATAGTTTATTACTTAATTTTTAATATCATGGGATGCTTTAATTTATATTAAAAGTACAATTTAAGGGCTGTTTGGTGGAGAGCAAATACTATAAAGTACTCACAGGAACTGTTAATCCGTAATTGGCTTTTTTGGGAGGAGTAGCTTCTGAACTGACCTCAGATGACCCGCCCGTGATGATAGGACGTGACACGAGCTATAAAGAGGAAATGACGTCATCATATAATACAATACGTCATACATTACATGTGTTATGTGACGGTGTAATAGTGGTCGTTTAATTAAAATATAATTATCTTTATACGGTGTAATCAGAGGACGCCTTAGGTTCTGGGTAAACTCGGCTATTCTACACCGGGCTGACTCAGCAGTTCCGTGTGAAGACAGTTTTAGGTTTTATATTTCTTTTATGTTTTAAGATTATAATATTTCTTTTAAGAATTTAATTAGATTTATTGTCACTATTTGTTCAACCTTTGTGCAACATGCTCGCACCCTAGTTGTAACTTACTTTTAATTAAATTAAGTCAAATATTTTGATTTCATTGCATCCACCGACCGTTGAAATCATAATTCATGTCATAATACATATAATACAATTACAACATATGGGCTGGGTTCAATATAATATTACTATGGAAAATTATGAATCCATTTTTTCATCTATGCATGTGTGTAATTGTTTGTTAGTTTGTCACGATGGGACTGCTGAAATGATTTTGATGAAACTTCAAAATTATATAAATTATCATGACAGAGTGTCCTGGAGTACCTTTAAGGGGCCATCCATAAAGTACGTCACACGTAAAGGGGGGGGAGGGGGTCGACAAAGTGTGACATGGTGTGACAAGGGGTGGGAGGGCTCCTAAGTTTCGTGACATCACATTTCAAAATCTACTATTAATTTCAGCTATACAACATTTTAAAGATTTTCATTTGGATGCTGTTTACATTGCCACAAATGCCCCAGGAAGAAGTGCTTTAACAGAGTAGAACGACGAATGGCACCTCTTAGTCGGAAACTTACTGGTGTTGTATTTAAACACGATAATTTCGGTTCACATCTCGATTCCAGTAATAAAACTACTGACCTGGACTTGGAAAACGAAACTTTGAGAGTGCAGGCACAGTACTGGGTATGACTGTGAGTTGTGACTTTTTTTTTTTTTTTTTTTTTTATCCTTGGGAAAAATGCATTTACGCATCCCCGCCATTTTTTGAAAACAGCGGAGTATGTGGGACTCGTTGCCACTACCCACTAAAAACCCAAGGGTGTTCCACGACGGCCCTTGTGTCGGGGCGGGGGATCGCTTTCGCACTCCCACCAGCTTCCCCGACAGGCTGGCCCGCTTCTGGGGGCCTTTCGTCTTTTTGGGGGCCACTGGAACAGCCCCCCCCCTCATGTGGTGCTCTCTCTCACGCTCGTGTCCTCGGGAGTTGCATGGGGAACACAACCATGCAGCTCCCTTGGCCGTTTAGCGCGGGTTGGGGTCCGCGCCACGGGCCACTTTCACGGCGGCCTCAGATCGTCGAGGGCGTCTCTGCGGCGGCGCCCAGCACGGTGTCTGCGAGAGGGGAGGGACGATGTGGCTTCCCTCACCCTTCCGGCCTCCTCCGTGAGTTGTGACTGCCATGCCAGTTATAAATAATTTAAAAGACTGGGTTCAAAGTCCATGGACTGAAGATGATTGAGTTTCTTTTTCTTTATATTCATTAGTTTATTTTATTATTATTGTTTCAAATAATTGATATTTTGTTGTTTTCATAAAAAAATACTCAATTTAAATGGAAATAATACTAATTTCGGAACTGCTGCTTTAATTTAATAATTTTTCGATGTTAAATTGCAAAACATGTGACGTCACACTAGGGGGGGGGGGGTCTCAGAAATGTGACCACTTGTGACAAGGACGGGGGAGGGCTCAAAAACTCATGAAATTAGTGTGACGTATTTTATGGATGGCCCCTAAGTACAAGCCTTGAAGGTATTTTGAATGTAGTCACATGACAATATACAGGGTGACTGGTGAATTACTATCAATATTTAAGGAGCATACTCGGTACATGATTCTCATTCGAATTATGTAAAAAAAATAGGTACTTAATTTTTGACCAAATTTCCGTATAAATAAATAAAGTTTGGACACGTGCCTTGCCGGTGCCAGTGTGTCGCTACTCCCCAACCCCCGCCCCGTGGCTAGCGGGCCATTAGTCGGCTATTAGTCGCGCGAGCGCCGCCGTAAGGTCCGTACGTTCGTCTTCCCGCGCGCGCGCCTAGCGATCGATCTTACGCGTATACCTAATAATAATCTGTCGTGTGTGCGTGTGACCCGTTATTACTTATTAGTAATTAAATATGGCTTTTCAATACACAAATGCAGAATACTTGGACATGGTTCATGCGTATGCGCGTGCAAATGAAAGCTTGCGGGGCGCAATCAATTTGTACCGGGAGATGTTCCCCAATCGTCGAGTACCTACGGCCAGCGTCATCTTAAACGCTAATCAAAGATTACGAGACTTCGGACAGTTCCGTGTTCCAACACATGCCCAAGGAAACGTCTTGTGTATGCTACAGAGTATGTAAACAGAGAGGAGTTGAAATTAAAAATCAATAGTGATTTCAAAACTATTAAAAGTGACCCATTCGTATTAAATCGTGTGAAAGACAATATGTGTAAACGTGCCGAACTGTGTATCACACGAGAAGGAGCTCACTTTGAACATTTGTTAAGGTTAGTGTAGTTATGTAGGTAAATAGGTAGTTTAATGATTGACAATTGTTGTAAATAAGTATGATTCCATTTTTAAATACGCCGGAAATACCAAGATAGGTAAACAGTTCATATTTTTTTTGTGTCAAGGTCACACCATTTACCTAGTCAATAAATTGGTTGCTTAAACGAAAGAAATATCTTGGTATTTTTGCCTGTCCTAAGCCAGGATTAAAGTATGAAGGGAAATGGATCATTTTTGTTTATCTAAGGTCTAACACGCGGCGGCGCGCGGCGTTTGGATGTAGGTAAACTACCGCGCGATAACTACATATACCTACGTACATAACTGTTTTGTGTCGATAACGCAGCTAGGGTATCCACGCGATCCGTAATTAATTACATAACTTTTGGTTAACTTTACTTAGAAGTTTATTAATATTTATGTTATATTAATTTTTATTTTGTCATATATGATCGTCAACTACCACGTCCTTAAATATTGATAGTAACTCACCAGTCACCCTGTATAGATATCGTTTCCAGTCATTAAAAATGTATCATTTACAAATTATAATAAAGAATATAAGTCAAATCATAGTTATATTTCAGCCATACTAATTTTTAAATATTTTTTGTACTAACTAAAGTTAATTGAAAGCTATACATAGGTATTTATATTTTACTCATATAAAAAACTTAATTTTTAATCAGCAATAGATCTAAAATATGGCAACAAATTGTCTCATAGTGTTTACATCGTAGCTGTATGTGTGTGTGTGTGTATATGTGTGTGTTTCTCACATAATGGTGCGAGTCTCTAGTGAGTAAGTGCATCGCCCGCGAGGTCACTAGCACGGCGAGCGCGGGCGCGGCGTGGCGGGCGGCGCTCACAGCGGTGGCGGGAGACGTGCCTTCTAATTGCCAGGAGGCCGCCTGCTGCCACACCTGAAACAAATACACATGTATGTATAGATATATATGCATATCTTTATATATATAATTCTTCTGTGAGTGTGTATGTCACTGAACTTCTCTCAAACGACAGGACCGATTTTGATGAATTTTTTTGTGTGTGTTCAAGGGGATCTGGGAATGGTTTAGATTCACAATTTTGTCTGCTGGACAATGTTTTTTTAATTAATTTTTAATTTATTAGTAGTTCTTGATACAAACGTTTTTTTTGACATTAGATTTGACAACTAACTAATATGTCAATCATTCTGTCGCACTTCGAAACACAGAGATTTATAGCTTTAATAGTTAAACTCCAAAAATATAAATAAAAGACCGTAACAGATATTTCTTGATTAAAGGGCGATACGAAGTGCGCCGGGTCTTCTAGTATACATATATATATATATGTATTAAGACTTAATATAGGCTTTATATAGTGTTTATGAATAATGGTTGTACTTCGACTTCCAGGTGTAATGGACGTATTATGCTGTTTGGGGATTTTTATAATGATATCTAAGACTTCGAGAGTATTTATTTAAATGAAACTAATATTATACTTACTACGCGTTTCGGTTACATTGCAGCAACCGTGATAAAGTGCAAAAAATAATAAAAATAACGGGTGGGAAGTCGAAAATAAGAGTTTTATTTAATATTTTTTATAATGGAACAAGCAAATTCAGTATTCAGTTAGGAGTTCCTGAGTTTCTGAGATAAAAACGAACAAATAAACAATCATTATTAGGTATGTGTAATATTTGACTCACGATAGTATTAAAACAGTCCCCTGTCTTGGGTCCTCCTCCCGGGGTCGTGCTGCCTTGCACCGGACCTGAAGTGACATAAAACATAAAAGATAACTTTAATAAACAGTAAATTTTAGCTTCAACTGATTTCTCTCATTGAAGTCATGTCAAAATTAAATATTTTTTAATTAGTGTCATTTCTATTCTTCCTCTGTTTAAATAAACAAAGGTCAATCTGTTTGAATATTAAATAACTAGGTTCGATTCCCGGTCGTACCTCTTCGCAGAACACCCCTTAGTAATTCAAAATTAGTTACTCTATGACATAACAAAATATTACTAGCGCGTTTTAGGAATTCACGTATAAAAATAGCAACGCCATCTAGTTCATCGTCAAGTTACTAAAATGTGTATAAAACTAAACTAATGTGTATAGCATCGACATATACTAATGGACATGCCTTAGAGATGAGAATTGTGGCACTCCAAAAGAAAGAGAGGAAACGAAATTTCGGTCTATCTTTATCTCTCTCAAAATAGTACCATACTTAAGACGCTATGAGTCAAGCGCCAATCATCTATGAGGAAAGAGATAGTGCTAGACCGAAGGCATAGGCCATCTCACTCTTTTCAAACCAAAAAATTACTACAGATTATACGTACGGCATGTCCATTATATGTCGATATGTATAATGTATATAGTAAATTGTTGTTTGTTATTTAATTAGCTTTCTTTATTTTCTGCTTGTTGTCGCTTAACTTTTTATTTTGTGCATGCTGTTAATTAAGATACCACTAGTTTTATCTTTTCTATCCATGCATTTGGACTGTTTTTAGTGTGTATTTTGTTGGTGATCTAATAAATAAATAGTATACCTTTAGCTAATAGTTTGTGTAGCGGGTGTGATCTTTCCACCATCTTCCACAGCGTGAGGTTGTGTGATGCGATGAGCAGCGCGTCTGTATCATCACGGACCCACCACGATATACATACTGGAAGGGATATGACATATTGTTAGATTAGGATAGGTTTGACAGGTATTATTACTAGAAAAACTTTTTTATTATTCACGCGGGGAAAGTACTATCTTCGCGCATACTTTTGAGAGTCGAAAAGACGCTAATTGCAAACTTCACAATTAAATGCCAATTTGAGTGCGATAAGTAATTTCTCGCCCCCAAATTCTCATTGGCACACACAAATTCGCGAATGGACGAAAAAATCTTATAAAAAACAATATAAATAACAAGATATACACCCATTATCTCGTCATGAGTAATAAAAAATAGTATTTGCAACTAGCGCGAGGTTGTCGGTTGCAGTTGACAACTTCTCGCATTGGTTGCGCAATATACTATGTATATCATTATTAAAAATGTAGTAAAAATGAGTTCTTTGGTTAGTCAGAATAAAATTTGATAACATTTTAATGAGTCAGGAGTATTAAGTTATTAGATACAACTATAAAACTGGAGGGGGAAGGTTGGGTAAAGGTCAGGAGACTATACAAATATGACTTATATTAGACTAGCTTTCCGACCGCGGCTTCGCCCGCGTGGACTTCGGTTATATCGCGTTTCCAAGAGAACCTTTCAAGAGTCTAAGATAAAAACTATCCTATGTTCTTTCTCAATGTCAACTCTATCTCCGTACCGAATTTCATTAAAATCAGTTCAGTGGTTTAGGCGTGAAAGCGTAACAGACAGACAGACAGAGTTACTTTCGCATTTATAATATTAGTAGGGATTAAGTTTGATTCTTATTAACTTTGAGACTATGTATGGTGTACTAACCGGAAGTGACGTCATCCTCCAAGTACACCGTCGGCAGCGGCTGTAGCTGGATACACACGGGCGCGCACTTGGACGAACTCGGGCGGGAGACTGTACAGCGAGCGACGCGGACCGCGCGCTTACAGCCGCGACGGAAACACGCCGCGATCAACATACTGCCGGCTGGGGGAGGCGAACACACGGGATAATATATGTATAGTGTAGGGACTCGGCTGGGACGTAACATAACATATATATAAAGAAAAAAGAGAGAGCAGAATTATTGTAAAGGATTTATGTTCATCGTTAGAAGTTAACAGACTAGTGGACATGTGATAGTTTCAATGAAAATAATATTTTTCGGATTCTTATACGGGTTAAAGAAAACATCTTATACATCAAAAATAGACTAGAAGTCAGTTGTGTGTTAACATACTTTGGAAAAAGCAGGCTTTCACAACAACTACATTCGATTTGACAAACCTCACACCCTCGTGAAGATAGGTATATGTAAATAGTTTCATTTAAATGTATTAAACTCGATAAAGTATTAGATCATTAACACCAAGTTATCACTAACCTTTATGTGTGATGGAGGCCGATGACAGATGGTCTCTGGCGGGCCTCATACAGTCAGTGGCGACGAGCGCCCTCCCCCCCTCCCCGGCCGTCAACACCCCCACCAGGCCCGAGCCTGACACCACGCATGCGCCTGCGCACCACACGCCGCTGACACACACACACACACACACACATATATATGACAAACAATTGAAGGTATTTTAATTAGAGCGATATTTATATGAACAAATTTAAAAATAGTGTTTAAATGAATATAATTATATTTTTATACATGAAAACTATGTTGAGTTAAATACATACTTTAATTAAAATTCATTCATACAAGCTAGCTAGATTTGAAATATGTGACTTTGGAATATTACGTTTCAGTCACTTCTACAAATGAACTATTAAGTTAGTTAACCTGACTTAGTGAATTATGCTTTCATGAGACGAAACCTATCACCATTCCATATATTTTCCGTGCGTGTGTCGGGTCCATCGTTGTAGTGAGAGGAGCTTCAACAGTGACTGTGACTTGCGACCCAGGTGTAGGTTTAAGGGGTCCCTATATACTTCACAACTCACCCGAATCCTTTCAAAGTAGGTGTTGATCTCAATAACTGCATTCGTTCATATATGGGGACATCGGGTTTCTTATCCACAGTGACGACTCTACGACCGTTGTGGAAGAATGTGGCTTGAATGATATGTTCTCCTGAAAACAATGATTTTTAATGAAAAAGACAGATATTTGTATTAAAAACTATTAAATATAGAATGAAATAGAATAGAATAGAATATACTTTATTGTACACCACAAACAGTAAATTTTACATGGAACAAAAATAATAAATTGAAATGTACAAAAAGGCGGTCTTATCGCTAAGTAGCGATTTCTGCCTGACAACCTTTGATTTGGGGAAATTGTGCAGCGAAAGGGTAGATGGTGCCTTATCCTTATATTTACAATAATACATATATAAATAGAATACTATTTAACACAAGTAGAATTCAGATTCATCTCTAGAATACTGATTTCTGGATGCTTATTCTCACTATTACAGGTGGTACAGATCAAAATACTGTTTGTATGATAAATTTAAACAAAATAATAAAGTGTTTTGTATGTTATTTTCATTACAAGGACCAATTATTTACATCAGGGGTTTTTCAATACTTAGGGGGTCACAAAGCTTCTCCAGAGAGGTTGTAAAGATTTTATAGCCGAGGTGCTAGAGGTTAGGAAAGCTACAGTAGTGGAAATGAAATAATAACAATAATAAAGACTTATTAAGAAAAATAAGAACTAAAAGACATACTTAATAAGTAAATGTATTAAATTTCCTTTTCTTTTATTTTCTTTTTAATTTCGTACTAACCACTACAGATAAAATAAAACTTAGTGTGGCGAATGTTAACAATGTTATATGTTTAAGTTAGTAATGTTCTCAAATAAGTGACTATGTATTGTCTTGTTGAGTATAAAGATCTTTAAACCTAACCTCGTTAAATAAGTAATTGTATTGGATTCAATATTAGTAACAAATAATATACTAAAATGGCTGTGGTAAGAATAAGGTTTAAATATATTTTTTTTTATGTGAAGCTTGGCAAACGAGCAGACGGTCCACTTGATGGAATGTGGTTACCGTCGCCCATGGACATCCGCAGATGCGTTGCCAACCTTGTTTTTTAGGGATAGGGAGGGGTGGGAATCAGGAAATAATAGGAAAGGGTAGGAATAGGGAAAGGGCAACCGGCTCTCTCACTCATCGGACGAAACGCAGCCATTAAAGGCTACTTCACGCCGATCTTCTGTGAGAGGGTGGTACTTCCCCGGTCGAGCCAGCCCATGTTGGAGCTGTAGTAACTGACCACAACTAGGCTCTACCACCTGTAATATTTGATCTACATGATATATTAAAATGCCTATTAGATAATAACTCTTCACCTGGAAAGTTAGCTGTATATAAACAGGTCCACTCATTAAGGAGGTAGTCTTTCTGTCCAAACACAGACACATCACCGACGGTAGTCGCGACTAGAAGCTGCTTGCCTTCACCGTCCCATTCTAGAGCTGAAACCTGCAGAAAAAAATCTTATTATATGTACTTCATCAATATCAATTTTTATTATATGTAATTCTTGTTATATGTACTTCATCAATATTCATCTGTGTCAATTACAGTAATATAAATTATATGTTGTTATTTAAATGAAACCAATATTTTTTTGGATTATACAATGTGACTTTATTTTTGTTAAAAACTACATAAACCCGATATTTCGGTTACTTTTCATGGACTGTGATCACGGACAGACAAGAAGTGAATGTCTGTCAGTTGGTCTTGTTATTTATCATTTATTATATCATTTATCAGCATGGATTTCTTAATTTTCTGGTGTACCACTCTGAATGCCGGCAAAATGCGCTCAGTGTCCCGAGGTTCATTTAAATGTGTAAAACTCACTAAAATCTTAGATCTCATTATATTAAGAACTCTTAGAGGTCAAAATATAACAATGTGTTGTAAGCATTTAGTATTTAACCTATCTCATACTTACAGGATGCACAGTGCTGGTGACTTTATGTGCGTCCCAGGGTGTGTCAATATCACAAACATACACATGACCGCCCCAAGTGTCTCCATCAGTGTCGGAGAGTTCCGTCAGTGATGAGAAGGCTATAATGTTGCGTATAGATATGGTGCATATTGGACGCACTACTTCTGGGTCTGTGCTGGAATATAAACAAATTTGAAAGTCAGTTAATGTTATTAGTTCGTGTGTTGTGTAAATTAGAGCGATTACTTTGGTTTACAGAATAAATTCCGATGATTGAGGATAAAAATAAGGTTTGTTGAAGTTTTTTTGTATTTAATTATTGTATAAGTTATTGTTTTTGTTTTAAGTAATTCTTATAAGGACAATAAGCCTACAGAGCTGTTTGTATCAACTTACCTATTAAAATGCGGGGGCTCACATTTAAGGGGCTTACGTCTCATAGAATATATGAGCTCCATATTTATATTGCTGTTTACTTCACCGCATTGGTTTATTTACGTTATTTAATTTTTTTACTACGGATCTTTAAATAGAGTACACTTGCTACAGTCTATGAAGTGCTACCTAACTTGACACTTCACAAAATATGTCAATTTTAACGCTTGACTTTTAACTTTTGACAATTCATATATGAATTCAATAGCGTTTTGATCTTAGGTTTCTATTTAACAGCTGGTACCTTTAATATTAGTGCATGTAATTATTTAATTTTTATATTTTTGAGGTTCAATCAAAATAGTTTAAATATTACAATAGGTATATGTAATCTTTAAGTGAAAATAATTTCATTTCTACTTTTCATCTTGATATTCAAAATATTTAAGATAATATACTTTTATTGAAGCAAATATATAAAACAAATTAATTACTTCTTAATTTTTTTTTTTTCTGCAAGTCGTCAAAACTAAACGCGCTATATGTATAGTCTGTGCTAAGTCTAATCATAGACCATAATATTGTAGCATTTTTTGTACTCGTTGCCAACTTCAGTTAAATACATCGGCTAAGTTCAGTCAAGTCCCAAACATGATTGTTCCGGCCGATGACCTCTCGTTATTGAGTTCGAGTCGGGTTTCCGAACGCAGCAGTTCTACTCTAACGAAAATGGCCGACCGTGTAACACTCTGACACTGTGTATTGTGTGTTGTTACGAAAATTATACAATTATTGTGTGAAAATGTGAATATGATGAATTAAAACCTTGATCGTAGGGCCGTTCGAGTGTTTTAAATGATGTGCCGGACAGAGATGTGTCGTTTCGGTGTTGGCAACTGGATATTCTTGCTGGCTTGTATACATTTGTTTACGTATAGTCAAGGTGAGTTCCTTTTATATAAATAAAAGCTTTTATCATCGATCGATGGAGCAAGTAAGATCTGTTTACTTACGATTATAATTAATATTTCTAATATAATTTTTTTTTTTATTATATTAATGAAAATTTATTTTAATTGAACATGATATCAAATAAGACGCTCTTCAACTGTAGCAAGTTAGCAACTAGCAGTCTTTAGTGATGTATTTATTTTGGGTTAGTGTTTAATGGCTCTATTTAACGGGCCTGTAACATTAAGAGTCGTCTTGATGTGTATGTATATTTATTAGTTTTAAGCCCACGAGATGTTAGACGCCGCAACCCATTACTGCATTTTTATAGACTGCTTCGAACTAATTAAAAGCCGTATATATTTTTTGTAAACAATCCAATAAAGTCAAAGCCGTTAGGGTTTTTCCACACTGGTCTGCGGTACTGATGTAAATTGTGTATGTTGATAAAATTAATTGAATTTACGTGTGAACTGGACTTAATTGGTGTTCATGTTGAATGGGTCTCAACTGGCGATAATTTTGTATGACAATAATTATTTTCAATTATTCTGTTTAATTAAAAATATATAAATAAACATATCGACTTATGTTTTAGGACTATATATAATATTATATTTATTTTATATGCCATATTATTCATCCTATTGTAAGTTATGTATATATATTACTAAGAGAAACCTTTTCGAGTACAAACGTTTTATCTCAACGTTATTTTATTGAATTTTCATTAAAACAGCTTTTTATTTCCTTTCAACTCTCGGATCTCGTTCCCGAACGTAATTCATATTTGAATTTATTAAATTTATTTGGATTTTTTTCGTTTCTAAACGAATATTCCTGTTTGTATCACGTGTAATTGTTAAATACACCTTGTGATGGACGAGAATTGTATTTTTAGTAGGTTTTAGGGTTCCGTAGGATTATTAGAAAACCTGGTACTAGTATCAAGAAATGTGTCTTTGTTTGTCTGTCACAAAGCTGTAATAGGCTATATCTCATGAACTGTGATAGATTGAGAGAACTTTCACATATAATATATTACTATTACCGCGATGTATTTACACCAATTTTCTTTGGAACCAGACTTCATATATTACGATTTTACATCAAACAACGAACAGTATATTTAAGCAAAGCCGGAAACTTATACTAGTGTTAATAATAGGTTATTACTACTAATATTATAAATGCGAAAGTAACTCTGTCTGTTCGTCTATCTGTCTGTCAGTTACATTTTCACGCCTAAACTACTGAATGGATAGTTTTTATCCCAGACTTTTGAAAAGTTCTCTTGGAAACGCGATATAAACGAACACGACGCGGGCGAAGCCGAGGGCCGAAAGCTAGTATTTAATAAATAACAACTAAATCCATTGGATATTAGATAGTGTGGTTTCTTATTGTGAAACGTGATGAGAAATGCAAGTCTTACATTAAACGCCCACACTCACATTAACATTCTAGGTTCCAGGTGTTGAACACCAGCTGTTCTGGCCGTTTAGACTTTACAACTGGAACACCTGGACTAGTTTTATAGCTGCTCGGACTATTGTAAATAAGACAAAGAGATCACTTGTGGCGTACTTTTAATAGTTTTTACGGGACTCTAGCTTAAGGTGGGCTGGAAGATGTATACTCGGTTCTTTTAAATACTTAATAATTTATTATGAAGTATTTATAGATAATGTTTATTATACAATTGATAGATCATGGATTTGCTTGGTTTTTAATAGTTTATCTTAAAACTCAATTTTTGAGTATACTTTTAATTGGGTTAAATTTATCTCGTATATTTTAAGTTACTTATACTTTTAATGTGTGTTTTTAAAAATTATATATATTACATATATTACGAGCTGACCTGGCAAACTTTGTTTTGTCATATAAAAAAATAGGGGTTGGTGATAAATAAAAAGCAATTTTTTTGGTTTTATGTGATTTTTATTGTTTCATTATCAAAATATAAAAAAATGACGTCCGAAAAAAAAATTAAGGGTGAACAACTCTTATGACTTATTGATATGAAAAATAGATATTGGCCGATTCTAAGACCTACTCAATATGGTCACAAAAATTTCATCAAAATCGGTCCAACCGTTTCGGAGGAGTTCTATGTCTAACACCGATACGTTATCGAAGATTTACAAATACTTCGTTAGTTTGTAAGACTTATAGTAGTCTAGATACATTAATTATGTAAATTTAGTTCGTTCGTAAGCGTTTTCTTGTAATTCGTGTACTTCTGACCAAAGACTCTTAAGCTTACCACAAGTTGACATCTCTACTACACACTATGCGTTTCCAGTTAGTCATACGATAACCTATTTAATAACTTTAATATGATTGATGAATAATGCAAACATTTGGTAAATATACCGTAATCTTCTATCACTTCTCTCCAAATATTTTTTACACATACGATCAAGTTACGCGTAACTGTAAGTCTGTACGTGTGTACGATATGTTTGAGAGTGTTTATATCGGATGTGGTTTTTGTTTGGACATACAATATGTTCAGTATGAGCGTCCAATGTCCAAGTATCGTATGATTCGTTTCAAAATCCTTATTGTGGTGCTGGTTGTGGTATGTGTTGGGTTGATAGTTACAAATCTCACAGAAGTTCAATACTATTAACTACCACGAAATAATTTACTATTGAATATTGATTATAGTACTGATAGTTTTAGTTGCACTTGTATGCGTGCATGTGTTATCCTTTTTTTTAAATCTATTTCCAAGAGATTTCGACAAGAATCAGCTTTATTCAATCGCATTAGGAGTCAAGGATTAATGACCGATTTTTTTTTCATGTTTAAATTGTAAATGTTTGATAATTAAAATGTATAGATCGTTAAATGTGTGTGTGTTTATGTGTGTGTGGGTGTGTATGTACTATACAAAAAGTTACGTAATCATAGTTTTTAGAAGTTACTATTTTATATACATTTTTTAAGATAGTTAAAAAGTCTAGGTCGTTATATGTGTGTGTGTGTGTTTATGTGTGTGTGTGTGTATGTACTCCACAAAAAGTTACGTAATCATAGTTTTTAGAAGTAACTATTATTTATACATTAATAAATAATAACAAAATATTTTTTGGAAAATCAATAATCTATTGTATACCATGCATCGTAAGATGAGTAGAGATCATATGCCTACATATCAGTAAAGATTTTTCATATGTGGGCACATAGAGCATATTTACCTACTAGCGAGGTTTCTGACCATACAATATCGCACTGTTTTCTTATAATCCACAATAAAGTTAGATAAAGCGAAGTTTTTGTATTAATATCTTAACAATTCCATAATATAATGTTTATAATAATAAATTCCGTCCTAGTATCCATTGTTCAAAATAAGTTATATAAGTATTCTGTTTAAAGAGTGGCAGAAGTAATATTAATTAAATACTTCATGGTTATTATTAATTGGGTTAATTCAACTTCGTCTACAACTGAATCGCTAATGTTGATGAGACACAAAAAGAGAAATGCGACGAAAATTGAGACGAAAACCGAGCTGGTGCCGGGTTCAACGCTAACACTGATGATTTAAAGGAATTAGTAGTTATAATTAGTATATAAACATATTAAATTATGCATGCTCTTCCTTTTCCCACCATTTCCTACTAACTCCCTTTTCCCATCCCTCTCCTTCCCACCCAAACAAGGGCGCAACGCACCTTCAAAATATTTTGCAAATGTCCATGGGCGACTGTACTACCACCAACAGGTAGGCCGTCTGCTCGTTTGCTTCCTTAATAATATTAAAAGACCTGCATCCTATATGTCTCATCGTCATCACAGTTTAGGAGGTGGTGGTTATTTGTGTGTGAAGTATAGAATAGGGCCCTACAGAATAGGCCCGTAATCTATGTATACTAATATTATAAAGCTGAAGAGTTTGTTTGTTTGTTTGAAAGCACTAATCTCCGAAACTACTGGTTCGAATTGAATAATTCTTTTTGTGTTGGATAGTCCAGTTATCGAGGAAGGCTGTAGGCTATATAACATCACGCTACGACCAATAGGAGCAAAGATATAGTGGTAAATGTGTAAAAAACGGGAGAAATTATTTCATCTTTGAAGCCTACCGTTGCGTGCGCCGTGAAAACGGTTCAAGATA